ATGCAAATTCACTTTTATTGCAATCAAGTATACTAAACAAATAGATCACCAAATGCAGAAGTCTATTTTTCCTTTCAGCTGATTAAAAATGTACTCTCGTTTCAGTAACAATGAAAGGCTTTCGAATTTCGCCAAAATATTCCATTAATTTTCAAAAATATATATATTCAGCAGTAGCATTATTGTTAATAAATTTGATATTTTGCGAGGAATTTTTCGTATTATTTTTTTCTCTACGGTCAAATGACGGCTCGTCTAAACTGCGCCTTGACATGAGTCAAAAGCGAAAATGTTGGAAGTAAATTTACAGAGAGTAGAAAAAGAAAGAGTGGGGTAGGTTTGGATGTGAATCTTTCACTTAGTGAATAAGATATTATGTGAATTCAAAGGAGTTTTCATTTTTCAAATCAGAGGCAGCTGCTTAACTGAGAGAATAACGCCACAACATCGGAAGGAGGGATTGCGCGTGCGTAATGCAACCAGCCATTATTTACTTTTCGCTAAGAGTGGTATTTCACCAGTGAACGAATTTCATTATCATTTGCTTCTTCTGTTGCCTTGAAAGAAAAAAAAATGCAATCGCCCAAGGAATCACCAACGGATCAGAATTTACCAGCTGTAGTTGAACTTAATGTAGGTGGTCAGCTTTATACAACGTCTCTTCCGACGCTGTTGAAAGATCCTGACTCGCTGTTAAGCGCAATGTTTAGCGGTAAGCATAAAATCCCTCGAGATTCACGCGGTCGGTTCTTCATCGACCGCGACGGAATGCTTTTTCGCTACATTCTGGATTATCTCCGCAACTCCAAGCTTGCCTTACCAGAAAACTTTAACGAGAGGGACCGCCTGATCGTGGAAGCGGAATATTTTCGACTGAAGGGCATAATAAAGGCTTTGCAGCGAGAGAAAACGGGCAGTGATAGTAAGAATATTCGACCATCTGGTTTTCTATCTATTGGTGTACGCGGGACATACGCCTTTGGACGAGACGGTCTAGCTGATGTTAAATTTCGAAAGCTCCAGCGTATCCTGGTTTGTGGTAATGTTGCCTTAGCACGGGAGGTATTTGGTGAATCGCTGAACGAAACGCGAGACCCTGATCGAGACGAGGCACGTTATACCAACCGCTTCTACCTAAAGCACAACTATCTGGAAAAAGCTTTCGATCAACTGCACGATAGAGGGTTCAAGCTTATCACAAGTTCGGCCGGCGGAGCTGGTTATGATCCTGAAAGCGAAGAGACAAAATGGAACCACTTCAACGATTATGTGTTCTTCAGACTGTAATTATTCATTGCTAGTATTTGTACTTTTCACGATCCCGGTCGATCATCAAACGATACCTTCCAGTGATCGGAGTTTTAAACCATCGAATGATACTGAAGTAAAGAATAACCTGTAAATTTTTTTTTTTTAAACCAGGATATTTCATACAGACAATATATCCCGAATGTTTACCGAAGTAGAAGTCATACTTTCTATTTTTATGAAAAGTGATAAAGGCGTTATTTTTTTTTGTTCAGAGGTTCGTTGAAGAGGTTGCACCGCGCTTATGAGAGGTGTCTTCGCCCTTACGTGTAAAAAGAAGAATGGGTTACCTGTTGTTTCTTGTTCATTTTGTATTGCCGCAATTTTCAAGTGTTATAATACCGGAATGCATTAAGAGTACCTTACTAGAAAGAGAAATTGAATTTTTTTTCTTGGTATTTGTTTAAGAAAAAAATTTCTTCATTTGTATTTCGGTTGAGATCATCAGTTATTTATTTCAGGTTGAGAGTTTTCTTGAGTTTAATTCATAATAGAATAAAGCGAATTATTTAAAACGGGAACATTTAGGTCGATCAAGCAAAATCCCAGTCACGTTGCGTAAATTAGACATCTACGTTTACCTTTTTCTTAAAGGCGAGCGAAGTCAAACGGGGAAAGTAAACAGATTCACAATAGGCATGAAGATTTTGTCCAAATGTTACAAAGAGTAGTATTGTTTTGGTTCGTGATCGATTTAGCAAAGTTTACGCTCGGAATATTCGTAACGTCTATTTTGCCGCTTTTTAACACAAAACACGCAAACGCCTTAAGATGTAACTTGTCATATTTTGCGACTGGTAAATTCAAAACTGGAAATAGTTTTTCTCCTGTAACCCATTTTAACATGCATCGAAATTGAATTTAAAAACCTTAATTAGAATTTGAACTTCTAGATGTGTCTATGGAAAAGCCATTTTCAAACCACACGTACAGAACCACGATTAAGCACAGAGAATGACTTCTTCAGTTGGATCCATGATATATGTTGATGTATATTCGACAAGTATTTGTAAATTGTGAAATGAGAAATTAAAAACAGAGTCACAGATCGCCTTGACAATAACTTACTGTACCGGCTAACTTCAAACCGTCGAGTTGTGTGATAAAAATTGAACTCAGTCGTAACTCTGTTGCTAACTTGTTTAAAATACAACATAAAGTCAATGCGTCATTTAATTTACCAGTAGAAAAGACGAACAGAGTTGCGATCAAGATATATTGTTGTCAATTCCATTTGAAAGAAGGAAAAAAATACGTCCGACCAAATTTTCTCCATGCCTAGGTGACTATCGAAACCATAGTTCGATTAGCCCGAGGATTTTTACTTTCGCACAGAGAAAATACCGAAGATTTAACCAGGAAACTGCTTTTACAGCAACTTTGGCGAGTTATACATCAAATCCTATTTAGCATGTTTGCGTACGCGCTACGCCGAAGACTTTCTGGCTTCGCTTGCAATATTGATTTTTGCATATTGCTGTGAAGATTTCTTGTCGAGGGTGTATACGAATAAATAGATTCTACCCATCAAAGACCAGTAAAAGGCAGGTGGAAACGTTTTGGTTAATTGATGTCAATTATCATAATCATTGCTGATATCACTGAAAGGATCATTAAAGTACTCCGCTTGCCATTCAACAACGTGAAGCATTTCCATGGTAATGCTGAGGTACGTCTCAAAATTCGCAAATGACCTCAGTTTAAATTGTACAAATTCTGACAGGTGAGAGATTTTTCGATGGAAAGTCATTCCTAATGATGATGATAGTAATAATGATAATAATAATAATAATAATAATAATGATAATATTTTACCGTCGAGGACGTCTTCAAAAGCTAATAACAATTTTCACTAAAACTGTCCGGCTAGTTTCCAATCCTCCCGCTCGGCATCGATCCCGTCCCGCTATAAATCTCAAGCGGGAGACTGTAGGACGCTAAAAAATTCCAATAACTCGGCAAGGGAAGAGAGAGGAAAGTTCAGATAGAGCCTGCAACCTTCTTTACAAAATGAGTTAACCTGCGGACGAAATTCAATTGTAGAAATGAACCCCGTAAATGCGCATTTGTGCATTCAGTTAAAATCCATTTTCTTCAATATTTTATTCATTGGAATAGTACAATATAAGTACAAATTGGAGTTCTTTTGTCCACAAATGATCAAATTATGCTACAGACCGCAAATTTATTTAATCTCAAATTAAATTGTGCCGCAAGGAATGGCGCAAAGGATGCAGTTGCTGGTGCATTGTGGACGGGCGTGCTTTTCAGCAGGGGGAGAGGTGGTAGGTGTGGCCTGTACCTTGATATTCGAAGCTGTTCGTTATCTCTGTTCGTGCATGAGAAATTGCCTAGCTCTGCTTCTAAACATGAAGTGTATCGTTAAGAACTGTTGGACAATAATACCAAAGATGGTTGTTATTGAAATATCACACATGCATGAAGGAATGCCAAAATTCTTCATATAGCTCCTTCACGTGATGAAAAACTGTTGACAAAAGGGTATCTTGAAAGTAAACATTATCCTCATCTCGTCTTTTACTTTCATTATCAAATATCGAATGAGTAAAAACGACCAGTAACTTTCTCCTGTCACTTCTATCAATAAATCCAATAATTATTATTGTATTGCACAGCTATTACAAGCTTTCAAAATCTAGCAACAACACAAATTCAAGTCCTCAAAAAAATGAATTTGTACTTTCTATCATATATATGCAAAGTATTCCTTCCCACTATTTTGTTAGCATTTCAGTTAAATAGAAACCTGGAGTAGAAATACACACACTTTGATTTCACTGGTCCTAATTTGTTCTTTTATTTTTTCACTGTACAATCATTTTGACTCAGAGAGGTGTAGCTAGAGGATTATGATATTGGTGTATGTATAACACCCTCTTTGTCTGGAAGATGTGATAATTGAACCTAAAACAAAAGGCTCGTAGCTCTCTAGAGAAATTAAGTTACACTTGGTTCTCTTTATTCTCCTTTAAAATCGTATGTTTGTAATGTTTCTTGGGGGTATATCTAAATATGAGGCAAAATGAAAATAGTAAATTCTTCCTTGTGGTTCAAATTCTTCTCAAACCAGCTTCATAATTCTGAATTTCTTATGTCTTGGATCTGTCATCAGAATCCGAGATAAAAAACTTAGATAATGCAGCTAAAATAGTTCAACCTTCATTGTTGTCTTGAACATTAGTTTCACTGAATGTCTGTTGTGTAATGATATTTCTTTGGCAACTCTCTCCATCCTACTAGGGATGAAACTGATTCAATCTGTGCAAAGGTGTTTGTTTAAGTGAGTTCCTTACCCAAGAATGGAATAATATTAGTAATTATTATTATTATTATTATTATTAATATAATAATTATATAGATGAGTGGACATTCCACAAGGTGGCTCTTCCAGTCCACTCGTTCCAGCTGGAATACTGAAATTTGGAACGTTGGTTTTTGCAGAGGAAGGGAAAGCAGACAACCCAGAGAAAAAACCCTTGGAGTGAGGACAAGAACCAAAAACCAACTCAACCCACATTGGACACCAGGTCCTGGAATCAAGCCTGGGCCACAGTGATGGGAGGTGACTGCTCTCACCACCGTGTCAATGCTAACATCATGCTACCAATGTCTCTATAAATCATTCAATGACAAAATTTAAAATATTATGCAATTGGAAATTATGGGAGATTTCATCCCCAGCAGAAATCAAACACCAAAGAAAAATGATCAGATGGATACTGTAAACTAGGGCAGCGTTCCTCAGGAACACCATCACTTTCCGGAATTTCTAGGCACCCTGTAACATTAAGGTTCTCAGAATACCATACATAGTCAATAGAATGTTTCACTTCTTTTCCTGGGCGAATCTTCCAGGTTGTGAACTCTGGGTTCTTGCCTGTGGCAGTAACATGTGCATTTTTCATTCTCAAGTATTGATTATCCTCCATCAGTTTACAGACTGGCTCTGATGGCTCTGCATTAAAATCTCCAAGTACTATCACAGCCTTATCATCACCAATGCATTCAGAAATTGACTGCAAAAGACTTTTTCCTTGGCTCAGCCGCAAATCTTCATGACCCTCTTTGGCTTTCAAATGAGTGACAGCAGCACAAAGAGTTTTGCCTTGGATTTTATCAAATAAGTTCACCATCAAAGCAACTTGATTAGTGATTTCTCCACTAGAATCTTTTAGTGAGATATCTCTGTGCTTCTGAAGAGAGAATCTGTCTCGATCATAAAACAAAGCACAGCCATCAGGTCCTGAGTTATTTGCAAACTTGAGGCATGGAGACTCTCTTTTAGCCACAAACAGTCCCTCATATCCAAGTTTTTGAAGTGAGGGCAAGAAAAAATCTTCAAAATGGTCAACTTCCTCTAGAGCTATGATATCTGGATCATACATCAATATCCCTTGAAGTAATCGGAGCTTTCGTTTTGACCACAGAAGAGCTTCAGGTGGACTCTTGATAAAGTTATCAGTTGGACTTGAAGTGCTCAATGCTAACAGGAATCAAGACATTAGATGCTTGTGATAGATTCATTAACCTTTTCACTCCCAAGTTCTAATAAGTAATTCCTCCTACTTTCTGCTATACAATTCCTATGAGTAAGTTTCGAGAATTTAGTATTTGATCAATTAATGTAATCCACTAATTTATATTTTTCTTTACTCTCATTACTTGTCTGCTTGGTATTTTATTGATTTTGTAAGGAGAAAGTCTATCTTGGTCACTCATGGGAGTAAAGGGGTTTATTCAATACATGATCAATATCTTACTTTCCATCCTAAATATAATCAAGTCTTTGCAATCTACTGGTATTTCATTTTGCCGGCAGAAGTGAAATTACTAACCATAGCTAGTTTTGCCAATTTCTACTGAATCCGCCGGACATTAATATGTGAGGAAAGAAACCTGATATCTTCATATCTTCTTTCCTGTTGAGTGGTACAGAGGGGATCTTGAAATTGTGGATAATTTGTCAATGGATCATATTAATTTGGGAAAGTCAACAAAGTAAGAATATAATGAGACACTTGCAGAGTTTTTCATTCAGATTTTTCAAGTTTTAATTTTTCTGGAGTTTCTTTCCCTTTGCAAACTGAGTGCTACCTGCAAATTTGGAAATGTAAAGCTTACAGTCTTTCATGAGACAAGCGCATAGCAGGGCCTATATGACCATAAAGATGAGGGTTAGTAAAAATATCTGCTTACCATCAGCAAGGACATTCCACTGAAGCACACGGAATTCAGAAGTTTCCCCACTTTTGACTTTTCTTTCATTCTCACAGCTGATAAAGGTCCTCTCAAGCAATGGTGGGAACTTCTTGACCATTTTTGTTATTTCAGTCATGGTTTCCTTTCGTGCAAATAAAAATCCTAGTTTATCCGCAGCCATTTCCTAGATGAAATGCAACAGTTAAATTGAGAAATCATATTTTAACAACTAACCAGAAAGGTTAATAAAACTTAATATGTACACTTCCTCACTAAATGACTTAAATCGCACTATTTATAAGTTAAGACACCATGCACACTTTCCTAGGTCAAAGATTTAAATTTCTAATAACATCCATAAACCAATGGCTACTTAACCCTTTAACTCCCATGAGTGACCAAGACAGAATTTCTCCTTACAATATCAATACAATATCAATCAGACAAGTGATAAGAATAAAGAAAAATATCAATCTGGGGATTGTGATTTGATCCACTACCAAATTCTCCAAACTAACATCACAAGAATTGTATAGCAGACAGTAAGGAGAATTAGTATTGAGATCTTGGGAGTTAAAGGATTAACAAAAGCAACAGACCACCTTTCTATTGGTTTACCTTCCTAGTACATTATATTGAAATGTTGATGGAACAATCAAAGACTGATTAAATTATGCACCTTTGCTTGAGTGCTCCTAAAGCACCTAACAATGGTTTGTCTCAGGATGGGGGGAGGGGGTGTGAGCTATCCACAGGAATTGACTGAGAGGACTCCCCCTCTGAGAGGGATTTTAGCATTTACACACTGCCTCAGGATCTAGAATTTGACCTGGCTGCACTACTCTTATGAGAACCTAATGGTTTTTGCAATAAAGGTTTAATATTTTTTTCTTCACAGATGTTATGAAAAGTACCCAAGAGCTTTCAAACACTTTTTAGAGTGCCAATTGCAAAATTAAATCTTGAAAGGTCTTTTGTGAAGGGCAATCGAGGAACGGATTTCTGGGCCTGTCATCTTTGTGAAGTAGGTTAGGATACGAATTGGGGTACACCAAAAATTGAACGTCCAATCTTGGAATACTATTGCAAATGAGATGGCAGCCGAAAAAAAAATCGTTGTCAAGCCGATCGAGTTGCAGTTTACGGCCCCAAACACTATATAAGACCAAATTTTCCGCATCCTCAATGAACTCCTACTGAAGGACGGAGCTTTACCTGATTCATTTGTTTCTTGATAAAGTTAAAAAACGCTCGGTTTTCAAACACACTTCCGGTACTAAGGATCCAGCCATTTACAAGAAGAACAACACCAGTTACTAAAGATATCCCAATGACAAGAAAACGCTTTCCGCCACTCTTCGAAGTCTTCATCAATCTCGAGCCCAGGGTCACAGCGGCATGATTGGCTGAAGTATTTTAATACTTTAATATTTTAATATTTTAATAAGTATTAAAATACTTATAACGAGACCGCTGACTACTCAACCGTGACACTCACGTGAAATCTCGAGCCCAGGGTTATTTTGGCTCCTTATCAGCGGTACGGTCGCCTGGTATTGGTAGGTACGTCATGTATGGGGAATTATGCATGACGTACCCATGCAAATAAATTCGTCATTGAATTTCTTGTGGAGTCAAATTCCCAGTTTATACTTCCGAGAAACGTCAGATTTCAACTAAACTAGCCATAAAAGGTCAAAGTCTTGGATCACGTTGCAACATTTTCAACTACGCAGTTCTTCTAGAGCTGTTGGAGGATAGATTTAATTCCTGTACTCATGGAGTCAAGACGTCGTTGCTGTGGCTGTTGTAGCCGAAGAGTTTTGATCATAAGCTTTGCTATAACAGGAGTCTTTCTCCTTGTGGCTGGCTTAGTTTTAGATGTCGGTGGAGTGTTCTCGAACATAATCAAGAACAAAGTGGATCAGGTAAGCTCAAGCTTCCTTTAAATTTTTTGCATAGACAACGCTTTAAGGTGTGGAAAGTTTGGTCTTGAAAAGCCTTTCATATGCGTCTTAGTAGGACTTAAATTCATAGACACTTTGTTCGAAGAAAAGTCATTGTCCTTCTTTTCACTCGTTGCCTTTAATGCCCAACAAAAGCTGAGAAAGGAAAATTGCGCAAGTGCCCACGAAATTTTTTTTGAAACGAAGTCGCACATGTACCTCCTCTGCCCTGTTTAGGTGAGATCTTGGATTGGTTTACTCCTAAGAATAAAATTTTGCCGTAGATTTGTCGTTTTAGTCATATGCTTTACATGTTGCACAAAACCGAACTTCGCACTTTGACTTCGACCGATTTGCTCTATCATCAAGTGGTTTCATGTTAATACTTGTAGCTGTTATTTCATCGTAAATATAACATTAGTACAGGTAATTTCTTTGTACATCAAAGTTTCTCTATGCAAGTACTGCTTGGTATATTATGTACTTGTCTCATGGCACGACATTTTAACTGGTGTTACCAAACTTAATATTTCCAATGTGCCACAATTATAGGCCTCCACAGACTTAAAATTTGCTATTTATAATGATTATAACGTTCCTAGTGACCTGAATGTTATTTTTACTTATTTTATATAGAAAGGAAGGTCTTTCATTTAGGACATCTTGTCCTATTAAGATTCCTTGGGAGAACATTTGTGACAGACCTAAACTATAAAAATAAAGATGAGGATCACCTGACATGGGAGCATAATATTCTTTCAACTTATTGAAACAGCTGTTAGTACTACATTTTTAATTTGTTTATTCTCCTGCTCTTCAATTGCTTTCAATCATGGAATGCACTTTCTAGATGAGTGACATAATTTTTTGATGATATGCTGTAGCTATGAGTGCACCCTTAAGGCAGGTTGTAACAAACTGTGCATCCAATCAATGCCCATTGGACTACTGTACAATAATATAGATTGTGGATCAACTCTTATTTCAGAGTGTTGAACTAAAACCTGGTGGCTTAGTGTATGAAGAGTGGGTTAAAACTTCACTTCCTGTGTACATGAAGTATTACGTATTTGACTTGAAAAACCATGAGGAAGTAATGACAGGACAAGCAGTTCCTGCTGTAGAGCAGAAAGGCCCATATTCTTACAGGTATGCTCACAATGTAACAGTATAACAGGAGTTACAATATAGCAAGCTACTGATAGAATTTTGCAATTTATCTGAAGCAAACTCGCCACCTATTTTTCTCTTAAATTAACAACACTAGAGTAGAGATCAGACCTCCCATTATCTGCCTACTTTGAAGTTTTTGCCATCTACTTTAAAACCTACCAAAAACCCTTGTACACAGATATGTCCTTGAAAAGAAAACTGTACAATTGGTAATTAGGGAACTTTCCTTATCTTATAGAGTAATCTGTTTGAAAACTAAAAGCAATTATAACTTCTTAACCCTGTTTTCTTGTGCCTCTGTTCATATACTTGTACTTTTAGTTCACTTTTGTTCCTTATTTTACATCAACCTACTTTATGATTTCGTCTATTGATTATTTTGGCGTTGATTGTATTATACTTTATCAAAAAGTGCTCCAAGTATAAGTAGAACAAAATAACCTGCTTTTCACATGCTGGTGCCCACAAATGTGTTGAAAACCTCACCTTTTACAGCAAGACATGCCTTTAGAATGATAAGGAATATACACTCTAATTACTTTCACTTCAGGAAAGAAATTTGCTCATTGCAATTAGTCAAATTTAAGGGATTAAATATTTTGTAGAATTACATAATGAAGTGACATTTTACTGTATGAAATGAGTGGTTTTGAATGATTAGATATTTTAAAAATGCATAAATTTGTTTTGCAGAGAACTTAGATCAAATGAGGTGCTGAACTGGACAAGTGACAGGAGCATTGTAACTTTTATGCCAAATAGAACTTATGTTTTTGATCCAGAGACATCTTGTGAAGGCTGTGATGACAGGAATGATACATTTATGAGTGTGAATATTCCACTTATGGTAAGCAGAGCTTTTAATTTTTCAGCCTGTGAAAATTTTACTCTACACTGGATTATTTAGTAATAACTATTCAAGGGCTACTTTGTGCAATAATGTGGTGTAGATAACCTCAAAAAGTCACTAAAAGACAATGCTTTACCGAAGAAAGTCTATTTTTGACTTTCCCCCACAGTAAGTGAAGATTAAAGCTTCTTTTCAGACATATTAAATGGTCCTTTTAATGCCATCATAAATAAACCATAACAATTATAAAGTGTAGACCAGCTGCCCTAGAATATAATGGATATAACCTCAAGCAAGTTTGTTTACAATTTCAATACAATCCTTTTAATTTATTTTAAGTTGTGAATCAGTCACTCATTTTATTTTTTCTAAACCAGAACTTTTGAAATTACACAAGGGGAAGTGTTAAACCTTTCGCTCCTAGGATCTCATTTAATAATTCTCCTTACAGCCTGTCATACAAATTTCATGATGTTAGTTTGGAGAATTTGGTATTGGATCAACTAATAATCCCCTAATTCATATTTTTCTTCATTCTTATCACTAGTCTGCATGACATAGTATTAATAATGTAAAAAGGAATTCTGCCTCGGTCACCCATGGGAGTTAAAGGGTTGATGACTGAATCGTTTACATTTTGAGTCTGCTCTGGCTAACTTTTGCTTTTTTTCTTGTGCAACAGACTCTGGCTTTGTGGGTAAGAAACAACAACTATGACAAGAAGCACGGATTCTGTTTCCTTGGAATGCTAATTGAAGCTGAAGTATACAAAGTCAAATTGTTTCAAAGGAAGACTGTGTATGATATCCTGTGGGGATATAAGGATCCATTCTTGGAGTTCTTAGTACATGCCAGCCAAGGAATTCATATACCCTACATAGATATAAACATCACTTGCCCAGGGCAGGATGGATTAACAGACTTTATCCAGTTACAGGTAAGTGAGCAGAAATATTATTCACCTTTGTTATTATTACTTTTGAAGGGCTGCCAGAAAAAGACCACATCAGGTAGCATAGAACTGGTGCAATTGGCATAATGCTTTGGCTTCCCTTTGTGTCATTTGACACCAGAAAGACAGAGATAATTATCTGTGCAAACCCATCAGAAGTTGCAAAAAGTAACTCACTTTTGTATAAGAGGAGTATGTTCAGCTGGGCTAATTGCTTTTGGGGAAATATGACAACTTTGTAAAACCTGCCATGTCATTCATAGAGAGAAAATATATAATTTAAAGCGTACAGACCATTAAGAAGACAATACCATTCGGTGCATTATGAAGCTGGTTAAACAAGTACATATACTATTCAGTATTGAATAACTGAAAGGAGGTGTGAATGGAATAAACTTTTTTTGCCCCAGGGGCTAGCTAATTTTAATAAACTAAATATATTTTCAGTATAACAACACATATTATGGAATAAGTGCTGTGAACAGCGGACAAACTGATATCAACAAGCTTGAACAATTTACTATGTGGAGAGGAGAATCGTAAGTGTGAAGGTTATGCACATGTCAAACAATGATACTATGCCACTTTTGTTGCTTACATTTTGCAGAGTAAGGCCTGTAGCCTCCTTTCATACATCCTCAGATACTTATAGAGACTGTTTCATTGTTCTATTAGTAGTGAGATAATTGTCATTCATTGAATCTCAATTAGTTGTCATTCCTAAGCTCTAATTGCTCCTCAGCAAAATTTTTTCAGTTCTATTAATCTTATTTGTTTTCAACAATTTGTTTGCAAATTTTTTTAGTCTACAACTTTTGCATCATTTGTTTTTCGCTATACACTCAAAGTTAGTTGGAACATCACGTTTCTTTTTCTCGCACTGAGAATCTTGTATTTTTTAGAAACACAGATGCCTTTCTTAAAAAAAAATTTTTTAAAAAAACATGTCAAGCATTTCAGTGTTTCACTATGACACAATTCCACTCCCAAAGCATTTTGAATTTGACTGACATAAAAACTCTTAAAAAAATTTTTCAAATAGTATTTTTGAAGTTGTAAAAGTAGCTAGAACAGCTTAATGTAACTCATCAAATGAATGTCATTTGTCTTGGCTCTTCTCAGAGTGCAGGGAATAGTTGTTATTAAACAGTTATTATTAGTTAATGTGCTGTAAGAAATCAAAGCCTCCCAAATTAAGTCTATTGATCCCTTAATTCCCATGAGTGACCAAGACAGAAATTCTCCTTACAATAGCAATACAACATGAAGCAGACAAGTGATTAGAATAAAGAAAACTATCAATTAGGGAATTATTGGTTTATCCAATAGCAAATTCTCCTCACTAACACCATAAGAATTGTATGGCAGACAGTAAGGAGATTAACTAGGGAGATCTTGGGAGTGAAAGGGTGAAGAATTCTTGTATAGTTGTCTAATATTCATGATTTGGTGCTTTTAAACTAAAAGATCAAATTTTGTTTACATTTGCAGCCATTTATCATGGTGGAGTGACAAGTATGCAAATATGATTAATGGAACAGGTACATTGACATTTCTCAGGTTTTTAAGGCTCCCCTGGCCAACTGTATCAAGTAACTGATTAGTTGGTTAAACTGGCGAGACTAGTTGGTTGTGTTAATTAAATTGTTTTATTACATCCATTTTGAAATCACTGTTGATCGTTGTAATCTGATCGGCTCTAAGCAATGTGATTAATCCACGGATCACTTGATTTTTTTGCAACAAATTGCATCTTTTTCTCAGCTAATGAGAAAGTACCGCTAAAAACAAAACAACTTATCAGATTTCAAGGCCTGTTTAAGTACATGTTACCAGCAAATTGTAGGAAATTTTGCAACTTTTGTCCTCAAAACTTTCTCTTTTGTTTTTTCTTTGTTAACGTCTTTTTTGCTTTAACAAAGTGGACAGAATCTTCCTATTTTGTCTTGCAGATGGTACTCAATTTTCGCCAGGTGTTGATAAACATGCGACATTATATGCCTTTTCTCCAGAAGTTTGCAGGTGAAGTGTTCTTGACCCCTCAGGACTTGTTACTCTAATTCCTGTAGCACTGAAAATGCAACATATCACTGATGTAACGGAAGGAAAGGGCAGGGGATGGGAGGGTTGTGTGCGATGAAATGGTACAACATATCACTGATGTTACGGAAGGAAAGAGGAGGGGAGGGGAGGGGAGGGTTGTGTGCGATGAAATGGCACGTGGTCGTGATGAGCAGTGATATGAACTGTCGCTCAGGACCAGGGATAGGTAACGGCCGTTCAGTTTAAGAAGCATCCAGCGCCAAGACTTGACGCAAATATTGAAGCTCTAGCCTTAGCATGTTGCAGATGTTCAGTTAGTGAAATGAAGCGCGATAGTAGCAGGGGAGTGAAGAAAAAAAGGGGGTCTGGGTCGGGTTATGTGATGAAATTTTTTCCCGTCCCAAACCTCCGCGGCTTTTTCACTCCACCAATACTATCGCGCCGTGCACTATTACGCTCCGCTCTACTAACTGAACCCCTAGAACAGTCTACTCTAACAAGGAGCCAATAAAACGCAAAGTAAAAATAAACAAACTGCTTATTGGCTGCGATTGGTTCTAATTTTGAATCTGATTGGTTGATAGGATGGCGCTAGTTTTAACTGGATCAATCAGGTGGCAAAGTTGAGAAATATCCAAGCAATCTTGGCTTACTTTGGACGCTCAATTAAAAATTGTTTTATGCATCTAGACTGTGGTTTAAGGGGAAAAAAATATCAAAAGTCGCTCGCCAGAGCAAAATATATTTTCGTCTATGTGAAGTTTTGATTTCCTTTTCCACAGATCTTTATATTTTGTCTATGAATCTGATCAGACTGTAAAGGACATTAAGCTGTACCGCTTCACAGCACCAGATAAACTTTACTTGAATGGTGATACTTATAAGCCCAATAAAGGATTCTGCATGCCCTCTGGCTGTTTACCCACTGGCTTGCTGAACATCAGCCGCTGTCAGCCACTGAGTAAGTCAAAGGAAAGTTTACAGCCCTAAGATTCGCTTATCAATACTCTTCCTCTTTGCTTATCAGTAATATTTTTTGTTGACAGTAACAAATTGAAGCAGAGTTGATTAAATACACGTCAACCCTTTCACCCTCTAGCAGTGACTAGAATCTAATTTCTCCTTACAATATCACCCTTGAATCAACCATTTAATTCATGAGAATAAAGGAAATGAAGAAAATCTTGATTGTTAAACAAATTCTCCTTGTCAGCACCATAGGAAATGTAGAGAGAATAGTAGGGAGAAAATGCATACTGATGTTAAGGTGTAAAGGTTAAATTACTCGCGCGGCTCGTGCTCTTTGATTGGCTCAAGTTTTGGCGAATATATGGCCCACGTTTGTATGTTCGAGCATAAGCCAAGGAAACTGGGTCTAGCGCACGAAGTTGAGACTTTTAGGGAGAAATGTTGTGAAAAGTCAAAATTATTCTTTTGAAATGCTGTTGTTACGATTCATCATCGCACAACTAGTAACTTGCTCTGGTAAAAACTTTAAAGAAGAGATTACAAAGTGCATCGACCAATCGGGACAAGAAATTGTCCTCGTTTCAGAGAAACAAGCGTCAGTAATTTCTCAGCCATTTATATCATTCGGCCAGTGGTAGTACCTGCACTAGCTTAGCTACGCTTTTCATGGCCTCTATCGTCTTGTGAGAGGGAGTTGGTTTAAGTACAAGCCTGTTTATCTTTACTGTCATTTAGTGATAATTTTTTTAACGCTTTTGTTTCTCCAGATCCACCTGTAGTGTTATCGCCACCTCATTTCTACCAAAGTGACAAGTCCTTGTTAAAAGCGGTTCATGGGCTTAACCCAGAGAAGAGCAAACACGAAACTTACGTTGATATCGAACCGGTCAGTAGAGTAATACAACAAGTTAATTAACTGTGTAGCAAAGAAACATACGTGGTTTCAAATTTTGTGCATTTTACTGACATAGCAGTTTCAGCTGAGTTTCGAAAAACAAAAGTAATGACAACAGCCAACCGGAGAGAAGGTGGACATTATCATTAGCCAATGAGAACTTCAATTAAAAGGAGCCAAATCGCTCGAAACGCGGGAAAACGCGGGCGACAAAATCGCGATTAGTTTAAGTTTTGCATCTGATTGGTTGAGGAGGTGGCGTGAGTTTTCTGGACCAATCACAGTGCGAAGGAAAACCAAAGCAAGTATGGTTACTCCCGAACCTCAATTGAAACTGCTCTATTTCTCGTAAGAGTAAGTTTTCACAGATAAAAGAAATTTCGCAAAATAGGACGCTGCAAAAATGTCAAGCGTAAACACCTGTATTTAAATTCAGTGTCAGTTTGTATTCTTCATTTCCGTACTCAACTCAGTCCACGTATCTCTTCGTAGAAAACATCTTCCTTGTTGCTTCCCTGTGTATAACTGTAGAAGTCGGCAAATTTTCCCTTATTTATGTTCTGCCTCTTGTACAGAAAATCTTACGTGTTAGTTCCCAGCAGGAATTTCAGCCACCTTGAAGCGTAAAGATTTGTTTCCACAAAACAGAAAACCTTCCTAATCCACAACATTTTCATGCTGCATTGCATGCTGGTAGCTCATGATAACGAACTAGCCTGTTAATTCTTAAACTTTCAGTACTGATAACCTTGTGTCTTCTCCCTATAATCCATATAGTATCCCACACAAACAGGTAACGAGGATACTCAAACTTATCAGATAGAAGTTGCTATCATCATCTAACACCAAATTCTAGGAACTAATTTTAACCCTTAGGAGTGACTTGCATCTTGAGTGAGTGAGTGAGTGAGTGCACTTGCACTCAAGTTGTGAGTAACTTGCACCTTGAGTGACTTGCAATTTCTCCTTACAGCATTACTACTGAATCAAACATCAGGGTTATGAGAATAAAGGAAATGATCACACACCCAAGAAGCTCATGACTGTTAAATCACACCCCCAAGAAGGACTCTCTGGGTCATGACTGACGTTGTCTTAAATCAATCTTCCCTTAAAACCGTAAAAACCATAGGAAAATTTACAGAGAACAGTATGGAATATACAAACTGATGTTAGATATTTGCGCCGAATAAGTATTTATTTATTATTATTAGGGTGAAAAGGGTTAAAGGAAATGTTTAGCAACGAGAGGGAGGAATAAACGATCAAATCTTGGTAGTTTACCATTTAGCTGCCAAGATCTGATTGTTGATTCTCCCATCTATCTGCCGAACATTTCTTTATAAAATCAGTATCGAGAGTTTGGTGTCAGATTAAGATAACAATTTCGAACTGATAAGTTTGAGTTTTCTTATGACCTGTTTGTTGGATGTGGAGAGAATATTATTGGGAGAAGTTGCATGTTAATCACTTGTGGGAGTTAAAGGGTTAAACGATAGGCTTTGTCTAGATAATACCAAGAGATGTAATTCAAGGGGCTCTGTCGTTTATCGTCTGTCTCGCATACATAAGCTCTTGGGATAAACGTGTTGATCATAACCATTACAATTTCCTCAAATATGATTGGTGTATCAGCTGCTTTATATTTCACTAATCACTCTGTGCACTTGCAATCGGACAGTGTAATTGGACAGTTGGCTGTAATCGGACACCTATAATCGAACAGTTGAAGCAGCCAATCATACTAAGTCCACTCAGCTAAGTCCACTCAGCTAAATCCACCAATCTCAAATTGATCACAATAACCATAACAACAACCGCTTACCATGTATAAAGAAACTAGGAAGTTTCCAAATTTTTTGCTTTAGACATTGCTCATTTGCATTTTTTTTTTCAGAAATTGTAATGGTTATGATTAATTGGTAACAGGACTTCGTGTCGTCCAATTCTGTCTGTAGTCATACTCTTGATTGACCCATCGGACTCCCGCTTCGCGGTCGTCCGATTTTGTTAATCACTCGTATGATTACAGACCGAATTCCTTTAACCATTACTAACAACGACTAGCTTTCATAGCATATTGCTGATCGTGACGATATGATGGTTGCATGTCACGTCTGAAGCTGGTGAAGGCTCAACCCACACACCAAACTCTCTTTAGCCCAGGAGTAGAGAATCGGAAGGCGGAATACAAAGGTGTCTGGTTCACCTCCTCATGGGGACTCAGATTCTTTTTCTTTGTCCTGATGGCAGTGACCGGACGAACAAACATCTTTCTTTAACTTTCAGTCATGTTGGTCAATCCTTAATTCTTCTGTCTGTCACTGAAACTTTTTTTCCAGATTACTGGCATTGTTATGAGGGCAGCTAAAAGGATTCAAATCAACATTGCCGTGGAGCCTGTGAAAATGTTCGCGTAAGTGGATATAAATTTATTTTGGATATAAACTTACTGTGCTTTGCTGAATACCATGCGAACTGAAGAGTCCTAGGCGCCTCTTGAAAACTTTGTTTACGTTGCCATCAGTCAATCATGCCTAAACTCTCCCAACTTGTGTCAACATTTTTAAAATCAATGATTTAAAAAGGCACTTAAAGATATGCTGATATGCTTTTTTTTTTTTGCAGTCCAACTAATGGGAAATTTTCGAAAGTTTTCCTTCCTGTGATGTACGCTAGTGAGGTAAGGCCAATTTTACTCCTCTCCTTTGCATCCTTACGTTAGGAGTCATTTGAGAGTCTCTAAAGAATTTCAAGCTTAGAAAAACTTTGAAAAAAAAACGATTTGAGAATTTTAGCTGCTGTAATTTGTTGAATATGTAAAGTGGCGGAGGTCTAACAATTTGCTGTTTAACTCCTCAGAGTTTTGTAATTACCGACGGGAAAGCAGCCGATTTTCGTCACAAGGTGTATTTACCAATCACAATAACAGAGGTGATACAATATTTTCTGATGGGGCTGGGAGCCCTGTTCATTCTAGTAGCCCTGTTGTTGCTGATCTTGACGGCCAATAAGAAGAAAAACGATCTAGAATTGCGTGTAAATGAGGTAAATCAGATTTAAAGGTTCTTAAATATTGGTAAAAAATGCATATGTTAATGAAAAAGGAATGTGTTCCCTATGGTATATGCATCAACGTGAAATTTGGTACCTGAAATGCGTAGAACCGCTGAATTCCCACTACCACAGGCTCCTGGAGTGAGCCCTTTTCAAAGCGCATGCGCAAGGCCGGTATCAACCTGAGTGGTTCGTTACCCATGACGTACTCGTAAAGATATTTGTTTTCCAATATTTGTTATTCGTTGATCTGTGGCGGAAAAGGTCGATTGTGTGTCTATTAGTTCCTCGCTCATGTCTGTAAAGCACATTCTTTCTTAGTACACGGATTTATTTATCCAGATATTATTTCCGGCGGAAGAAATCGCCGCTTTGCAAAGCTACTTGACAATTGTTATTGCTTTGATTTGTTTTGCCTTTTTTTACTCTGGTTGATTTAAAGATCGAAAATATAATGCTCAAAAGACTTTCTATCGTAGTTGTAGCTAGTTACAAAACGCTATGTTGTTAAACATGTTTTGTTTTGTTTCCTCATCCTAGGGCGATGGTCATGTTAAGGACGATGAGAGACAGCCTCTTGTTACTGACGGGTAAGTCGTGCTCAATTTTAGTTTGGTAGGCTCTAAATAGCCAGTTATCTCTTTTGTACCTTTTCGCTGATGTTTAATGGATTTTTACGCGTGCACCGAGAGACAACTTCTTAATTTTTTCTGAAGCATTTCTGCGAATAAAATGTTAAATCTTCGAGTCTGATTAGCAAATCGCGTTCGCAATAGATGCAACATTTTTACTGTACGGTCCACGGAGATTAACATTTTCCACGCCTTTCGCGGCAAAGCGGCCTTCAGACTAACGCTATACTCCAGACTCCTTGGGCATCGTTTTTTTCCCTCACGGACCTGTTGCCTGGTAAATGACAAATTTTATGTATAGTTTATGACAACTCGAGTTTTCTCTCCAACAGTAGCGCGATGTACACCTAGAAGAGATCTTGCACCAACTTTTCAAGAAAATGAAATGGAGAAATGCTGGGAAATGTTTAATACGCGGATTAGAGGACGCCGGAAAAAAAAGGACTTTTTCTTACAGGAATACATACCTGCTTTGTAAAGGTTGCTGAAAGCTTCGTTTGTTTGCAAAAACTGAATTTATTTTGTGATGATGGAACTTTATGCACATTCAATTAGCGATGATATTCAAATTAGTATAGAAAGGGTAGAATTACTAACAGCGAGACAAATATGCATGCTAATTTATTAAGTTAAAGATACAACCGAGTTAACTTATGCGCCAGTGTTAACATGAAAGGAACAGGACACAGCTCAATCCTCCATGTTGGGTCTGATCCAGCTTTTTCGCATGTAAACCGCCTTCAAACATTTCCGGCATTGCATGAAAGGTTTTCCTTCTCGGTGATTCAGCTCGAGTTAAACAAGTAACTCGAATTTGTATAAAGAGGCTCCTAACAGTGGAGGAAGTGATAAGGGACTGCTATGGTCTCAGTACACCTCGCTTTGTGATTGATCCAGAAAATTCGCTCTTCATTGTCTCAACCAAGCAAATGTTAGGATTTAGGCACCCATGAGTGATCAAGGCAGAATTTCTTCTCACAATTTCAATAAGTATCAAGCAGACAAGTGATGAGAATAAAGAAAAATATAAATCAAGGGATAATTCGTTGATCCAAGACCAAATTCTTTTTTTTTTTTTTTTTTTTTTTTTAAATTTTCACTTAAAGCACAAATACTAGAGTAATACAAACAAATACAAAGTTAATTACACTAACGCTTGCGCTACTCACTAACACTAATTACGAAATACTACATTACATTACATTCACAGTCGGCTAGATTTAATTTATGTTGTGGTTATATAATAATATAAGCCTAATTTGTACAAATACTTCGACATCAAATTCCTTTTTTGGTAGAACGACTGTATATACAACTGCGTCTATAACTGTTAATACCGATACTCATCTATTGAGTTACAATAACATGTTTTCCCTCTTTTTATAATGAAAAGATTCTTTTTTATTCTTTTTTGCAATCAAAAATTCAAGTTTCCGAGTTTCAGATGTTTTAGCCTTCAGTAAGGATACAGACGGCTTGATATTTTTACAACGACATGAATAAATGGTATATTTTCCAAGAATGATTATGTGATTTAACAAACAATTCCCAGGGTTATTATCGGAAATACCAAAGAGGATTGTTACCTCATCAAGCTTATCAATTTTCATATTGTAAGTATTTAACCAAGAAATAACCGAAAGCCAAAAGTTTTTAGTGTAGGTACAGCTGATTAGAAGATGCTCAAGAGTTTCTTCGTGATCTCCACAAAAGGTACACATCGGAGAAGGAACCAAATTCATTTTATATAGGATTTTATTGGTGTAGAGAATACGATTTAAGATTTTGTATTGAAAGGCTCTCGTCCTGGTGTCAAGAGTCAAAAAAGACCAAATTCTCCGAACGAACATAATAAGAATTGTATGGCAGACGGTAGGGAGAATTACTACTGAGATCTTGCGAGTGAAAAGGCCGAATGCGTGTAAGTCACGTTTTGACGCGCTTCAGATGGTTTGCTCTGTTTTTACCTGGATAACAATTTGTTCCTAGAAAAAGTCTTCTCTACTCTGTTTTAATTACTCTGGTTTAGATTTTTAGGACTCTATAGAAAAATCCTTTTTTTATACATTAAACGCCTTGTAATGTAGCTACGCTGTACTCTTTCTTCGAACATGAGGAATGTTAGTTAAGTAGCGTCAAAAAAGTAATCTAGTGATAATCTAATTGAATTTAATTTTTATATATGTAAAGCATCAAATGCTGGATGAGTTAAATTAAATTTAACAATTTTTAGGGCTGAGTTTTTATTGCCTTGGTAACTCCCAGTCTATCTGGCAGTCCCACTTTGAACAACTCGGCCTAGACGGATATGTTAAACTGTATTCAGATAAAGCTCTTCAAGAGAAAATTCGTGCTGCTATATCGATGTTGCCCATAGTTTTTCATTCTGTCGAAACCTATCAGTGTTTCTTTTTTGTTTGTTTGTTCGGGTTTTTTTTTTTTTTTTTTTTGTTTTTTTTTTTTTTTTTTTTTTTTTACTTAAAAGCGATGTAGTTACCTGGGTGGAAACTGCGAAGTACTTCGTAAATTGAACTCACGTTCACTTCCTGCTGGATGAAATACTGTATAGATTTGTGTGAAATGAAAGATTTGGACCTGGGAGTTACTGTAAATGCTGTCGTGGGATCGAAAAATATCCTGAAAATGGGTTTTTTTTCTTGCCGTGACAGTTTGGTATCGTCGCAAGCTACCGCTGTCTTGTCACGCAACGCCTTCTTTCCCATACCAGGTCGTTGTGCGTGACGTGAGCAAACAGCGGTCTGCGCGCGGCGAGTCAGAATTGACACTTATGCATGTCTGACGTTTTCGAGCTCCTGTGTTTATGTAATTTAAAGACTACGAGAAATGATAAAATAGCAGATTAGTTTGAGTTCCATAAAATAAAAGTTAACGCTTTTGCCCTAGCTTAAGTCTAGCACCATTTCTTCCATAAGGTGCGAGAAATTTGATTGGGGTCATCAAAATTCTTAGCAAGGACTTCTCAAATGTTTATAGAGGTACTGGTGCTTAAATGAAAATAGATCCACGATATTCGCTCAAATAAATCAAGGTCTTGCTTGCAATAAATATTTATTGTAAATAAAATAAGGAAGATGGTAAGTTTTAGGCTCGATAAAGAAATAGAGAAAGATGTTTTTCGTTTTGTCACAAGCGTGGGACAAAGAAAAAATTCTGAGTCCCCGTGGGGAATCGAATCTCAGACCTTCGGATTCCGCGCTCCGATGCACGTATATTGCTGATCCCAGCAGTATGCAGGACGCGTGTCATAAATGAACTTTGTGATGGGCCTTGCTCACCAGAGTCTATTTCTTTACCGAGCTTAAAACATGCCATATTTCTTATTCTATTTACAGAACACGACGCTATCGGTATTGCTGATCCTAGCAGTGTGCAGTACGCGTGTCATATATAGACTTTTTTTGGGCTTTTTCTCACCAGAATCTCTGTGGCTCAGTGGTAGAGCATCGGAACGCAGAATCCGAGGGTTCGATTTCTCATAGCAACTCAGAGTTTTTTTCTTTAGCCCTCACTCGCTACAAGACGAAAAACATCTTCCTCTAAAATATTTATTAGCAAGTGGTTTGTTCCGAGTCTTCAATCGTTTTCGGTACAAGAGTTCTTGAAAGAATTTTAGGGGATAATTCAGATAAACAAATTTCTTTGTATAATATTTTGCTGATCACACGCGGTTTCTGTATAAAGAAGGAAGGGAGTGCCTCACATATCTTTCTCTATATATGTCAATAGCCACCCTCTGCCATACTTGGTACTGCTCGATCTGGTCGATCGATCCTGAGGCACTCAGGTGAGATCGCGTGACTGTCCCAAGAGCGCGGCCATCGAGTCCCAAGCCTTCTCGACTTGGACGTTCAAACCGCTTACACGCGCCAGACATCGAATGTAATCGTGCTAATTAGCGTGAAGAATCAAACTCGGCTGATTTTTTAAATCAGGGGAAATCCAGTTTAAGTTACTCCTGGGAACATGTGGCGATCATTCACAGCTGATTCTCTCACAGGCAGGTCACGGGAGAAGTTGCCTGCAAACCCTATGAAACGAACTAAACATTACCGACGATTCAATATTGACCTTGCTCTTGTGAGAGTATGCCAAAGTTTTCTCTTTGACAAATTGTACTCCATTACGAGATCTACCATTAATTTCTATACGTCATGGCATTCTTTGGTTGTTGCAGTAGACGATTTTTTATCACATCTCTTACGGTTTTCGGGCTCATTCTCCTTGTGAGTGGCACTATATTAACGGCAAGTCATGTGTTCTCGAAGCTCATCAAGGATAAAGTGAATGAGGTCAGTTCCATTTTTATTAAAATTGTATTCCGAATAGCTTTAAAATTTAGTGAAAATGTAGTTTTCTTTTGCCCAGTTCTTGACTATGCTACGCAGCTTTTTTTTCCTTTTTAACGGGTTTAAATGCTACTTCAGAGTACCTCTTAGCAGTATTTTTGAAACTCAGAGAGCAATTCTCAAATAGTCCATTTTACAGTTGTGTGCTTGGTTGCCAAGCCTTTGAACAGGAGTGAGGCTAAGGTTGACCTTGTTATGATACCAATCTTGCTGCTTTTCAAATGCAAATTACTTTGTTATCATGCTAACTAGATACTGGTCTCTATCACAACAAGGTCACCTTCAGCCTCACTCCAAATCTAAGGCTTGGCAACTAAGTACACAACTGTAAAATGGACTGTTAACCCTTTATGCCTGAACCTCAGTATGAATATTCTCCTTACAGTTCCCTATAAATTTCCCAAGGTGCTTACAAGGTGAATTTGCTTAGTTATCAAGAGCTTCTTTAGGTGGTGATCTCTTCCTTCATTCTCATGACCTTAATGTGTGATTTGGTGGTGATATTGTGGGGAGAAATTAGATGCTAGTCACTATTAAAGGTCAACATGTTACAAAAAAAATTGATGGTGGGGGAGAGCTGGACCAGTAGGGCAAAATTGAGAAGGACTGGAGGAAAGACACTTGAATTTTCCCTGAGGTAGGGGGTATGTAATCCCCACCCCTCCACCAAGATTTATTTCTTCTCTTTCCTTTATATTTTTCACTCAACAAGTCTAAGTTGCAGCCAGCTTGCAGAGCAAGAGAGTGCTTTGTAAATTAGGCTGGTGTAAATACTTTTGGAGAGCAGGGATGGTACAGTGATGAGGGCACTTGCCTCCCACCACTGTGGCCAGGGTTTGTTTCCCAGTCCTGGCTTCACAGGTGGGTTAAATTTGTTTTTGGTGCTGGTCCTTCCCTCCTCTGCTTTTCCTCCCTTCTCAAAAAACCAACACTCCAAATTCCAATTGGACCTGGAAAAAGTCAATAAGAATAGCTACCAAGTGGAAGCTGAATTGCTAAATTCCTAAGTATTTATTTTATTTTTATCTAAATAAAAAAGGGGGGTGTTAACAGCTTACTAGTCACTCATTCTTAGGATGTCCAATTGAAACCTGGCAGCACCGTGTATAAAGAGTGGGAAAATGCAAGTGTCCCTTGGTATAAGAAGTTCTATATGTTTAACCTGACAAATCCTGAGGAGGTAATGAATGGAAATGCAACTCCCAATGTGGAACAGATTGGACCATATTCCTACAGGTACCACAATCCATGCATAAAATGTCATTGAAAAAATAATAATTGATGAATGTTATTATTAATAACTATTATCATTTTATTATAATTTTTTTTTATTAAACATTATTGAAATCCTCCAAAGTGTTTAATCACAGAAACATGTTCCCTATTCATGTTAGAGGGTTTGAAAGATAGTCATATGCAATTTAAGCGGTTTAGTTGGTTTTATATAACCAAGTAGCTTTCTGCATTGTTGTCAAATTGAACAAAAGCATGAATAAGCTTTTTGTTCTGAACAAAAAAGCAAACAATACAGCTTTTAAAACCTTCGGTATTGCACACATGATGCAGGATATCAATGGAGTAGCTTGGGGGTCCTGGGGTGCCTGTGACCAAAAGCAAAAAACCAACTATATTCAGGTGGCAACAACTGGTGAGTACCCTCTGTTTGACACAGTGTGACCCCCCTTTGAAAAAACTTGGGTATGCCCCAGGGTAATAGAGGTTTAGGTCATAGATGAACTTAAATTTGGTGGACAGAGGCAGAGAGATTGGAGGGAAAGGGAAGTTTCGGTGGGGACAGCTTCCCCACATTTCCATGTAGAAATTATTGCAAACACAAGATGAAATTTGATTGAGTTCTTTGAATACTCTCTATCATAACAAATGATTGAACATTGTGATTGCACTTGGCTAAACAATATGTTGGGAGACTTTCCTGCTCTATAAAAAGTTGATTATGGACACACTGAAAACTATTAAAATGTAAAAGAGATGTGCATATGCTGACAAACTATTCAGAGGACATTTTGGGAAATTTTAGTAAAGCTAAGTGACAGGCTCAGTGCTTCATCAACCCATTCCCACTGCCCCCCTCTCCCCTCCCCCCTTGCATTCCCTCTCATATTTCAAAGCATTCTGCTGCCTCTTGTGTGTGCACTACCCAAAGAGGTGCATTCCTCTGAATGTAGGTCCATTTTACAGTAAATATGACAAGACCAAAATCAAGACTCCATTTTCAAGTGTCCATCGGGTAGGGTACACTCAGATACATGCTTTTCAATCTGCAGGTAATGTTATGATTTGCATCTTCTTTACAGAGAATTAAGGTCAAACAAGGTGCTTAAGTGGACAGATGATGACAGCATTGTGACATTCATGCCAAACAGAACATATATTTTTGATCCAGAGACATCCTGTGCTGGTTGCCATGATAAGAATGACACTTTTGTTAATGTCAACATTCCTCTATTGGTAAGCTGCAAAGTGAAATATTTGTAGCCAAAACCTATCAGTCATGGAAACTGTACCAAAGTCTAATAGATCAAAATTAAATGAGATAAATTGTATTGTATAGGTTTTATGTGGTATATTATTATCACTTTGTTGGGCATAATATGGCATTTTGTGGGCTAAAATGAAGATTGTGGCAGGCTTAAACATATTTTAACTGACTTGCCCCCTCACATGATTGTTCAGACTGTTTGTGGTCATAGTTTTCAGTTTTTATTTTCTCAATGCCCTCCATAGTGATAATAATTATAATAATACTGTTCATGCTCTTGGGCATAAATATATTTGGGACCCATCTCAAAGATCAACTTTGGACAACATTTTTGCATGTTTGAAAAAATGTTAGAGAAAATCTCCTTTTTTTCTGTCTTGGAACATTTTTTGTCACTTTACAGACCTTGGCTTTGTGGCTGAGAAATACCAATTATACAAAGGAACAACCTAAGGTCTGTTCAGTGGGAATTAAAGCTACAGTGGACAAATTCAAGCTCAAATTGTTTCGAAGGAAGACCGTTTATGATATACTCTGGGGATATCAGGATGAATTTCTTAAGTTCCTTCTCAAGATTTCCAAACTAACAGGATGTCCTGCTCGAGAAGGAATTACAACATTTATCCAATTACAGGTAAAGAAACATGCTAGGACTTAGACGATATTTAGCTATTACAGATGCTTGTGGTTAAATTTGACTAGAAGTGTTTGTCAAGAATCTGATATACCAAACAGACACACAATCAAGATACTGTGGATTACACATCTATCAACCTAATTAAGAGATGGCATGTTACTCAGAACAAAGATTTCAATTTAAGGAGTACAATAACCCAGTGCCACATGCAATAGCCCTTATGGGGTCTGAGAAATGATCCCTTATGTTACAATTCTGTCTTTTCCTACCTGTCTATAAACTGAAAAATGCTGATTCTTGCTTGAAATTTTATAGATGAAGTTCCTTTGTGCAGCTGGCTTCAAATTCCTTTTGACTCTTCAGCAGCTGTCACTCTCAAGTTCTGAAATCTTTATTGCTCTGGCTGTTTATGATTATTATACTAAATGGCTACCTGTGTTAATTTGGTCATTATATCTTAGTCCTCAGTAAATTTCCCTACACTGAAAATTTTTACTGATTTTTGGTAGTTCAAATAAATTAAATCATTCATTTTTTTAGCTACAAATGATAACAAGAAACTAACTTCTTTTATATCCTCACAGCTGAACTGTCAAAACGTCAGATTCCTTTACATAATTAGATTAAAAACTTGCTAAAATTCACCTCACTCTCAACAAGAGGCTTCATAGCTTGGTTTAGTGTAGCACTCAACTAGTGTTCAGGAGATACAGATTCAAAAAGGTTTTGCAGTTTTCTTTGAATCTGTAATTTCTTTAGCTGCAGTTCAACTGTGGGGATGTTCATGATATTGCAGTCACTCTTGGGGTTAAAAGAGTTTTTAAAAAGGCTCGGCACTACTGCCTGCTCAGAAGAGAAATTGGCACAAATGACAATGGCAGTGAATTGTATCAAGGAAGAGTGAGTTTGTGTACCTTTTAGTTGCGCGTGCACTCACCGTCTTTCCTTTTGTTTTCAGTACAACAACACATTTTATGGCATCAGTGCCGTGAACACTGGAAGAACTGACATAAGCAAGCTGGAACAGTTCACTATGTGGAGAAACGAATCGTAAGTATTACCAAGTGAAGAAATGTAAAATGGTTTCCGTGTTTACATAGCCTGATGTAAACACTTGGGAGGTTGGGAGAACACTCGATAAGCTGGAAACCACTCCGCTTCGTGTCGTGGTTTCCTACGCTTATCGAGTGTTCTCCCAACCTCCCGCGTGTTTACATCAGGCTATGTAAACACGGAAACCATTTTACATTTCTTTTATAAAATAACTAATGAAAGAGGAACGAAAACCGTGTTTACATACGCTCATGTAAAATGGTTTTATGGCCAATCAGAGCGCGCGTACTATTTGAATTATTTTATAACGATTAATTATAAACAGTTTATAATATCTAGGTATTACGCAGTACCAATAAGTAGCGATAAGGTACCCAAATCGCCATTGTGTCAGTTTTGCGTCTGATTCTAGATCACCCACAGAAGATAATGAAACAATACAAATTAACTTCTATAATTCTTTTGACCCTCAATAAAAAAATACGAGCACGAGCATACATAATTAGAGACGATTCTGCTCACGGTTCGCTCGTGAGGTATTTAGTTAAGATCCATTTGGATCTAAGGCAGCCATTTTTAATATGGTACCTAAAATACAATATGTTTCTCTTGCAGCCATTTATCCTGGTGGAGTGATAAATATGCAAACATGATCAACGGAACAGGTATTTGGAGGCAAAGGCATAACATGCTGTATGATTACTTCTACCACAAAATTAATGTAAACAACTGTTTGCTCCTTTGATTACTACGCATTAGAAAATGAAAATCTGAAAAAAGGCAATTAATTGTTGAGGGACTCATGAACTAGTTTGGACGTCTAGTATTTCGATGGACAAAGTTAAGGGAAAAATGGTATAATTTACAGGTAAAACTGGAAAACTACGGACTGATTGACTTAGCATGATTACTTATTCCTTCATCACTTGTTGGGGCGCTTATGGGCCGCGGGTGTCTTAAACTGTCCGAAACCAAAGTATTTACAACGGCCCCTAAAGACAAAAATAAAGTTCGCAAGGACATTTTGAGAACCCAAAAAGAACAGTCACGTGACTGAGCACTGGCGCGTTGTTTGGTAGGTTGGCGCACATGACACAAATTTAAACAATTCTTAATTCAGGATGACTTTGGAACTGAAATGAATGCAATTTAGATAATTTCGCTGACGATTTCAATTTTGATCGTTTCTATAACAAAATATGATGTCTTAATTGGTTGTTTCAATTCCAGTTTTGTCCAAATGCACCATTCACTTGTGATGAGGGTGGCTAAAGCTTTGTGCGTGACGCGTAATTAAGGCCAAAATTGATATACGAAGCGTTATTTTTTTACAGAACGACGAGCGTGATTCTTGAATTTAAGAACTAGCGTGAGGTGTGATTTGCTCCCTAAAATATACGCGGAAAGGGAATTCTTTTCTTTCATTTTGTGGAAACCTCTAGATTTCCCTGTAACCTTGAGCACAAGAGAGATTTGAATTTTTTCCATTTCAATACGTGACGCGTGAATTTTCTCAAATTCGTGCGTGAAACGTGATCAGGACCTCCCCTTTTGCTACCCTCTGTAAAAAGACAGGCCAAATCGGATAATAGCCAATAGCCATAGCTAATAGCCAATAAAACTCAACTACCAGCCAAATACCAGCAAATCAAAATGAAGATTACCTCCTGAGTGAGCTTTAGGTATTTTGAACAATCTTCAGACTTTAGAAAGTTGAAATTTAATTTAGCTAAATATAAATCAATAAGAAACGTATGTATCATCACATTAAATTTTCCTATCCTGCATTTTTTTATTGACGCTATGAATTGGTAATTGGACTTCGCGGCGTACAATTCATGGGTAATCATGCTCTTACTCTCAAATCACGTGCCTGATTGCTCCCTAATATCATTACTTAGCGGTGATATATCACGTGAATTAAAATATCTTGCAGTATTTCCCTTTGTTTTTAATTTTCTTTTGTCATCTTTTTGTATTTTATTTGGTTATTTTGCTTTGATGCAGACGCTACTCAATTCGCTCCAGATGTCGATAAAGAAAACAAATTTTATGTTTTCTCGCCAGAAATTTGTAGGTAAGACCCTGGTATGCTACTCCTAATCAAAATCTGCAGAGAATCTTGTGAAGTTTTAACCTTAATTGCATGTCTATGCGTGTTTCTGTTTATGAAAGCTTTGTTTTCATAAGTAATGATGGCCTGGATTCTGAATTGAGGGGGGGTAACCCAAAATTTCAGTTCGGGGCCACGCAAACCACTCGACGTAAAATGACGACGCCAGATTTTGAAATTTTAGTCCAAATTTGGGGGCCTACGTTGCTGGAGTTTCAGAACCTTTTGAAGTTGATCTATGGTTTTCTTTTCCTCTCCCTAGATCTGTGCATTTCACGTATGAAAAGGAAGTCACTTTAAAGGATATCAAGCTGTATCGTGTTACAATACCAGATGAAGTTTTAAAAAGTGGCAATGTATATCCTCCTAATAGAGGGTTCTGCGTAACTCCTGGTTGCTTACCAACCGGATTGTTGAATATTAGTCTTTGTCAGCCGATGAGTGAGTTACTTTTCAGTCATCTTTGTTAAGAGAATAAATTCAATTCGCTAAGTGGAGGGCAGCTCAGTTTAGAGTTAAAGATTGCGCATGCGCATTGCATGCGCATTGCATGTGCGAAGGAGCTTTTCGATTGGATGGGAATTTTAGAAATCCCTTCCAAGTCTTTCCCAATAAGAAAAGCACATTTTAAAATTATTGCCAAATTCCATTAGGGTTGTGTACGAGTTCCAGATAGATCAAGTCAGAAACTTGAAAATTGTTGCAGCTTCTCTCCAATTGGCACAAGTTTTGGATGATAAGTGACGAATTTGTTTTTTCTCGGGTAAACGGCAATAGGAGACACACTGAACAGCCATTCTGACATTAATGGGTCGACTATTTATTAACCAGTTTCCTGTCATTCTTTCTTGTTATTTTCCAGATCCACCAGTAGTTACATCACCTCCTCATTTCTACCAAAGTGATAAGTCTCTGTTACAAACGGTTCATGGGCTGAAACCAGAGAAGAGTGAACACGAGACTTTCTTGGAAATTGAACCGGTGAGTAAAGTTATAATACAGGCTTTATTCAGGTATGTTTTGATATGACGGGACAATACAATGTCAGCCTTCCCAAATCCCATTCCCCCATTCCCCTCCACCCCTATGGTGCAAGCGCGCTTAGGAAATTTGTGAGCTAGCCCGCACAATTTTCATGAGAAAAAATTCACACACTCAACTGACAAGTCTACATTGCTTTTGGGACTAGGAAACAGCAGTGTATGTAGTTCTTCTGCAAAGATTATACCATGGTAACGTCAACCAAATAACTAAAAAATTTCTTTTTAAAACTAGTTAAACCAATGGAATTTTTTAATGCGATCTCTTGCAAGTTGTAATAAAAGGGGTTAGGGGACGAATTCCTGTTTTTCCCCCACCCCTCTCCCCTTGGATGTTGCAGTGGTTGTGTGTTGGGTCAATATATATCGAATTCTTTCGTTAGTTTTTCCTCTGGTGAGGGGTGGGGGCTGGTTGTTTCCAGGGCCATACATTTAAGGAGAAGTATACTTTAGAAACCATCTAACTTTCATCTCCGCCATTTACAACTATATTTGAAGAGTTTCAAATCCTGGACAGTGTCGTTCCAGCTGCTTCCCCGGTTGGCAACTTCTTGCTCAAACGCATAGTATTTAACAATTTTTTTTTTGGTTCACTTCGACAGATAACAGGCATTGTAATGAGAGGTGCCCAAAGGGTTCAGATAAACATTGCCCTGGAGTCCGTGGATGTGTTACCGTAAGTAGAATAGAAACGTCTTTTTAACTCTCTTCAGAATTGTCTTCGTGCTGCAACACGTATTACAAAATGCCGCAGTCTTTGTTACAAAATGCGTAGGTTATCACAAAATGCGTCGTTATCACAAAAATGGCACAGAACAATCCTGTTTATTTAGAATTTGCGTGTGAGAGCAACAAAGAAGAAAAGAATAGTACACGATCAGTAATGTACTTACCTAAGCAGACGTACGAGGCATGCGCACTACACACAGAATTTGATTTTTTTTCATCGTTTACAAAGTTGAGGAAGGTAAAATGATCATTTCAAAATGCGTTGTTATCACAAAACGAAAAACACTCGGAACCAGAATTGCACTGTTTTAGCCTTCGCACCACTTCTGTGATATCCCCGGCATTTATCAGAAAACCTTTCATTGAAGCTTACGAACATACGCCCACTTGGATTGCTGCACCCTCAAGAAGCTCGCGAGAAGCTCTCTAGAAGTTTGCAAATCGATCGTGTGGGAACGCCAATAATCTTACGCTATTAATTACTGCTCGAATGATTCTTCTCCCGACATAGAAATAATGTATTTCACTCCTCTTTTAATTTTTCACCTAATTTTTCTTTCCTTTTTTTTTTCCTCACAGCCAAACCAAAGGGAGTTTTGAAAAAGTGTTTTTACCTTTTATGTTCGCCAGCGAGGTAAATCGGTTTTACTTCAGTCTCATGTACTTGTTTTTCCACAAAGCGCTTTAGGAATTCGCGCCTTTCGTTAACTCCAGTTAGACTGATCCATATTTTTTGTTATTGTAAGTATACAAATATCCTCCACTATATATTTTTTGTTTTCAAGTCAGTATAAAGTTGACACAACTGCTTTTCATTAATAATGATTGCAGATATATGAAATTCATATATTTGCACTGCGGTGAAGAAACGAATTTAAGAGATCCTCGCAGCTAAGAACACTACTGAAGTAGTAGTTGAAAATAGAACCTGAAAAAAATTCAGGCCCGTACGGGATTTGAACTCATGACCTCTGCGATACCTCTGCACCGGTATCGCAGAGATCATGGGTTCAAATCCCGTACGAGCCTGAATTTTTTTCAGGTCCTATTTTCAAATACTAGTTAAGTAGTGTTCTTAGCTGCGAGGATCTCTTAAATTGCTTTTCATTAGTTTCTCGTCTAATGAAGTAAAAATAAGAACATTGTTAATGCAGTTTAAACACAGTTAGAAAAACAGCTTTATCAATGAATTAAAACCAAAAACCATTTTACCAAAATGATAGTACAATAATTGTATACATTTCCCAAAAAATGTCAGCTCCTAGTTAGTGAACACGAAATAAAAGAAGAATAAAAAAGAAGAAAACGTTTAAGTTAATTGTAAATAAAGTGTTATCCACTAGAATTGCAGTATCAGTTGCGGAAATACAAAACGGTCATCAAAATCTTCGCACTAGAAATTTTCAAGAGTTGTAGTCATTAAAATCCCAACACTGTAAATTATCAATCAGTATCTCTCGCATTTCACTGCAAAACTGAGATACGAGTTCCAAATTACTATGAGGATTACTGATGCGAGATTAAAATCTACCAACAAAAAATCCCTGCTGATAAAGACCTAAGGATTCGACTGATAATTTCCCTTCGAAGCAACTTCAACTACCCATAATCACCAAATTGGTAGTTTAACAAATATTTGATATGTTCTTTTTCCTTAGGTTGCAGAAATCACCGACGAAAAGGCCTCAGATTTCCGTGAAAAAGTTTCCAAAATGAACACGGCAATGAAGATAACAAAGATGTTCGAGTATGGTTTGATTGTAATTGGTGCCTTTCTGTTAGGAGTTGTGTTACTATTGCCTTGCTTTGATAACGACAAAAAGGTAAGTTTTTCTCTGCAAGTGTTTTCAGATATTGCTATCATTTTCAAACATTTTCCAGTTACGGAGTTGCATTTGAAAGTTATTAAGATTGTTATTTTGGAAAAATCAACGTTTTCATAATGAATTCGAAGGTAAAGGAAAAATTCTGATGTTCGGTATAGCTCTAAAATCGTACAATTTTAACACTTGAAGACATCTCTCAAGTTAAGTTGTCAGGCGGAAACGGTAGAGAAGCAGCACCAGAATTCAACAAGCAGATTGCTAGATTCTCTTAAACATAAAATTTTTTACCCAGAACACATGTATTTCAGGCGATTTTGGGTCTTAAGAGAAAGCGTCTTTTCAATCATCATATCGCTCTGACGAAGGGCTAACGCTCGAAACGTCAGCTTTTTTACCCTTTATGGTGGCCAATTTATGTTTTCAACTCAGTTGTTAAAACTAAATTACCTGCTATACTCTCCCACCGACGCAGCACCACAGTTTCTTTTGAAACTTGCCCCCTCTTTTCAATCAACCCAGTTCCCAGGGTCCTCTCTCCTCCTCGTACTTTCTCAAGGGCGGAAGAGAGGGGATGGCTTTATCTCACGAAGCAAAAGCCTCGTTGATCGTTTTTCGCCCTTGATAAAAAATCGGTTTGTAATATCAAATACATGAGCCCATATTGTACTCAAATATAATTTTTTAATAACAGTTTTACTGAGTTTTCCTATTCTTCCAGGGTCAAGAAAACGGAACGAAGAATGAAGAAAAAGACGAAAAGCATCCGTTAATAGATTCTTCTAGGAAGACCTTTGCAAATCAAAGTACTTGAAACACATTGCTACTCTTAGATCCTCGCACTGTCCTAAAGGTGCTTGTTAAATGAACGAAAATCGGCATTGCACTAGGTTCCGGACCACCTGGTTCAGAAAACGTCGACAATACGTATTCTTAAACGAACAAACACCAAAACAAAATCAGAACAAAAAGAAAACAGAAACGAAATCAGATAAAGAACAAAACGGGAAAAGGAAAGGAAAATAAAAATCTCAAGTTTTTCGTTGGACGTAAAAGTAGACATGTCAGTAGCCCTTTTTATTTTGGTTTGTACATCTTGAGACTAATTTCTTCATCATCATTGTTATCTTTCTTGATTGGTATCTTATCACTTCTCTAGTATTTTTTCATCCTTAATGAACTTTTGTTATCCTGCGAAAACTTTTTTAGAAAACTCTTTGTGTCATGGAGTGACCTGTTACACGTTTAGAGCGGCATAGATTATGGAACTGGGTTCCTATATGTGTGGAAGGTATTTTAAGTGGGCCACATGCAACGTATAACCGTGGTTATTTTTGGAATTTAAAGAAATGTGTAGATATATCGAAAGATTCACATTTTCATCTTGATGTATGACAATTATATTCTCAAATAACATGTATTTTTTACATTCTGTTATTGTCGTTTTTTTAGTTAGCAAATTTTTCACGATTTCACAACCAGGTATCATAAATGATTCTCCTTACTGTCTGCCGTATAATTCTTCTGATGTTAGTTCAGAGAATTTGGTAATGGATCCACTACTAAATCCCTTTTTAATATTTTTCTTTATCCTCATCACTTGTCTGCTTGATGTTGCGTTGATGTGGTAAGGAGGACTTCTGTCCTGGTCATCTATGGTCATACACTATTTCAGAACGAAATAGGGATTAACCCTGTCCTATTTTAGACTTGAGCAAGAGCTCTTTTCGCATCGTGCCTTTAAAGGAATTCATTGTTTAGAATGATGTTAAAATATAGAGATTTTCAAGCATACCGATGTTTTTCCCACCGCGTTACAGGAATTTACCATCAGTACCACAAAGGCCCCTAGAATATGCTCCAAAAGCCACATTCCCGAACCCAAATCCCAAGCACATTAATTCATACCTTCATTCAGAGCCGGCAGTTAGAATCGATACGCTAATTTAGATCAAAACGGGTTTGCGAAAAGATTGGCGTATGAATCAGTTAAGTGAGCCGCTGTTTCAGTTTAGTACGGTCCAGCCAGCCAATTTTACCGCCTGGCTTAGCTAGGATAGATTATTTACATAGAAAAATTTGGAGCGGCTTTGATTTAGACGTCAAACCCATAATGTGTCCGAACTATAGTACAGTCTGATGTGTTATGATCACGTATTTTTCTGAAACTTCGCGAACCCATCAAACTGAAAGACGACTGTGTAAGCATGTCCTAGCCTGTCTATACGAGGATGAGGCCTGGGGCAGATTTTTGCTTTTATCAACGTAACCGAGGAGAGGTTGGAAAGGGTTACTGTTTCCGAACATCATGGCGACGATTGGTACTGTGATGTTATGGTCAGTAATCTCGATTGCAGCTTTACTTGCGATCCTCTTCTCAGCCTTTTCGATTTACTTGGCATACCTCCATTGGAAGTATAGTCATTTTCCTGGGCCAAAACGGGACAGCTTTTTCACTGGTAACTTGCCTTATATCAAGCGCGGGATAGCGAAAGGACAAATTTTTCCGGAAATGGTCATCGAACTCAACCGAATTCACGGTCCAGTAATTCTCTTATGGATTTTTCACAGGCCAGTCACATTTGTGTCAGATCCTGAACTCATCCGGAAATGTTTAATTACACTTAATCTGCCGAAAAATCCTTTTGGATACATAAATGTTGGATACCCGTTTGGCTATCGTATGATGGGACGTGGATTATTAACTCAAGTGGACCATGATGCTTGGCAGAAGCGAAGAGCACTCTTAAATCCAGCATTTCATCGAAAATACTTGATGAATTTGATGAATTCGTTTAACGAAAGCTGTGACTTATTTCTGGAAAAGTTAGATAAAATGGCTGACGGAAAAGCTATAGTGGACATGGCGGATGAGTTTGCAAGAGTTACTCTAGATGTCATCGGAAAGGTGGGTAATTACGAATAAATGTACTTGCTAAAGGAATTGGAACGGTTCCCATCGAAGCTCATTCTATTCTTGACCACAGCCTTATTCCCAAAGGCATCTGTTGTTTCTGTTAAAGAACTGTAGGCAGAGTATGAAAGTATGGGGTTTTAACCCTTTACACCTTAACAGAAGAATTCATATTCTCCATACTGTTCTCTGTACATTTACTAAAGTGCTGACAAGGAGAATTTGTTCATCAATCAAGAGTTTCTTTAGTAGGTGATCATTTCCTTTATTCTCATGACAGTGTGTGATTCAGTGGTGATATTGTGAGGAGAAATAAGATGCTAATCACTCTTAGAGAATAACCCTCTAACTCCCAAGATCAGATTGTTAATTCTCCCCTGTAACAGCTTCACATTTCCTTGTAAATTAGTTATGAGAACTTGGTGCTAGATCAAGGTAGCAACTTCTACCTGATAAGTTTGAATATTCTCATTACCTGTTTGCTGAAGAATGTATGGATACTGTAGGGAGAAGTTTTTGTTGATCACTTCTGGGAGTTAAAGGGTTAAAGAGTTAAGGAAATCTTGCCAAGGAATTTGCACAGTACTCAATCATTGCCGCTTTATTCCTGTTGCTCAGTAAAACGTAGAAGATTGAATTGATGAATCATTCAACTGATTCTTGTTTCAAAGGCAACTCCTCTCAAAGCTAACTGATGAGTTTTAAAAAGTACTGCAGTTGACTTAATCAGTCTGGTTGAACACAAGTGCATGAGGAAGCATAGATAGCAGGAACCCTTTTTTTCTACTGTGGATGGAGTAGTCTACCACAAATTAAGATGACCACAAGTACCTAGTTATAAATCAGTAAATCATTCATCCCTTGAGGTTGCTCCAAATTCTTGAGCTTCATTGGGCATTTTTCTAAGCCAATACAATTTCCAAAAGATTGTGCTCATAATATATCTAAGGCCTAACAAACATTTTCTCTAAAATCAAAATCAGGTTGCATTCAATGTGGATCTTGATGCAGTCCAAGATGCCAACAGTCCATTCCCATCATCTATTTCAAAATCTCTCAAAGGGATGCAAGATTGTTTTCGGATGCCGTTTTGGAGGATATCTGTAACAACATTTCCTTATCAAAGGAGTGTGATCAAAGCAGGCAAATTCATCCGTGATTTTGGAAGGAAGGTCATTCTTGAACGTCAAGAAGCTATTTTACGAGGAGAAGATACACCACCTGATATCCTTGCACATATCTTGAGTGTCAAAGCAAAAGAACCAAGTATTACAATTGAAGATATGGTTGATGAGTTTTTCACATTTTTTGTGGCAGGTGGGTGAATAGCTGCCTTAATTATCCACTGGTTCACCTTATAAGTTTGCATATTCCCTCAAATGTTTTTTTTACATTTCATATGGTTGTAACTTAGAGAATTAGCTAAAGCTCTTTAAATTAATGACCATCTCCTAAAGTCCTAAGACTTAAACATTTGATTCAGTGGGGATGCTGTCCGATGATTTAAATGCTACATATTCCTAGGGATTAAAGGGTGTAACTAGAAAAATTATGTGGATCCAACGGGAATGAAGAGCGCATCTTAAACATAACAAGTTAAATTCTGTACTTGAGTCAAGAAGTCCATCTGGTTGGAGCTTATCCCAGCTTCCCTTAAATGAAGCAATTAGGAGCATGACTACTCCCCCCTGGATGGGATGGTAATCCATGGCAAGGTTACTTCAGCATTTCATCAGGCTTCCCTAACAATTTGCCATGACCCATTTATACTCCTGGGTGGAGAGAGGTATTGAAAGAGTGAAGTATTTTGCCCAAGAACTCAACCTGACCCACAGTCCAGTGCACTAACCATCAGTCCACCACATTTTCCTTGCCTTAAAGATGATAAACTGTAATTAGAGAATATTAAGTTGAAGCGCAATGGCCTCATGGTTAGTGCGTTTGACTCCGGATCGGGTGGCCCTGGCCGGGTCATTGTGTTGTGTTCTTAGGCAAAACACTTTACTCTCACAGTGCTTCTCTTCACCCAAGTGTACAAATGGGTACCAGCAAAATATGCTGGGGGTAACCCTGCGATGGACTAGTATCCCATCCAGGGGGGAGTAGCAATACTCCTAGCCGCTTCATGCTAAGAAAACCGGAGTTAAGCACCGGCCCCATGGGCCACTTGGGCCCATATCAAGGTTTTACTTTTTAGAGAATATTAAGACATAAACAAAATTTGAAAATACAGAAATTCCTATTGGCTGTTTGTGTTTACTGGTAGCATCACATAAAACTTTCCACATTCTGGAAGCACTTTCAGGAAAGCTCCCATGGCCACATAGCTCTGCAAGTGATAGAATAGATCCTCTTAGAAATGCATAGACCAACATTGATACTCAACTGCACAACAGTACAAATCATTCATGGACAGTGTGTATATTTTTTTTAATAAGTGATAATGTCTCAATGATAGGTCAGGAAACTACATCCAACCAGCTGTCATTTACTCTCCATGAGCTACTGAGGCATCCTGATATTGAGGAGAGGTATGAAATAGTGAGTTACAACTGTAAGTTTTGCATCATCAGTGTGTGATCTGTTACATAGACTTTCTGACAGAGGTACTTTTGAGGTACGTGAGGTACAATTAACACAAGATAAATAAGTTTTAAGGAGCAAACTGGCTGGTGTGGACCATAAACTAACCCTTAAAACCTGTTTTTAAGTATACTTACTATAAGTCACTTCTTTTATTATACACAGTGCAGGGTGCATTTCACTACTGTTACCATTCTAGAAAAGAGAGGCAAAAATTACAAAACCATTTGAAGTGGCATATTTAACAACTATTCACAGAAGTGGGATTGAATAGTTGTTTCAGTATATACTTAAGCAGTGAGATAATATAGCATAGAAAGATGAGTTGAATTCATTTATTCCTGCAAAAATTACAATATTTTTTGGGCACAAATCTGGCATAGGTTGTGATTAGCATTTGAGGTAGAGTAGACAATCAACACAATACACTGTTTTAGTATATTCTAGTAGCAAAGATCTAAAACACATTACTGAATATTTAGTGATTGTTCCCCTTAAAATAAAGCATATAGTCAATTTTATTTTTATCATTTGCAGAGTAAATCAAGAGATTAGAGCTGTCCTTGGTTCACATCAGTTTGTTGAATATAAAGATCTTGGAAACCTCCAGTTCTTAAGTCAGACACTTAAAGAAGGATTACGACTCCATCCCCCTGCTGGGGGAACAAATCGAACAACCGCAAAAGATGAAGACATTGGTGGCTACATCTTCCCTGCCGGCACAACAATAAACATGAGTAATTTTGTAATGCACCACCACCCAGACTCATGGAAAGACCCATATAAATTTAATCCTGACAGATTTTCACCCGAGACCAAAGATGCAATTCCACAGTCTGTGTACTTCCCTTTCTCATTTGGCCCACGCACTTGTATTGGACAAACCTTTGCACAGTTTGAGGCCCGAGTGCTTATGGCAAGACTTCTACAGCAGTTTGAGTTGAGTCTCTGTCCTGGACAAGATGAGATAAAATATGAGGAGAACTTGACACTGAGGCCCAAAGGGGGTTTGCTTTGTACACTCAAACGGAGAAACGAAAACTAAACTAAAAGGGAGCTAAAGAAATCCCAAGTGTTTTTACATAAAGGAGAAACCTCTACATATGATAAAACAGAGATAGAAAAAATTTTTTAAAACCTGGGAAGTGGGGTGGGGTAGGTAAGGACATCGAAATCAGGGTCATTATTAACCCTTTAATTCCCATGAGTGACCAAAACAGAATTTCTCCTTACAATATTAATACATTATCAAGCAGACAAGTGATGAGAATAAAGAAAAATATTAATTAGGGGATTATTAGTTGATCCAATACCAAATTCTCTAAGTTAACATCACAAGAACTATTTGGCAGACAGTAAGGAAAATTACTTATGAGATCTTGGGAGTTAAAGGGTTGTGGTGGGGTTGAATGTGCACTGTTTCATTAACAAAGTCAAATTAACTTTTATTGTATTTCTCCAAGTGTTTTGCTCCAGCATTTTCTACTTTCACTGAAGAGAAAGTTATTTTGTTGCTGTTTCTTTTTTCTACTGTTTACTTAATTAAGTAGTATTTTTATTCTACAGGTTTTTCTTTTTTTTTCTTTTTTGTATTCAGCTATGATAGTCTATCAGCCATTATGGTGTTCTGCCTTCAAGAATGAATGCTTAATGAAAACAATGAAAAACTCCCTAGTTTTGGCCCCCTAGTTTTACATACAAGTTTTACTCTCTCAAATGATCTGCCTAGAAGAAAGAATTATTATTAGTTGTCTAGCCTTATCGCAATTATTGTATCTTTAAAGAAGTTTGCTTGACCATAACTATTCACTCCAATAAAATTATTTTTCAAACCTTCCCTAGTCCTGTGCTGTCAATACTCACCCACCCTCTACCCCAGGGGACTTTGATTTGATTGTAGCAGGAGGTAATTCTGAATAATAATCGTGCACCATAGCTGGTCGTGAAAATCAGCTAAAAAAAAGCCTTCTGAACAGGATGTTAGCCCGTCACGGTTAACCCTTAAAACTCCCAGAAGTAATTGATATGGAACTTCTCCTTAAATATTCATACAGTATCCAGCAAATAGGTAATGAGATTGCACAAACATAAAAGAATCTTTGTAACTATTGTTTAAAGGAAATGGTATTCCCCCTTTGCTACCCTCCTTATGGTCAGAGAAAAAAACTATTACTATGCAATGGTCTCAAAAGTTTCTAGAATCGCGAGGATGATACAAGGGCAGGTCTATGGGAGGGGTGGAGCCGTGTTGCTGGTAAGATGCGCAGCTACTCCAACGTTTTCTCTCTTGGATTTTTTTTTGACTACAAATCTAAGAGCACGCCATAAATATTCTTGCCTATCATAGAAGCCATTACAACCATCATAAAATGATTGACTGCTTCCAGCACCGCAGTTGAACCATCTGCAGTACTCAATCCGCTAACATTCGCCACAGATATTGTTTCCTTCCTTGAATCAAACTTCCCCGCGGAACCGAATTGAAGGGAAGTACTAACGGCGACAACCACGGGCCTAAAAAAACAAGATAACCAAACGTAATCTGCTTAGGATGAATCATGCGGAGAACAACTTATCCGGCCGTGAATTTAACAAACCATCCTGTTCTCGTCGAAATCCGGGTAATTTTCCAGCAAAGGCACGAAAGCAGTCGAGCAGATACAGCACTGAAAGACTTTTGGCCACGAGCTCATCGCATTCCTACGGATCAAAATCCTAAAATAAATGACAACACAGCTTCAATGTACAACAAACAGAAAATAAATCCACACGCATCCTGGTTGCGTATTCAACTCCAAATTCTTTATCTGTTCGTACTACACGTTGTCGATCGTTCTTACGTCAAAAGGAGCTTTTCTGTTTCTATAAACCCCTAATTAATCTCCCTTTTTCTACAAGCTGGCCTGAAATTTCTCAGAATTATTCGAAGCGTAAAATTTTGACAAACAATTTCTATCTCTCTCGGGAGTAACCCCTCTTTGACGTCATAGGATGTTTAGACAGGAAGTTGCAACGGTTTATAAATCTAAATCTTCCGGCCTCTCAAGCAGAGGTCGGAGTTTATTCTTGCTTTCAAATCACGCTCAGTTTATACGTATATCAATTTCAATATAATCGAAGAGTTAGCTGTGGCGCATAATTTGCGTAAAGAAACATGCCATCGACGACGGCGGTTACCCTGAACTCTTTCATACGAATCGTTGTTTTAATGTTTTGCCTAGCTAGTCACCACTTTGTTCCGATACAAAGTACCTTACGTGCGGATGGCGTTGAAAAGTATGTTATTACCAGGAGCGAGAGGACTGACAACGACGTATTCAAGATTATTTACAAAACTGGCTTCAAGTGCCCACAAGACGTTTGTGAAAACTCCTCTGCTTGGGTGAACAACACCGCACAGTGCACCTGTTCATGTAAGGCCGACACTGCTACCTTCCTCCCTCTAATAGGAAGTTGTGGTGATACAGCAAGTATAAAAACATCTCTGTTTGGAAGTAAGTAAAAATGATTTGAAGAAATGAATGAAGAAAGCGAGTGTTCAAGTGTTCAAAGGGCAGATAGCGCTATCCAATGGATACGTGTAACAAAACATACTGCGCTATACGCTGGAAGGCAGATTTATCCAGTAGATAGCGTTTTTTCATTCGAACAACCGGGGCTAGAAGAATAAACTAGTGATAATCATAGATTATTGAAGTGCGTTCAATTAATTCTTATATTCGTCATTAAGAGTGTTCTGCAACGTGAATGTTCGTTTCCAAAAATTTACCGCTCGTATGATAAACGGAAATTTTGAAAAATTCCAAGTGTATTTTATAGCTGTTTCCGTCATTTTACCAAAGTGACCATATATGGTCATTTTTATTGATTTAACAAAGCTTATTGTAATCAAAGTTGATCTGCGCTTTTCTTGATACGCTAACAGTTAAAATGCGGAGGCATTGTTAAATCGGTAACTTTCAAACTTTCACCGGCCACTTCATTGCATCAGTTTGACTGAATTTTAGCATTAGGGCGAAATGGATATTCAGTCATTTTGCTTGCAAAAAAAAAGAAATTTGCGCCCAATATGGCGGATCGAGGGTGGAATCCAAAAGTCCTAGGAAATTAAAAAATTGTTAAATGGATCAGTTTGACTGAATTTTAGCATGAGGTCTAGGGTCCAAATCACGAAATGGATATTAAAAAGTTCCAGTCATTTTTGCTTGGCAAAAAAAGAAACGGGAAAGTGCACTTGATTGCGCCCAATATGGCGGATCGAGGGTGATCTTTTGAATCCAAGTCGAGTCCTATCGTAAAGATTTCTCAAAATCTCGTGGTATCCATAAAATAATCTTCTCTTCTTCTTCTTAACATTTATTAAAAAAAACATAGGGCAAATACTCACTTCTTTGATGATATTCAATTAGATTGTTATACAACAATATAAAACAAACAGGTTACAGAAGAACAGAAAACCGGTCAATGAATTACAATGGAAGTAGTTTTCTTGATTAGACATTTCCAGAAGTGGACAGCTCAATTCGACACTGCCCCATCAGAACCTAACACAAACTTTAATCGTGATTTTGAAGTAAGAGCTACTTTTTCCGCAAAGTGATTGATCAAAATATTTTGGGTTGCATTTTTGGCAGTTTGCTCCCGTTTCTTCGAGTGGCCCTTTTTCCTGAAATCTCTTGACCTGTCAAATGAAGGAGGGGTGGAAATTGGGTCAGATGTCAACTATCAAGCCTGTCAAGTTGTTCCCGGGAGAACAGCATATCTTGATTATCAACTGGAAAACAAGTGGGCGCGGGTATATCCAGAAATCTTTAAAGTGGAAAGAGTACAAGGGAAACTTGTTTTCAAGGTTTTGTATCCATGTTTTTTATAGGGATAAAAGCATGTAGGTCAGGAGCTCAGAAATATTTATTTATTACCGGCAGCCTCCAATCCAACCTGACCCCAGCCTGATAGCTCTTAGCCCACTTCTCATATTCACATGTAAATAATTGCTGAAGGGTTCAAATTTGCATCAGGCCCTATGGGCCAGTAAGTCAATTTTGAAACTGAGTTAATGTGAGGTCTCCCGAGAATATATTATAATCTCTTGGAAGTCTTTAAAGAATTGGAATAGGTCTGCGATCTTTGCGAAGCTAAAAATGGTTCTTAATTGCTGGATTGGATTTTTTTTTCTAAGAAAAGCATTGGAACAATGTTTTCTTGAATCAACTGGTTATATTCAATTTTTGGCATTAACTTCGACTTCTGGCGTTATTTTCACAGCTTGTGTTAATAAATTTGTTTCTTGCTCATTTTTCTTTGAATTCTGAAGTGGGTGAATAATGGTACTGACAAGATCCTGTCAGGAAGAATTGTTCGGGTAGTGATCAATTGTAGTTATTCAGCATCTGCATCTCGACCACCCAAGACTGCTTGCCTGATTTTCAAGTCCTCAGGGCAGATCACTTGTGAGTTATAGTTTCCTTTAAATTTAAATAATTTTTAGCCTCAGTAACCTCACAAAAGTATAAACAGTGCTTTTTAGAACAAAAAAAGTGCTTTTTACAACCAGCCAGCCTTTTTACCAACTAACAACTTGTTTCTGAAACATTATTGGTCAACTTCGATAATACAAAGCGGTAAAATTCCTGTTGTGATATGGAATAGTTTCAAAACTTAACTTTTTTTTTGTATATGCCTCAAAAGATTGATTAAAACTGAAAAAATTTTTAAAAAAAAGCAAGAAACGCTGACAGAATAGACGCCTGTGTCCGTTAGGCATTCACTTGTTTCCTGCTGGCTATTATTTGGTGGCTGGTGCACGTAGTAAAACCAGGTGACATGGTTACTAAGTGCATCTTCAAAGTTCTCAGGGTTTTGGAGTGGTGATTGTTTCAAGGGGTGATAATCTTAGACTTCCAACGAATAGTTGTGCAGGGGATTGAACAATACAAAGGTTTAGCTATTTTGTGGTAGTAGTCTCGAATACAAAAACCTCAGCGGGTAGTCAAACAACACTTTTCCAAGGGAGGATAGATTAGATTCAAGGGACAGGGGTATCTCACTCGTAAAGGGAAGTGGCGATGTTAGCTTAGAGAAATGGGGATAATCTCCTCTGTGTGGGCCAGTCATTCAAAGCACGAATCAATTGAGCAGGTATGCAAAAAATGGTATGAAAACTTCGATATTTGTGAGCCATCATTGGCAAATGTGTACTGCATACTGGTTTTTCAGACGTTACTGATGATTTGAATGACATGTCAGCGCCTGAATCAGACTCATCAGCGAAGCCAGGTTTTGTGGCAAAGAAAACACCACATATTTCTCCAATCACCAAGGTGTGTGCCAAATAGCCTCTCATTGTCAATAGACAATGATGATGGCAGGTTTAAACTTGTTCCTTTTTTGGAAGAGGTTAATTAATTTTGTGGGTTAAAGTTATAGGCAAGATAAAGTTATTTAAAAGATTGAGTTGATTCCTAGTTGTCGTCGTTTTTAGGATTTTTGGTTAATCTTGAGAAAGGTAAAATACCTGTAAATTATTGAATCTAGAAATCTCAGATGTGCCGATTGCATGTATCTAGGGCAATCTCCATACCGAAGCATGAAACAATAGATATTATCGATTTTCCGCCTTACTTCGTGACCGATATTGGGGAAAGTAACGCGACTTCGCGCTATTTTTCAAAGGAAGGACTTTGAATGTTTTATAATCGCCTAAATTCCGTCGTGAAAACAAAAGACTTAATGGCTTGGTCTGTTTTAGGGTAGTCCATTGGACTGGGGGTCAGTGTTTTCTCCATCGCCATTTGTAAGTGCTCCCCTTAGCTTCGAAGTTCATATTTGGAGCGTCTTTCTCGCGAAGTTGTGTCTGTATTTCAAAAGCAGCTGTGCTTATAACTGTTGGTTTTAATAAAAATGAATATCATATTGATGAGGCTTGAACTCATTGATTATCATTATAATTTCTTGCAGACAACTTCAGTGACAGAATCTATCAACGACACAGGCAAAAATTACGGAGGAAAAAATGGAAATTACAGTGGATCTGTTGTCGTGATTGGCATTGCAGTGGGATGTGCACTTGTGTTTGGAATCTTAATCATCGTCCTTGTTGTATTTTGCAAGCGAAGGAAATTGTAAGTTCAATATATTTTTTTCAAGTCTTGACTCATTTTCTCTTTGAATACATGTGTGTCGCCAGTTTCAAATTCAGTTCTAATATAAATTTGCTTTTCACTCACTCGCTGCTTGTAAAGTACCATTACAAAAAACAGAAATAAAAACTTTGGTCTTACAAGTAAACTGTGTTTTCTGCGTATAATCTGTTCAGCAAATCAGTAGATTCCATGTTGTCGTTCATCAGATTAGTTAGATCACAGATGACGTCAAGATATGGTCAGAACGAAAAATGTGTGTATAATTCATCTTATATCATAGAAACTAAAATTCCTCACACAGGGAAACCAACCAGCAAGAAACAAAGTCAGCAGGTAAATTTTGTTTTCATCAGCAATTGATTGCAAAAGTTAACTACGAATGAGCCTCAAACTGCAAGATACACACGTAAAAGACTTATGGGACTGGAAAGGTACATTATCGAGCCCTTAAGCATTGCTATCAATGCCTATGTTTAAAAGCTGAACTTGCAGTTAAAATCCACAAGAAGCATATAGGGATGCATGGATGTTGAGAGAATATCATATTGAATACTTGGACAGAAATGTGTTGATTGAATGTTATAACAAGATTTGATGGACAGGCATGGCAAAGCAAATATGGAGTTTTAAAAGGTAAAAATTGAATTGTTACAACAAAGGTAAGGCTTAGCAAAAGTGCTTCAGGTTCTAAGGATTGATTGGAGAGTTTAAAATATGTGAGTGTGTGGTATCAATATGGATTTCAAATGCACTACTAAAAAGGTTGCTATCGCTGTTTTTACACTCAGGTCGGCCAAAGATTGCACCTTGTTACTACTGTTATTAACTATAAAAAGGATCATGTTAAAGATGATCGGTAACTTAGTTTCACAATAGTAAGACCCTGGAACCCAAAATGAGTGTCCTCTAAAACTATCATAAAATTGAAATAGATTTTGATGAATGAAATAACTGTTTTAATTGATTTTTTAAAATGTATTTTTATCCTAGTTAGGAACCCAGTGATTGAGAATCAAAAGGACAGAGAAATGGAAGATGTCTCAACCTCCAGTGAACAAGCCGGTCAATCAACGTACCAAAGTCTTGTTACCAATAGTGGTAAGTTAGTAAGGAATAACTGTTACTCATTGTTTTTGGGGGGTGTTCACTCACACACATTTAGTAATCACAACGAGATTAAAGAACACCTGTTATTTGGGAAGGGATCGCTCTTTTAGCGTGAACACAAGTCCTCTGAGCTTGCGCGATGAACTCTTGGTAGGAGAAAACAGTCAGTGATGTTATCATTCACGCGAGTCGTGGTCACTCTCAGATACCTATCATTGTGTTTACGTTGGCACACCAAAAAGTTAAATCTACATCATCAAAATGTGATTGTTTCTTCATACTTCATCAGGAAAGTGTCTGCGTACATTCCGAGGTAGCATTTTAGAGAGAAGCCATTGGTAAAGTGAGACACTTCATGTAGTTCGTCCTACATTACAGTAACCTGTTGTATCTTCTCAATTCTCAGACCATTAATTGGAAGAATTGACTTTTAACTGGAAACCGAAAACTACCATTTATACTTGCCTTAAGACAATTTATACACCAAACTTTACTCTCAACCTCAAGATGGTAAACAGTTGTACTGTGCGTCTTCCTTTTATGGTGAAATGCTTGGTGGTTTAAACAAATTTTTGTCGTCTGTGATCTACTACTGAACAGAAGCACGATATGAAATCTACCTTTTAACACATATCATTAAATATTTCTGGAAGAAACATGAAATATATACGGAGAATTTTCGAACTTCAACTCCTCCAGAAACGTTGTGAGCAATTAAAAGAGGCAAAACTTAATGTCTTAATGCAGAATGCCTTGAATAATGGCAGAAAAAAAGGACATTCTGTATGGCTTCAGTATACCAGATTAGTACCAACTTTAAAACTTACCAAGAGACAGTCATTGAATTGCCATGATCATTTTTTCTAGGAAAACTTTTACATTTAGTTATTTTTTCCACATCCACTTCAGGACAAAGTAGTGGTGGAGCTGTGCACAGTCCCCCTGGAGATTACTATGGTTACTGTTCTCTGTACCAAAGTATGGACAAGAACACACCAGTTGCAGCTCTGGTTTACCAAAATGGGCAGACATCATTTACAGAACCAGATTATCAAAATGTACAGACCCTGAAGGGTGGCATACCATATGCTTCAGTGCACAGCCTTGGGTCTCAAACAGAATCTGCGTATGAGCCCCTAAGGGGGTCTGATATGCAAAATGTGTACGAGTCCCTTAACGAAGAAGGCAACTGAATTGTACTGACAGCATGAGCCTTAAATGAAGACATAAAAGCTATCGTCGGTCTAAGGTTAATATAAATCAAGTGCTATTTGGAATCTAGGAGTTAACAATGAAAAAGCCAACACTGACTTCCTGTTCTTTTCAGGAGTTTTGATGAGAAAAATTATTAGTATAAAATTGTTGTAAAATTATTATTTCAAGATATTGACACGACTTTCGTCACATTCTAGAGGCGAAATAAATTTTTTATACGAAAGTGGTCTGAAACATGCAGTGTCGAGGTTAGCAGGGAATTTTCCTTTCATTTAGAAGTCAAGACATGTTTTTTGTGCCGCTCGTTCACTTAAAACGCGCACTCCGTCAGCAAAAAGCCCAACACGAAATTGTCACTAGAGCATTTCTTCTGGGTTTAGTTCCCTAGGTTTGCTGACCCTCGAAAAAATTGAGCAAACTATTTGCACTGAGTATATTTGATCAATAATCTCGTTTTAAATGAAGTTGCTCTATCGGCGAAGGTTGAAAACATCAGCAAGCTAAATATTTGTATTCTGTTTCGACTGTCATGTAGTATATCCGTTTCTTTACTTTTAGAAATTTCCTTGATTCATATTCTTGTGTTTAAACAGTATTTTCCTGGTACAATTACGTAGTTTTTTGTCATTGTTAATAAGTCTTTGCCTTATTAAATAATATTTTCCAGTAAACAACCTAAACTTCACGAAATGATACAAGATATTAAAGATAAAAAGCAAAACTTTTCCTTGTGGAATAATTAAGAAAATTAAACTTAAAGTATTTTATTTTTACGTATTATGCGTATTTTGTGGCTATATCATCGTCATTGTTACTACTATTACTGTTACCATCATTATTACTGTTACTATTGATACTAATATTATTTATTACCGTTATGATGATTGGTTGAAGGTCTTCTAGCTTCATTACACAACCTCGTTTTCTGTTTAATGCTGTAAAATTGCGGTATGTCAGTAGTCTTAGACTGCCAATTTTTTTACTTCACCTTTCACGAAAACCTCAACCACCCATCCAATAACTCTAGCATGTTTTGAATGCCTATGTTATATACAGTTCTGACTGAGGAGTTACTGTGAAAGTGATGCGTCTTGCCAAAGGACGCAATACGAAGACCCAAGTAAGAATTGAACACAGACCACCCCACCCTAGTTCGGTGCACTTACCTGCTGGCATGTGTAGACCAGTCATCCCAAGTGGGAAATAAACCCACAGAAAATAATCAAAGAAATATAAAGAAACAAGCTTGTAAAATAAGACAGAATTATAAGAACTTCGGTCTTTTATTTTTTCTTTACATTTTTTTTGCTGTTTTTTTCCTTTTAAACTCGATATTTGTAGAATAAGGTGCTATAGAAGATATAAAGCAACATTTTCAGTTTACAGTGATCCATCCATGACACGGGTCGACGAAATGACAGAACAAACGCTCAATTGTAATTTGAAGAACGATTATTTACAAATGGTTAAAATTACAAGGTGGACTGACTAAGATATCTTTCGAATACTCGATTCTTTATATTCTTGCGCAAGGAGAGTTTTAAGAGTAAAGACACAGCATCTTACATTAATAAGGCCAAAACATCTCCCAGAATATTTTCTAACAACGAAACCCGCTTGGATTCAAGGTAGAAGTGACACCCATTTGGTATTAAAAAAGATACGTTGTGCAGAAAACGTGAGGTCTGAGCATCATGACGTCGCCCAGGAAAGGATTTGAAATCTTTGCTTTGACGACTTGGTTTTCAGTTTACGATGTCATTTGGGCTATCAAAACTATAAATTGAAAAGATGCTTTTGGAAACCCTCCATTGATGAAAAGCACGATGAACAGTTGTTTGCGCACTAAAGAGAACATGTAAGTTATCGTGTAGACTTGAAAAATCGCTGCTGCAAGACCCAGTCTTGATACCTTGTACAAGTAACATTTTGTACAGAGACGACTGACAAGCAACTGTAACGTTCGTTCCTCAGGCTACACAACGCACCATACGATCTGAGCGTGATCATGGTGTAGGTGTCCGCTGACCTTCTTCTCGCGGCTCAGAATTTTCGCTCTTAGTTTCTTTCGCCTCCCGGGTTCTTCTACTCTTCTTCTTGCTCGACACCAGTTCTCCCTCTTCCGGGCCGCCGGAAGTTTCAGATCCTGTCATTTTACTATGTCTTTTTCTGTGGTAAAAAAGAATTAATTTACCCAAAGGTTGAATATCTACAATTCCTTTCTTTCAGGTGGGATGGAGGACCTTGAGTGCTTTCATTGAAAGAAAACAACAACAACAACAACAAAAATTAACCCACTACAATGACTATACTCAACAACTAAAGAGGAATTTACCACGCAATTTTCCCAGGCGTGGGAAAAGTGCGAGTTAACCTTTTCACTCCCAAAATCTCCTCAGTAACTCTCCGTAATGTCTGCTGTAAATTCTCAGTACGATGTTGGTTCAGATCGGTATTAGATCAAATAATATTCCTCGAATTTATATTTTTCTTTATTCTCATCACGTGTCACCTTGATTTTGTATTGAAATTGTAAGGAGACATTCTGTCCTGGTCACTCCCGGGAGCTGAAGGGTGAAGACGGGAATGTACCTCTTCAAGCAAATCAAGGTTTTGTGAACTCTAACGGTGACGTTTATTTGATCAGCAAGGTGAATTTCAACTAAAAAGGACCATAAGAGCATCAAATGCCTGTTTAATCGCAGTTGTCGTAGGATCGCGAGAGATTGAGCGACCAAAAGACTTACTTTTCTCGTTGTTCTTTTGACTTTTCTCTGTCTTTATCTTTTCGCGATGAACGTTCCTGTAACAAAATAAAACATAGCATAAGGTCTACAAGTCCAAAGTAAAGAAAATGTGAATATCTGTACTGCGTAGAACCGTCCCACCAGGTCTGAAAGTCTGCTTTTCAAGAATAATACCCGCGTGATTAAGCTATGTTGTAAGTTGACGCTTATGAAAACTTAACTAACTGTCAGAAGTCAATGAAACTGAGCTTCTGACTTTCCACGAGCCTGTTTAGGGTTGTCGCTGTTCCAAAATTAGCGTCTACCTTTAAGTTTACTGAGCGAGTTTCAAGCCTTTTCTAGGGTTATCAGCCGGCAGAAGGGTTGTCGTCTGTAAGGAATCAAAAACTACTATAAAATATGAAATATGAAGAAACAGCCTTACCTCACGTCTTTCTCTGTCTCCTTTGTCACGGTCACGGTGTCTTCTTTCTCGATCACGCCTATCTCGGTCACGATCACGATCACGCTCTTTACGTGGAGAACGATCCCGGTCACGATTTCTGAAAAGGTACAAGTGGTCAAGTGAAAAGCATGTCCAGTCAGTGCACGGTCTCGCTTTACCCACAGAACGATTCCCTTAATTCTGGTCTATACGCTCGCGATGAAATCCCACAGGACTCTCTTTTCCTCGCTAAACATAGATATTATACTTTTTTTAAACCTGCATCACCTTTCTCTGTGTTCACGGCTTCTGTCCCTATCTCTGTCTCGACGTCTATGTGAATCACGATCGCGTTTCCTATCTTCATCACTACTGCCAAACTCGCTATCGTCGTCTCCCGGACTCTCGCTGCCTTGCCTGCCCATGGCACCTGGGAATCCCTCGCGGAATCCAGGGGGAAACCCGCGACCCATGCCAGCGTCCCACGGCATGCCGGGAGGATGTCCCATCATTGGGTGAAACGCTTGGGTTGGATCTGCAAGGTAACCATGGTTACGATCGAAAACGTATTATTAATCATTTAACGAAGAATCATGCAAACCCAAGAATGGCTACTTTAAAACAGGGTATACAGCAAATGCGCGAGAGTCTGTGTCTCATCTGTCTACGTTGAACTTCGTTGAATAGCTGACGGAAAAAGAAATACTGTTTCCACAGTTTTCACATTTTATACTGTTTACACATTCGCGAACCTTCTGTTCTTCAGACTATTTCAGCAGATCTAGCGAGACTCTTGGTACATTGACACTCGCTCATTAAATCATTTATTCGTTTGATATTCATATTTGTACCTTATAATTTATCTTATACATGTTACTCCCAGCAGTCTTTCGATTTTCACACGTTTTACTCTTAATTTGTGTTGAGGCCCTACGCGTAATAATATTCTTATCACTGATGATGCCGTGGATCGGCGCAAGCTTGGATCTTTAAAAGATTTTAGCAACAATTTTACAGTAGTTTAAGGCCTCATTTGAAATTTTGTCAGTATTAAACATTTGTCTACCCTATAATTTCTACTGGATAACGTATTGGTATCGTGAGGAAAAGGAACAAGTCAATTACTCCGGGGGTGGAGGGGCTGAGGTTCAGACAGCTTGTAGACTTCTTACATCGATCCCAATGTGGTGGGAAGAAGAGGTCAAGAGTTATCAGTGAACCAGCACGATATTTTGCCGCACTCTTTATTAATTTAAATCTGACAAGATGCCAAGAAAAAGGTTATCAACATCGAGTCTACGCAACATAAGCCAACATTTTTTGGCTTGCTGTTAAAATCTAAGACGGCGAAACACTATTAGGTACTCAAATTGCACCATAAGCGATATGCGCATAAGATGTTAACGCTACCAGCTATACTACTGTGATAATGATGCAACAGGAATTGATAAACAACAGATGTGGTGACGATAGTTTTTCATGAAAAACTTGTATTGCAAGAATCTGCACAGTAAAACAGTTCCAATGAGGACGGCTTCGCGGTAGCAACATAACAAAATGGCTCTCTTCAGTGGAAGTTCGATTGAATGATGGTAGAAGGGCAAGCTTATCACAGAAGGAACATTAAGGGAAATAAGGCAAAAATTATGGGAAGGGAAGATATAATCCGTCTAATTCATAATCTGTTTTTTCGTTTCTTCAGTCAAATTAACAAAGAATTGAACTCACTGGTAACTGAGGCTAAGCAATGCATTTTAGGACATTTTGGCGTTAGCAAACTGGTTGAATACTTTACTTCTTTGAGGCGATTACAGCTGCGACTTAAGACTGGTGAGATACTCCAAAGGAAAAACAGAAACGCTTGTAAGGGAGATAGAGGGAAAAAATGGAGGAGATTAAAATTTAAGTCAGGCAAACTTCTTTCAATGTCATCTAAACTTTTCTAAATGTTCAATTCCCCTTTTAAAGCTCGCTGCACAGCCGTGATTTTGCAAATATGAACTTTTGCTTCACAGATTTCCCGTTTAGTACCAGCACTAATCAAAAATGAACAGATTACTTAAATTTTCGTAACCTTCTCTGACCCCAAAAGGTGCGGTTTCCATTATTTTGCTGTAACGTCGAATGTGGTTCAAGGCGGAAGACAAAGAAAATACACACAACAGTGATAAAATATACATCACTCTGCGATTGAAAGGAAGTCTGCATAGTTATAAAAGAAGACAGATTTTAAATCGCAGACACATCGATACACCTGATCTATTTTTTATAAGACTGACTCCGTTTGTATTTTTTAAATCAAGGGATATGAACTACTGCATAGATAATCCATACGTGACTCTAATTATGCAATTGTTTTTTCTGTTTTAGACTATTTTAAGCCAATGTCTCTCAAACTTGGCCTTCGATAACAAGGTAAGAGCTCTCTTCGGTCGACTTTAAAATGTTTGGTCTAAGAAGACTACTACAACAAAAAACACCCGATAATGGTAAAACCAATTTATTTAACTCAAGACAAAAAAAAATGCAATTAAAAAATAAAATGGCCCTTGAGGAAAAAGTTCTTATCAAATATCCTAAGCGGAAAAACAACCTCTTAATGAGGAAATGTTATTTTTTTTAACTGCGCCCGGAATTCATCCACATTCCTACATGCATTACAGCGTGAAGTGTCGAATCTAGATTGAACAAACATGCGTCGAGGGGCCATTTGTATACTTCCCAGAAAAACAGAAATTTCCTGCGCGGTTCCAGCTGTCTCCTCTTAAGGGTATAAACTCTTCTTTTCGATAAAAAATTTAACTGGTTATCTCTTAAGTTTCTCTTGAATCGCTTTTCCGAAACCTCAATTGGCCCAAGGGACACAATTTTAGCCACAACAGCTGCACTGAGTTCATCGGCATTGAACATGCGCCACGGAGCGTATAAAAACGTTAATAAAAAACATATGAAAAAGCTTGACTAACAAGAAGCAAACTCTTGCGCAATCGGCGTGGGTGTTTGCACTCAGAAATAAACGAAAATATGTCCCACAAACGCACGAAAAACAACACACTAACTCAAACAAATGTTACGACAGAGTGTATCGTCCTACAATGCAAATTTCAAAGCCTGCTTTTTATTTTTCTATCTCTTTAAGATCTATAAAATGTTTTTTTTTTTTTGCACTCGTCTTTTATCTTAGCGACGGTTCATGCACACTCTTAAAACCAGGGCGGTCGTTCAGCAGGAAAATATGCGAGTGGTAAAAATATGCCCGAGTTCATTCAGTAGCAGTGCATTTGGAAAAGCATACCACATGGTAATTTTTGGTTCGCTCAGTTAAATGAAGAAGTGAAAGAGGGAAGTGGGACAGTTGTCGTTCGAATATTGATTTTTCGGGAAGCCATTTTCACGTTTAAATTGTGTTTTGATTTTGTTTTCAGTACATTTTCGCTTCACGATTGATATCGAGTGTTGAGCGCCCAGATTGTTGATGTAGTTTTTAAGGAACTATGGCAACACCAGATGGATTTGTCTGGTTAAAGGCAGGCGACACAATCCGGAGAAACTCTAAAAACACTCGCTGTTAGAAATCCTTGTCACACATCTAAGAATTACACCAGATTGTCACTGCTAGAACTCAATAAAGATGTTCTTGAATGACACACGACCCACATGTAGTGCTTAACATGTGGAGAACAAATGTGACACCCTGCTGCATCCAGTACGCTAATCTACACGGATATTACAACCTGAATGTTATGTATTTGGAATGCACTTTTCGTGCGGAAAGAGGGCCGACTGGTAAAAGACAAACAACGACCCTACACCCACACAAAGTACGACATCTTTGCAAATAAAAAAGCAGAAACTTCGAAGAGGTGATGAAACCGAACAATGCAGGCCTAATTGCAATTAACGTTGTCATAGGAAAAGGCAAAAACAAAATGAGAAAAAGCCAAATAGGACTTCATTGTATGTATGTTTTTTTTTTATTAGCATAAAAGAACTATCCTTTTGGCTATATGCCAGGCAGCCGAAATAATTTACGCAGATTTTCCACTGGAAAAATTATTTCAAACTTTTTGAGAGTATCAGACGTTTCAAGCGATTCTAAAAATTATAAAAAAAACCTATATGCTTATGCCGTTTGCTTAATATGTGATATGATAATTGATTCGAGTTTGGCTTTATCCATTCTTCTTTTAAACTTTTTCTACGACAACGTTACTGCAATTAGGTGTATCCATGAAGAAAAAAATGAAAAATGAAAAATCTTTCTCCACAGATCTAATGACATGTTTGCCATTCAAATGGCGCCTGTAGATCTCCAAGCAAACACTAGGGTAACAAATTGAATATTTCGCCCCGAAGAGAGAAAAGCAAACAAAACTCGCTTTTTGTGTTACGGAAAAGTTGAATACAGTGCAATTAAAGGGTCGTGAAAAAATACCATGGAGCAACACCACAACGGAATAAATATATTCTTTCTGAGCGTCGCTTTCGATGCTCGCGCGTTGAAGAGACTATTTTTAACGAGAAGAAATATTCGAGGATGCGTACGTGAGGTGAATTAACGCCTTCTTTCACGAGGCACGAGTATGAATAAGCGAAGTAAATGATGGTAGATACTACTGAATAATGTATCAATTTGACTTTCTTTCATTGAAGGAGTACAAAAATAAACACAAAAAAGGAATCAAAGAGGGCACACGGATAAGAATAGCCAACAGGATAAAAAAAAGGAAAATGGAAAGACACTTTGAGACAACTTGCGTATTGTGAAGCAAAATAATGATTTCATATCTTTAAGATGTTATCTATGATCGTCTGCGATGTAAATCCGGTTTATCATATTTACCGGCAAAACAATAAGGCAAAAAACCCTGACCCTCATCAATTTATATCTATCTTACGCAAGTGCCAATCAGATTATTCTGGGAGTACTTCTTACGAACACCAAAAATGTTATCTATGATCGTCTCGGACGTGACTCCGGTCTTATCAAATTAACCCGCAAAACAATAAAGTATCGTAAAAAATAATACTAATAATGTAGAAAAAAAAAGTCCTGACTTTTTATCATTTCGTATTTTTTCCGCCAGTGTGTATCAAATTATCCGACAAGTGCATCGTACGAACTCTTAACCCTTTCACTTCCACAAGTGACCAAGACAGAATTTCTCCTTACAATATCAATACAATATCAAGCAGGCAGGTGATGAGAATAAAGAAGAGGATCAATTATGGGATTATTAGTTGATCTAATACCAAATTCTCTGAACTAACATCGTAAGAATTGTATGGCAGATAGTAAGGAGAATTACTAATTAGGTCTTGACAGTGAAAAGGTTAAATATAATCCTATAATCATCTGCGCATAAAAATACAGTTATAGATATAGTACGGTAAAGAAAAACCTTGCATGTTGTAAATCGAAATTTTTCGGTAAGTTTTAATAAGATTACTCAAAAAGTACATTTTACGATATACGCCGTGAATGGGCTTGACTATGTTAAGAACAACGAGTCAAAATGTATGAGATTGGAGTCTCCGACTGGAAAGGGAAAAGCAATAAAGAAAGATGTCCATTTATGAGGGGCACTTATTGTTTAAACATCACTATAACATGTCAGAATCAGTCTTACAATACAACGAATACTTAAAACACATTTCCCTAGAAGAGTGCCCATTCCCGAAATTGACGGGAGAAAAGGAGACTCTTCAATAATCCCTAGAGAAAAGACTGAAAACAGGTGAGAAAATGACACTCTTTCGAATGGAGGTAATTAAACCTCTGTTAAATAAAAGAAACTTGTTTTAACGCACAAGTCATCAACAAGTTCGACGTTTTTATGATTAATAAGTAACCTTCAACATCTATCTATTGCGTCTAAGCTTTCATTGTCTCTTTTGTGCTGTTATTACCAGCTTTTGATGCAAATTCTCAAGGTTTACCGCCCTCAGAGATGCCTTTTTCGTAAATAAATAACTTGCAAATTACTTTAAAACGAGAGTGGCAGACGTATACCAGAAATCACAGGAACTATTTGTCGTTACAATTTTGTTGACAGTACATTGTTTCTTGTTTAGATATCCGCTTCTTCCATCGACGCATTCGCTCACGGTAGGAGATACATTAAAGCGCTTTAAAATCCATTATCAAAATCCAATTTAAAAATGGAACACCCCATGACATGACTCCTTTCTAAAGGAAATTATGCATTAAACAGCTATAGTAAACATCACGAAATATGAGGTAACTTTTCTTCGCGAAAAAAATTAAAAAATCTAAATTGTCTGCTACACGAAAACGTCGGAAGCCGACAAACTACCTCGCTCTTTACCACGCACACTGGTACGGGCGAAAAAAGATCTAGCGCGGCGGAATGAGGATACTTTTTCTGATAGGGAAAAAAGCCTGGAACGTTTCCCCGATGAAGAACAATGCTTTATGTGCCACTTGAAAGCCTTTCGGAACTCCTCGCTGAACAAAGCATAAATGAGAGGATTAGCTGAGCTGTTGCAGACAAAAAACAAGATGCATACTTTGAAAAAAAACAACAAATACTCAAACTTCGAAGTGTCCTGGAAGATGTCTACCACGCGAAAAACATTGTACGGCAACAGTGTAACGAAGAAGACCAGAACAACTGGCGTTAAAATTTTAAGCGCTTTGTAGTTGCGGTCACTTGCACGGCGGCTTCCCCCCGCTGATGAGGAGGAAGGACGCTGGTGAGACTCTCGACGAATGTGGCTGTGTAAGGCGATGCTCTCGTTCAAACGTCTTCGTATACGAAGATAGGTGAAGAGGATTATACCCAGAGGTAAAATATAAGTTAACAACACTGTCTCCCCTTGGTACAGCTTGTAGAAAGTGACACTCGGAAACTGGGGGTGACAGAATGCACGGCTTCCATATTCCGCGTAGTTCATGACAAAGAATAACGGCACCACGAACAGCAAAAAGGACAGGAGCCACATTAACAAAATGACAACCTTAACTGTTTTCATGGTCTCCTTTTGGCTCAAACCGTGCCCGGAAATGATCCCACGGTATCGAAAAACGGCTATGGCAGTGATGCTGGCGATGGAAACACCGTGAAAAACATCACTCAACGGGTAAAGCACCTTGCAGCCAAACTCTCCAAACGGCCAGCTGACATCCTCTGTGCGTAACACGCCAAATGGAAGGCTAAACAGGAGGATACCTAAATCGCTGATAGCCAAGTTTAGAATCAAACAGTAGGCGAGAGAACGATGAAGACGTTCTTTAACCACCACAACACACACCAGACCGTTGCCTAGGACGCCAGCCACGAAAATTACGGCGTCTAAAATAAATCGCACAAGCTGCAAGGAAAACGGTTCGACGTAGAAATGAAATTGCTGTCCTCCTGGGTCGCTTACGTTGCTACTATTCATGGCTGTAACAAGTTCGGGGAAACCCGACGAATTCATATCGAGACCGTTTTAGTCTGTGTGCAATCCTATTTCGAAGGAAATAAATACACGATAATGTGGTGCCAGTCCGAAATTCGAAGAGCTTCTTGGACTGTTGAGTTGATCGAAGGTAATTGTTCAAATATGCCCGCGAACTGATGTCTTGAGTATTCAACTTTGCACCAAACGTAGCAAAGCTGGCGCGACCGATGTTGACCGCAAGTCTGATAACGAGATCGCAAAATTGAATATTAATCTATCCCAACAGACTCTACATTGCTTTTGTTGATCACGAGCTTCTCAGCAATGATGACAAACAGCAATCTTGGCAAGGAAATTGCAAAACGTGGAGACACTGATTATGGAGGAAACAAAGACCAAATTCGTATCCTTTCTGTTGTTGCCTCACTAAAGTAAGTCGCGCAGGCCTCCCTGTGGCTTAATTTAACGCTAGCTCCCTCCCCACTGTGCCTCAGTGTTTTTCCCGGTCGCTTTCACGTCTCAATTAACTGATGCAGTGTATGCTACATGTACTTCGGAAGACGGACGGACGAGCGAAGACTGATCTCCTCTGACGGATGATCCCACGAGAGCCACGGTGACGTGGAGTATGAAGTTACGAACAGAGTCCAAAATAAAATTTGATATAAATAAAACCGATATTTGACACGGAATATCAGTAACAACGCCTTGTGATTTGTTGTTTACAGCAATGACAGGGTTAGCATTTTGTGTTCTCGCTAGAGTAATCACCGGTTGTGCAAATTTGAATGACAATGTTGTTCTAATGGATAGGATAGCAAGCTGATCGACGATAAACGAATAAGGAGTAATATTCAAATTTTTGGCATTTAGCTATTGCCGGCAGGCATAATGGGAAGGATCTAATTAGCAGTGACTTTGTAACTCGGTAACTATGAACGCGAAAATCCGAGGTATTCAGCACCAAATTTCGGCCATGTTTTGGGTTGAATATCGCGTTACAAATTGCCAGTGCACGCTTTGACAATAAAAGCACCTTTCCATAGGCTTGGCATTTACATTTATACTATCAAAATTACCAACACACATTAGTATCAAACCGAAAACAACACAGCAAAACAAAACCGAAAAAGTACTGAATTACTTTGGAACAAAAAAGAACAAATGACCCCTGTGGAAAATAGAGGATTATTTGCAACGGAGTCTCCTATGAGGTTGAGATTACAATAAGGTAGATAGCAATTATCTTTTGCAGATTAGCTGCACTCCAAATAACAAAGTGGTTTCAAGAAAATAGGCAAAATCGAAGCCCCCAGGTTAAGTAAACTTTCAGATTCCGGATAAATAATTTGCCTCGGGTCATAACACCTGTAATTTAAGCTATGCACACTTAAAAAAATATTTTCCAATAAGAACCACTCCACCGTGGAAAGGAGGCGAACAGGAAAAAAAAACATTCACAAACAAGAAATTTGCTTATAAAAGCTTTAGGTCGACACTTGATAAGAATGAAAAAATTCCTTTCCGGAAAAAAAGGGGTTGCAATAAAATCTTTGCAGAAAGGAAGTCAGGAAGCCAATGTAAAAGTCAGAGTCATTTATTTTACAAATGTCTCAACTCACCCCAAAAGCCATCAATAAATGTGTCTAAGAATTCTTTACGCCACGAAAATATCAAACAACTGCTGCTGTCTTTCCTACCTAGGCGTGTGAAAAAGGTTAAATAATGAACCTTTTCATTTTTCAAAAACCTGCAGGTTATCGTGATAGAGAACTGAGCTAACCTTACCGACATTCGAGTAGGAGGTGAAATATTTAGTCCACTAATCCAATGAAATTCTCGAGTGCACTCAACGATAATCTTTGAGATACGATCTGTCATAGAAGGCGGTCACATATTCCCCATAGATAATCTCCAAAACTGACAGGATCAATGTATTATTTTTACTACAGCACCGACACGGGGTAAAATATTTGGCATTGATAACAAAGTTACTGTTAATTTGCATTCGGTTTCTTAGAAAAAAGATAATCCTCAAAAAGACTCTAAACCTGTCGGTAAAAAGGAAATGACAAAAGGGCTAGGCTAATACAACGATGTCCAATGTGGGACGAAATAAATTCAATCTAACGTCACTTTCTTTGGCGTACTCAAGAGATTCATTTGGGGAATTGTTCGTGTAAATGCAAATTAGTGCTTGGTCGACATTTTGCCGAAGACGACATATTTTCGGATTAAGGACACTGTCATTTACAAGATACAAAATGTTTTCTCGTCGAGTGAAACAGTATTATATACATTTCACATTAGTTGTCGCTACGGCAATCTGTTACAACATCGCTGAGGATTTGTGAAAGGTCCTCAGCGATGTTGTAAGAGAACCGAAATAAAAACGACACAATATATTTACAAACATTCAATTACACGAGGAAAACTTAATTTCATAAGGATTTTGTTCATTTCGCGTCTTTCTCTTATTGCTATCAGGAGCTTCCCTCAACAAATTATTTCAGCAATGACAAAACGGGGGAGGAAATTAAAACAGTTATGGAAAAAGAGAATAGTTGTTTTGAAAACATGAAAAAAACATTGATTAAATAGCATTTCAAACGAAATTAAGGTCCCGGAAATTATTGCCCACTAAACATCATCACACTGCATGAGTTTTTTTTTTCTTTTTTTCGGGATAAAAATTCTAGACTATGGCAAAATTGACCACGATCATCAGGAATTAAACTTTACCTTACATCGTACACAAGAAGAAACGGGGAAAACCAAAGAAAAACTTTTCAGGAAGCAGTCAAACAAAAGGTAATTTATCCTGCCAACGCGAAAATGGGTCAAACGGTAGGAAACAGCTGAAGCTGCTACCGTCGGTTTCCGCCAAAACATAGTCTGGGTTGGACATTGAGTAAATCCTCTGACTGAAGACTGACGTTATAAAGAAAGATATTTATTTGACATCGCTTTTGTATTCTTCCCATGTATTAGCCAAAAAAGGAAAGGAATAAAAAGAGTACAATAAATAGAGCCAATCGTATATTAGTCTCTTAAGAAAATCAACGTAAATCGGATTAAATACAAAATAGGTTTCATTTGTCACGGGACAATGTCTGGAAATAAATTTAAATAACAAACGAAACGGCACTTCTGTTTTGATATTTTTGCAAAAGAGGAACTTCCGAAAATTTGAAGAATAACAAAAGCTTTCTATAAATTTCTGCCGCCTATGTTTAGCAAAATAGCACGAATGAAATGGGGGGATTGTATTGTTTCCATTTGTTTCGCTTATCAATAAACGGTATCGCAAAGTAACGTTTTGGAAAAGCAAGAAAGATGTTGAAAAACAATGATAAAACTAAAGAACGACGAGTTTCTTTAGAGTTTCGAGTTTCTTTCTCTTTCTTTCTCTTTTATAAAACTGTTTAGAGAAAACCAACCTTTGTAAGCTACTGACGAGGGTTTTGGACAGTTTCCAGCTTGCATCATAGAACGGGCGATGGCGTAGAGTGCAGTGATTCAGTTAACACCGTAAAAACAGAGCTTTCGAAAACCAAATGGAAGGAGCAGTAAAGAGACAAATCATTCCGGAGATCAAGTGCATCGATTTTAATTTTTTAAAACTAAGTTTTATTTTGCAGCAAGACGTAAGCGTAACATTTCAAGGAAATGCAGTTTTTTTAATCTAAATCCACATACGATCTGAAAATTAATTCTCCAACCAGCTGCTTTGTATTTCCTTCAAAATCAGTTCAGAGAATTTGGTGTTTCATCAATAAAACTTCGGGCAGATACCTTTTCCTGACCTCGCTACATGTTTGCTGAAAAATCTTGCATGCTAAAAACTTATTAAAAGTTTTTGATCCATTCAATTCTAAATTTACTCAACTTAGATACATGGAAGAGAAGGTTTGTTTTTTTTAATTTGTGGTTGAAGTTTTGTCTTGAATTTCCTGCAAAAACCTTTAGATTGTATACAAGATGATGGGAATTTATTACTTCATCGCCTGAAAGACATTTCCTCAAAGAAAGAAAAAAATTTGATCCTTAGAGACATCGACCCAAGAAAAAAATCATCATCAAAAAGTGTAAAGACTAACATGACTCTATTTTTCAAAATGAACGATTTGTGAGGAAAAAAAAATTACAATTAGATTTACTGATCGCAGTAGTTTTGCATCGCTGTATTTTACATACATCTGTTCTGATCGATTTTTGGTTCACTGAAAAGACCATTTCTTATGAAATTAGAGAAAATTCACGTCGGTGGTATTGAAAAAACCCACAAACCATCTAGAAATTTCCGTTCAAAAGTACTTTCCATACAAGTTCCTGTTTCAATGCTTACACGAATGTTTACTGACAATTTGAACGAGATAAGAAGCAAAAACAGGAAAACAGCAAATTTAACCTAAAAAAAGTGCATAGGTTTGTAAAAAAATAGAAAAAAGAAGCCCACGTCCTTTGGTGAAAAGATTTATTTGGTGACACAACTTAAACTGAGACACAAGAAGAGAATTTCATTACGTGCAATAAACTGATTGATGATGCCTTTGGCGCCAAAGCCCTGCTTATCGTTGTGCAGGTAATTGATTGAGCTCTCTAGGACGAAGTCATTAGGATCAGTGTCACAGATAAAGAAGTTCAACTGCATTGCAAGATTAAGCTGCAGCAAAACAGGTGAAAAACAAATGCTCTTTTCACTTTGCTGTTTAAAGCTTTTTTCAGCGAATTGTTTCAGCTATTTGGCGACTGGGAAGGATATGAAAATGAACAAAACATTTTCTTCAGCTTTCAAAGTAAAGAATAGTTTTAAAAAACATCTACAGGGCATTAATTGAAAGTCACTTTGATTGAGATTGAAGACCCGGAAATTATCGCGTTATAAACATTCTTTAATTGAGCGTGTTGCCCTTCAGAAGATAAAGTATGGAGGAAATAATCGAACATTTTAAGAGGACGTAATTAAGATCAATACAAGAGATAAGTTGTTCAACTCCCTCGCAAGATTAAACAAATTGATTGAAGTACAGGGAGACAGATCTTTGTAGATGGAAAAACTCCTGAAAAATTATTAAATTTATCACAGTAAACCAACCGACAGCAAAATTTTAAGCTTGAATTGTTTATATGTTGTTTTAAAATCAAGAAGAGAAAATTTTGTGTGCAGAAAAAAAAAAGGATATGAAACGTTTGAACCACAGATATGAAAGCGACTTATTTAATATCTGCACAAAATCAGAGTCATAACACAAATGCTGTAAATTTGCAGCTAAAACCAAAAGAAAAAAAAAACTTCACTGAGGATTGGCTTTTTGGAAGTGCTTTCACAAACAAGGTTTTCTCGGCAAGCGCTCGAGAGAAGGAAAAATTGATCACTATCTCCATACGCAGGTAGAAAATTTTTCAACAACACCAACTAGGGAAAATAAACTGGAGTAAAATAGCCCCTAGTCTACAGTTTCCCAGGCGAGTCATTTACACGAAGAAAAAAATTGTCTTTGACAGCTTTTAATAATAACATAGTCACCATTGAAACGCAGGCCGCATAAACTTTTCACCACTGATCGATTTCGTATCGTGAAATCCTACGACCTCTTTACCAAAGGGATTATAACAATTGTAAAAATGTGCCTCACCTCCTCCTGGGAAAAACGCCGCTCCTTCTTCAAACGGTCTTGGTCCTCTACACAAAGAATTTAATCATAATAAGACTTTGATAGGACCTTAACGTAATGAATTTGACTTCCATGTGGGCAAACACTTAGCGGCTTTATTAAAATGTATAAAAACCTTCGAGCAAAAATGGCATAGTTTAATGAAAAGGGAAAAGTTCGCGATTGAATTGGCATTCTTTGAGAGGAACAGCTTGGAAACAAGGCACTGACCTTTCGTCTATTCCTTGCGGAAATTCCCCGGGTGGAGGCATTCCAGGCGGAACCCCTGGGGGCCCTCCTACCGGCATTCGCCCACGACCTCTACCACGCATGCTCATTGCACCCGGGCGACCTGGAAACCCTGCAAAACAAGGACAAGTTTAGCTAAAAACGGCACCATGTTGGTAGCTGTTCGGTTACCACGCACGAATAGTCAAATTTACCTAATAGATAACTAGTGTATCTAAATTAAACAAGAGCAAATGAAACTGATTTCAAAGACAGGAGAGATTCGATTAACGTATGTATCAGTTGTCAAAGGCGAGAAAACTCGCATGTGTTCCACAGCGCAAGGAAATAATTTAACCGATAAGCTAGCAAGCGTGAAAAAGAAAAACAATCTGAGAGAGCGCGAGGAAAATATGGTTGGCGCGAAAGACAGCGCACACGTATCAAAAACGGGAAAAGTTGAAAACGTTACCGAGACCTAGCAAACATACAGTTAGTGTTTAGTAAAGGAAAATTTGCCACGACTGTCTCTAAATTTTAAGAGGCGCACATTTGCGTTGAAAAATTTCCGGTAATTCTTTATGTGGTAATTGTTCATAGTCTCCTTCATCAAAATTCAGTTTTCAGCTTTTTGATTCGTTTACTTTACTTGCGCCATCAGTAAACACCTCCAGTTCGCCGCTAGTTTAACTTTAACATGACGCTTCGCAGAATGCGTTTGAAATTTCGCGCAATCGTTCATCGGCTAAAAGGGAACTGACTGTGCATTTTTGGAAACGCTTTCGCCGTCAAGCATTTATGAACAATTACCTATGTTAGCTCAAACTTATTTATATATACATTATAATCAGTTTTTAAATTATTTGGTTCACAGATGACAATTTTACAAAGATGAAGACAAACCTGGGTCAAATGGCGGTGGCATCCCGTCCGGAGGTAATCCCATCTCAGGCGGAAATCCGTGGGGTGGCGGACCTGCCATGCCAGGCATAGGGGGCATACCCGGGGGCGGCATACCCGGAGGTGCCCCCTCGGGGTGGTGTCGTCCATCTGGACCCATGGGTCTGAAGGGAGGGGGCATTCCGGGTGGAATGGGACCACCAGGTGGCATATGCATAGGTATACCATGTGGTGCTCCTGAAGTTGGAGGGCCCATTGAGGGGTCTGGGTGAGGGGGAATGAATGGTGGGGCTCCCGACACCGGTGGCATCCCATGGGGACCTCCTGGCGGACCTGATAAATAGAAGCCAAGGAATCATCACATAAACCACAAATGTCAAACCAAAAATGGGGGGACACACATTAGGCCGCACCACGGAGGGGTCCTAATGAATTTAGAACTACGCTAACGTGAACGGCAAACGGCAAGAACTGAATTCAAGATAATATTTTCTATATCGGTGTTAAAAAGCAAAGCAAAAAAATTTATAATAGAAAAAAAACAATAAAAAAATCAACAGACCTGGAGGAAAATGTCTTTTGTTCATCATCCCTTGGCGAGCCGCTACATCCGGGTTCATACCTTCCTCCATCATCGGCATCATGACGTCATCTTCACGTCTCCGGCGACTTTCCACTGAAATGATATCAAAACTGAATCAGAAAAATTAAAAATAATGAAAAAACCAGACAAACAAACAAATATAGAACAATATCTGTAAATTTCAAAGAAACTTAGGGCCAGTTATTTACACGAGGTTACCTAAACCGCGGTTTTCCACAAGCAGCGGGCATCAGTGATTCTCTATAGGAGGGTTAATACAATTAAAAAATGTCCGTCTAATATAAGTTTTCGGCCCTCTTGACACTGTTCACAAAAATAAATGTTCAGATTAAAAAATGCGGCTATATTGGAGATCTTCCTTGTAAGCACTGCAGTATGCTTGGCGGTAATACTTCACATCATCCAAAGCTTCATCTTCTTATCAGAAGGGAACTGAACTCTTTCAATGTTTTGGTTCTTTTCGTCCATTGTTTCTAGTTCGCGGCGCGAGGGGAGCAAGTCGTATGCTCTTTTGACCGTAACTCCTCCACCACAAAGGTCCCAGATAAATCCCATTTTCTGTCTTTCAACTTGATCTTCGTCACTGTGAAACCTCGCTTCTAATAACTTCAAGAGTAACCTTCACTAGGGTTCTAGGCGGTTTTATTACGCGGCCGGCGTTGCGAGCGAGCCTGAGGAAGCGAACCGTGGGCCCCATTTGACTCCTACTTTGTTCCCGAAAAGTGAATTCCTTTCAAGTAATTATTTGTGAGACAATAAACCCTATACTGACCGAGCCTGTCTCGTCAAGAAGGCCGGATTTTGACCCCGTTCCTTCGTTCGTTTTCAGAAACCTCTATCAAGTCTCGGTCCATAAAAACGACACATAATAACTTCGCATATATCTATACATCGTTTCTTGACGTGCTGGCCGTGTTAATTGTTTACCAGTCACATAACCTTACCTCTGGAGCCCTCTCCGCCGATAACATCTATGCTTCCTTCCAGTTTTCTCTCAGGGGGTGGGCCTGCCTTTCTGGGTCTCCCTGCCAAAAACAAAAACAAAATTCATCTTATCAGAACTATTCCAATAAGCGACTGGTTTCACTTCTCCGTAACAGAAACGAAGCACTTCCTAACCGATACAATTCAAAGGACCCCACTTTTGCAACCGTTTTCAAAAGTCTACGTTTCCATCGGCGTTTTGAGGATACTTACTGCAGTAATACGCACAAACACATAAAAAAAGGTTTGCGTTTTCAAATAAAAATACATTAGCATCTATGGGACCTCTGCAGCACAAGGAAAGAAAGAAAAACAGTATATAGAGCAGGAAAATTGGAAGCTAACTAAGCATGGTACAAACCATCAGGCAGCAAGGTTGGGTCCACTGTGGCTGGTGGGTGCATCTGAAACACAAATGTTTATAAAGTTCAAAGAAGAGAAACAAATACCAAAAATACCTAAGAGTTTAAGGTTGTAAAGATTAATAAAAAGTCGCAGAAAAAGTATAATTTTTAGTTAGATTACATACCATTGCCCTGTTTTCATTCGAACTAGTAGGTATTATCTGTGTGAGTAATTTACATTCCTGTTCATCATAGCATGCGAGGCCGTCGTACAAAGTGGGGAAGGAAAGTTTATGTGGGCGCTAAGCGCAATCCACCGGGACCTGAAAAACGCATCTCGCACCCGCAATAAACTACCCTTTCCCCCTTTCTAAAAGCAGGCCACGATATTTTCTAGGTTTCTACACGCTTTCGGCGAACAAATGAAGGGAGGGGTTTTCTAACAACTCACCAAGATCACAACGATGGCAATTCGCACCAGCATAACCCTCATCTCGATCTCTTTACCCTTTGATGCCAGCAACTCAAGCTACGTTAATTATATTTCAAGTTCCTTCGCGATTCTACAACAGTTTAGGTGGTTTAACATACTTGTAGATATGAAGGGGAAAACTTAATGAAGACCATAAGGGAGGATAAAACATTGTTTTAGGCACAACACATTTACAAAGGGCTGTCTGTTCTGCTGCATTCAGATGGCGCTATAAATAGCTTCATTGGACCAAATGGCGGACGTATTATGACAGCTACAACTAACAGCAAATCACAACTTACAAATATTTTCTTTGGCATTTGTAATTCCATTCTCATTCTTCTCTGCTTTTCACAGTATTGTTTCCATGTGTCTTCCGTGAATCCATAGTTGAAGTAATCAGTGATGTCAGCACCTGTGAACAAGAAACAGTTATTGTTACACACAAAGTATGGATGCCTGATTTCCCGAGTAGAGATACCACAGGTTAACCACTCTCATGTGTGACTGGTAACACAGTGTTTGGTTTCACTATGCAACCTTTTCTCTGTCCATGACTGTGTTGCATGCAAGACCATACAAGTGCTGCAAAGGAGAATAATTAACACCCCTATCACACCAAATCTTAAACATGTTTTAACACTGTTTTTGATCGTTAGAGCGGCTTAAACTTTTTTTCTTCATTTAAGCTGGTTGATCAGATGTTTGTCAACTTCAAATGTATCACAGTGAGATCACTAGAACCCTAAGAAAAATTCAGTTTTTCAGTTCTCTGTTTCTGATTCTTTTTTAGTTAACCTGGTTTTGCTGCTGTGGATGGGGCATAACTTCCCTCTACACTTTGGTGGTTTTCTTAGCATCACTGGATGTCACAACTCTTACCAGGCTTTCTCCAAGGTTTGTCATCAACTGAGTCCAAATCGAATTCATGCACAGATACACCATTAACTGTACCAACTGCATCCACATCAATGTGTTTATTGTCTTTTGTATCCTTTACTGCAGCAGATCCACTTCCTGACTTGAAATTCCAGTTTACAGGTGCTGCATATGGAGCTCTGAGGAAAAATTATTTGAACATCAGCATGGTACATGTTGGAGACACTTGTAGAAAAATTCCAACTTTTTGCAATCTCTCTGCAACAGTGCATGTAGGGATTGGTAAATTTAGCTGGACAAACTCTGCAGCAATGTGGAAAATACTGTGGCTTTGTGGTTGGTGGGCTGGACTCTGAGTCGAGATGTCTGGGTTCTTGACCTGGCCGAGTCAATGCGTTGTGTTCTTGAGCAAAACAGTTGACCCTCACAGTGCCTCACCCAAGAATTTAAATGGATACTGTGTTACTCTGATTCCTTGAGGAAACCAGGATAAGCTCCCACCAGATGGGTGAATTGGCTTGAGTACAAACTTTGCTTTACTCTGTGCTAGCACATGTCCTATGTATTTCAAATTTGATATTTTTAACCATTACATTTGGTACCAAAAAGTAACTGTACATCCTTACCCATATGGTGCTGCTGACGTATTTATTTCCCCAATAGTGACCTGGACATCATCATCATCATCATCATCGTCATCATCATCATCCTCCTCATCATCTTCATTGCTCTATAAAATTCATCACTAAACTGTAAGTTACTCAGTTAATTTGAAGTCAGGCACTAGGACAAACTACTGTCACTGTGGACACCAACACAAAACTTAACATTCCAAAATCAAGAAACAAGTAATTATTGATAGCTTGAAAACTATCTGTCTCCTCTACTTCATCTGGTCCTACGCACTGATATACTTGAGTGAATTTGGTTAAAATCATTGTCTTTTTTCATGAGCATAATAACTCTTTTAACGTTTATCTCTTTAACTCCCAGGAGCAACCAAGACAGAATGTCTCTTCGCAATATGAAAACAACATCAAGCTGACAAGTGATGAGAATAAAGAAAAATATCAATAAAGGGATTTTTAGTTTATCTAATGCCAAATTCTCCAAGCTAGCATCATAAGAATTGCATGAAAGACAATAAGGAGAATTTATAATGAAATCTTGGGAGTGAGAGGGTTAAGATGCCCCTGCCAGTAACAGTAGTAACATAGTAGTCTACATATTAAATCATACTGAAGATGTCAATATTTTTCTTGCTTTGGATAAAATCTGTAATTTTAAATCCACTAGCTCCAAGAAACTGCTTCATAGAAGTTTCATCAAATTCACCCTTGGGAGTGAAAGTGGCTTTTCTGTCCAAAACATGCAAAGGTCTGTTGAAAATTGTTGTATTAAGTGAAGTTTAAGACTCACTAGCTCTCCAGCTTCCTTGGCATCATCTTCATCTTTGACTTGTCCATTTTCTGTAATTTCTTCTTCTTCTTTTGGTTCTTGTTTTATTTCAGTGCTGTAGAGAGTGTACAAAGTGAAAAGTAATCAATTACTTTTCTTTGGTTTTATCGACTGAGTTGACGTTGCAAATTACCCACCAAGAAGAGTTTCAAACTATTGGATAATTTATTGCTATCAAGAAAAGTTACATGTTAATCACTTTTGGGGGTTAAATGACTCAATAACAGTTGATAAAACCAAATATCTTGTTATACTCCTCTTCCAATGGCAGTGCCACTGTTTCTTTAGAAACTTACCCCCTTCATTCAATACAAGTTTCAATGAGAGATTTTTGATTGACACTTGCCACCCATATTACTGGTAAAGTTCCCTATGAATTACTTGAGGGAGTGGGTAAGGAAGTGAGAAGGGTGTTCCCTGAGGCATCAGAATACTGAGAACTCTCCAACTAAATTTCAATGGCTCAAGCTTTTTCAGACATATTCTCTTGCTGTTACATTTCTTGGAGAAAACTCAAACTAAGCCCAAGACATGTGCTTAAGTACAACACGCATCCTGCAAGCAACCTTGAACTCCCACAAGTGATGAACATGTAACTTCTCCATATAACAACCATACATTTTCTGGCAAACGGGTAATGAGAGTGCTCAGACTTATCAGGTAGAATTCATTATCTTGATCTAACACCAAATTCTGGTAATTACTTTTTTTTGCAGCAGCAGCAGCTAGAAAGGAGAATAAACAACCAGATCTTTGGAGTAAAAGTGTTAAATTTAACACTAAAAAAACTTATGCCTGCTCAAAAATAATTTTACTTTGTTATATCTGTCTTTGTTTGGCATACCTAGTGTTTATCTCCTTCAAGAAAACAAACTTCTTACCTCAATGTTTGGTCCTTTTCCTGTGCATCACCACCTTAGAGTGAATAAAAAATTAATATACCATCATATATCTACAAGGACTGAAAGACATGGGGTACTTCTAAAACAGTTAGAGGTAATTACTCTTTAAATATAACCATATTAATCCAAATTTTTTCCAAATGTATTTACAATTTATTCTGAACAGGAACTTTTTTTAGTTGGGAACCACTATTTGAAATGAGTCAGCTTGCACTTGAATAGATGGATAAAACAAGCTGTAACATGTTTCATCAACAGTTCTTCATGCAGAATTGATGAATTGAGTGATTTTAACTTTTTCTTTCCACTGATGTAACAATGATGCAGTGCACATACACAGAGTGCTGAAAAAATATAATGCAAAACTGCTCAAGAAATTTCAGAAGCTTGAGTGGAAAGATTTCCTAAATTTTACAAAGCGTTTAGAGAAGAAACTTTATAGACTTTGCACCATAAGCCCTCAGACCTATTTTATTCTAACTGAAGAGTTAAAATCTATTTTTGATGGTTTTTACAGGACCCAAATCTGTATAGGCAGATTACTAAACTTTTCAAGAATTCCAGAATCTGTACAAACCCATACTTTAGAGGTTATTGAGATATATGATCACTATATTTTCCGGAGTCAAAATTAATATTCTACTGGGAAACGAAGCGAAAAATTGAACGATTCTTCGGAGAAAATTTCATGAGACAAGTTTCCAACGAGTATCTGACAATTAGTTCTTCGATATGTATGAGAGCTCAAAAAGGTCATCTCAAAAGTATTCATTTGTCCGTTTATGAAGTAATTTAAAGGGCACGGAGAGAAATATATCATGACAGGATCAAGCGCTGGAGATATGGCTTACGAGGGTATATTCTCAGAGTCTATCCTTACCTCCATACAAAAACTTCTCATCGTCTTCGACGTCCGCCATTTTGATGGAGCATGAGGGATGAAGACAGTGTGCGCATACAACTGTCGTGATTACCGCTGGTCGTCTTTCAGCCGGTGAAGTCTTGTCAAGATGGCCGAGGAAGGGAGTTCTTTGTTTTGTGATGATGATAAATCATGTGAAAAACATCCTAACGAAACTGATGAGGACGGCGAAAAGTATATTTCGGCGCCAATAGGTATGATTACCTTAGTTCTGTCTACAGTTATTTTTTTTTGGTAGATTTTCGCTGAGTAATTCGCTCTGATGTTGTCCCACCCGCTTTCACGAGTTGTTGTGCCTTTTCAGACTCACAGCGAAGCTTTGCATCACCTGACCTTTTGATGTAATGATTAATTTCTCTCTTCTTTACCCACAGATAAACTTGGACCTGCTGGAAGGTGGCTTCGACACCGTCTACTCAGCTCAATTCTCATAGGAACACCTCCTCTTGTAGCGCTTCAGGTAATGTGTTCAGTCCTGCGCGCTTTATTTGCCGTTGACTCCAAAGCATGCATCCGGCTTTTCATTTTCCTAGCTCAGCCGGATGTTGGAGACGTATCTCTTTCATTTGCTTGAGCCTGGTAGGCTTTCCTATAGCTGAGTGTGTGTGTTTCGCTATCAATAAGGTTTCCTTTTTAGCATGTGCGCACAATCTACCTTGTTTTGATTTTATTTTTAATTGCCATTCGATTTCGCAATCGCGATAAAATCAAATCAATTTTTATATCCAGTAGTGATTAAGTTATTAGTGACGAAGAGGTGATGACAAGAAGGGCAAAGTACAAATTCTTGGTTCATTTTGTGTTTTCAAGCTAGTCAGAATACTCCTTTTATTGTAAAAGTACATGAGCCACGCATAGACCATTCATCGGCGATCTTTCGCGAACAATTAACTTAAAGGAATTGATATGGTCGCCCACTCAAAGGGGAAATAATTGGTAGACGCTAAAAACCTCTCATTGTTATGCAAATGAATCGCAACACAGTAAATTTCTTTCACATGTTTAGTTCTGATTTGATCTCCTAAGTGTCCGTCCATCGCAAATCCAGTAGAAGGAGGAAAGACGGTGAACCAGTTTTTTTTTTGTTTTTTTTTTGTTTTTTTTTTGTTTTTTTTTTTTGAGAAAAAGCTGGATGCATTAGTTTCGCGAACCTCGTATACTGTTTTTAATTTTTGACTGATATCAAGCTTGTGAAAAAATCAATATTGATTTACCTGCAAGCCTCTTAAGTCAGTCGTTTGTATAATTATATATTATTTGCCTTTTAACAACTTTTTTGTGTGTTTGTGTGTGTGTGTTTTTTTTTATATATTTTGCCTTTCTCTTTCTTTTTAATTTTAATTAAGACAGATGAAGGTCTGTCAATCTTCTTAGATACAATTAAGATATTTTGTTTGCTACACATCTTGTTTTTACCCTCTTACTATTGGTCTTTTAAATTCTATGAGCTTCAATGGTGGGAGTGTTTTAAAATACTTTAAGCATCTTTCTGAATGAATTTAGAGTTAGATATTTAGACATGCTAGCTGGAAATATCAACCAAAAACAGTCTGCAAACAAATACTGTGAATTGTGCCAATAGGGGATTTGGTATGACAGAGAAGTGACCCCTATAATTTATGTTATCCGCATTCATCCTAGCAAAGGTCTAATGCTCAAAATTTCAGGTTTAGAAACTCTTTACAGTGGCCAATTTTGATCATCAACTCAGTTAATAAAACCAAATTATCTCATAAAAGGGTGGTAAGGGACTGATACATGATGCGTGCCTAAAGCTAAAATGAATTTTACAGAAAGGGTAATGTGATTCATGAATTTACCAACCAATGTGAGGGGTAATTTGCCTCCTGAAACATACAGAACTAGTGAATTTTCGCTTTCATCTTGTGAAAACTTCAAGATTTCCCTGAAACCTTGTACACTACACATTTGAAGTTTCCTCTTTTATTTACATGATATGTGAAACAGGATCAGGACCCCTTTTTACTACCCTCCTATAATTATTAACTCAGCACCACAGTTTCTTCAAAAACTTACCCCATTTTTCCATTTTCATAAGGGATTGACATGTAATTTCTTCTCATGATGTCAGCATGTTATTAACCAAAGTAGGAATGAGAGTAGACAAATCTGACAGCTTAAAAGCATTTAATTGATGTACTGGTAGTATCAGATTCTCCCAAGTAGCTTACAAGGAAATGTGCAGCTAGAAGTGAGAGTTACAAATCAGATCTTGGGAGTTGAATGAGGGTATTGAGTTTGAAAACTGAAGGTCTCAGGTTCAAATTCTTAACTTTGCTGCCTATCTGTATTTTCTTTTTTGTGGTGTTAAGTTCAACTTCTCTGTTACACTTTCTGGAACATAAGATTGTGTCGCTAGGCAGAATGGTTTAATGTAACAGTGGTTTGCTTTGCCCAGAAGCATAAAAGGGAAACTGGAATATTGTGTGGGAAGCATGACTAAGTACCAAACCAAACAAAGAGACTCAGTGAAGCTTACTGGCTAATCAATCACAGTTGTTATCAAATCTCCCAGTCTAATTATGTTCCTGCTCAGGAAAGAACATGTCTTGTGCCATGGGTCAAGACTCACTTACCTCCTAAAGCTAAACTAAACTCACTAACTTCTCAAAGCAAACAAATTAACTTACTGCCTAGGGAAATAAAAAAGACACCAAATGGCAGGTGCTGTGTGAAATGGTGACTCTTGTTTCCCAAAACCCTTAAATGTGCCTGTCGGGGGAGAATAAAGAGAAAACAAACACTGTTTCCCTTGGTTCCAGTTTTTAAAGACTTGTTGACCAACTGTACTTGGTGGTCAAAACCAAAATGGTTAGATTGACTTTTTCATTTTTACCAACCAGGCTTAACCCTTGAACTCCCAGATCAAATTTGTATTTCTCCTAAATGTCAACTATACATTTGTTATAAAGTTAGTTAAGAGAAGTTAGTATTGGATCAACTTATTATCCCCAAATCGATATTTTTCTCTATTCTTATCACTTATCTGGTTGATATTGTATTGTTATTGTAAAGAGAAATTCTGTCTTGGTCACTTGTGGGAGTTAAAGGGTTAAAATGCTTGACTGATGAATAACTCCTTAAATTGTTGCTATGCCAACTTGTACCACCAATTACTATTACCCATGACAGTCTTCCCTTCTTCCACTCTTCTGACAGTAAGACCACACTATCAATTTAGTTGCTTTTTACTGATGAACATGCAAAATTTCCTTGTCTTTCTATAGAGAAGACGTACCCCGTTATGGACAAAGCTCATGAAGCTGAACAGTTTCTTTGGCACAGAAGATTTTTATATTCCCATGGGGGTTTTTATTCTTTGGTAGGTAGAAACTTTCATAGGTTAATAAGGAATCATGCACTATTTTCAATAATTTTTTTTTTATCAGGGTTTGTGATGAAACCTGCAAACTAGTTTTCATACCTGAAAAAGTCAAAAAGTATATAGAAGCTGGAAGACTTGATTTTTTCCATGTCTGATGTTTCTTGATCATTGTTTGTCTCGTGGTCAAAATTTTTGGATGTTACAGTGTGCAAATTTTATCAACCTTTAATTCTTTACTGTTGAAGTATGTATGTTTTGTTGTTGTGTTTTTTTTTGTTTTGTTTTGTTTTAATTAAAACTGACTATTTTCTTATGCAGGATCGTTGATGCTAAACTTGGAAGGTTGTTGTGCCTACTGATGGGTTTAGGTTTCTACACTGCTGGATTCATTAAGGTAATAAAATGAAGTTTTCATTTTAGGGTTAACAATTTATGGTCTGCCATTGAAATTTATTGCCATATTAGAACAGTTGCAGAGATATCAAGGGTATTTTCCAGCACATCAAAACAAAGAAAGTGGAGACTTTTCTGAAATTAAATCAAGAGTAAAGTGCTTGTAGAAGGTAGTCTCATAGAATGCAATAAGAAAAAAGAGAACATAAATCTTAGCATAGTCATTGAATGGCTTTGATTTACTTGAATTGCAGGATGTTCTTTGCCTACCTCGGCCGGCAAACCCACCAATTGTTCCCTTAGAAAGGGCTTCACAAACATGGTAGGTACAACATCCCAAAAAGGAAAACAGCCTTCCAGTTAGTTGTTGGTGTTACAAATTAAATTCATTTTCATGTTAATAATTTTTAAAAATATAGTTCATTTTTCTTATAAGTAGTTCTTGCCTGAACCTAACAATAGCCTACCTCACCGAAGTCTCTTTAGCCCAGTGTTAGAGCATTGGATTGTTTAGTTCAAAGGTCTTGAGGTTCACTACCTCTTGCTAACTCAGTATTTTTTTTTCTTTGTCCCACATTGGATACAAAATTATATAATCTCCTTCTTTTGTTCTTTGCTGGTTGGACTGTGGGCAACAGTAGTCTCCTTCTAAGCTTCCCAACTCAATATTTTACACTAATTTTCCATCTCTTCATGTCTCTGTTTGTTACTGTACTAGTATTGAAAAGTTGCTGTGCTCCACAATACATGTACCTTGTGTAGCAGAGTTTAATTGCTATATCTGGTGCACCAACAATGCCTATAGGTTGGTTATTAACACACCCCAGACCAATAGGTGTTATGATAAATATTATGCAGGGCGTGAAATTAATTTTTTTCTTCTGATAACCACTTGGCTCCTAAATTCAAAAAAAGTTTGTTGCCATTTTTAAAGACAAACAGAACCCTTTTTTATGCTGTCAGCGTTCTAGATAGACCCTCCAAAATTAAGTTACGAAAAAGATCTTTAATGTGCAACAAAGTGGACATTAGGATGGATGATATACGACGTTCAAGCTCACCCAAACCAAAGATTGCGTCTAATTATTGATCAAGATGCATGTGCTGCATTTTGGACACAAACTTAACGAGGAAGTTTGCCATAGATTTATCTTTGCAAGTCTTTTTAATTCACTATATCTCTAGGTAAGGTTATGATGAAGCATTCTAGTTGCTAATTTGGCAACTAATTTTCAGGATTTGGTTGCCAAAATGAAAAATTTAGTTGCATTGGCACCTGTATGATGCGCAATTTCATGCCCTTTTACGTCAAACTTTTTTTTTATAATTTTAAATTTTGACTTCATTTCTCAGGGGTCTTCCAAGTCACCATGCTGTTTTGGGTGTACTGGTTCCTTGGTAATTAATTTTCTTGTCTTACTAGACTCTAAATAAATGGGTAATGTTGTTTTTTTGTGCTTTGTCATTATTGAAAATTGTCACCAGCACACTGCAGAGGTTATGGAGGGATGGGTACCTAATTATGTGGGGGACAGAGGGGAATCCATTCTCTTTGTTTTGAACTAGATTGTTGAATGGCAGTATTTTACTTTTAGGTATATCTGGTTTTATTCCTACATTCACTTTTCTATGCCTCAATGGGGATTTGCTGTCCTATTTGGATTAATTGTCTACTGTAAGTGCCGCTTATTCCATACTCAGTGTTGGATCTTTAAGAATGCATCCAGAGCCAAAGAAAAGGCTCTGAAAACAGTGTATTGATTAATTCTTTATTGTCAAACATCCACAGTGCCTCATTAGATGCTCTTGTGAAATTAAATGAGATGATAAGATAGTGCTTACCAGATTCTGATTGATTGTGACAGTTTTTTTTTTCATCGATAGGGTGATTATCCAGGCCAAATTACCTGAAAGTGAGAGCTCTAAAGAAGGCCTAACTTTGCCTAAGAGTATTATAGTTTCATTGATGGTGTGAATGTCTTTTTTTTTTTAGCAGAGCTGGTTTCATTACTTAAGTATTGCTGTACAAAAATAAAATTGCAGGAATTGCCTTTGTCGCAAATTCCTATAACTTCTGAAAACACATGTGATACTAATCCCTAATTTTACTCAACCTCATGCAATTACCTGAATGTACTCAATGAGCTGGGGTTTTTTTCAATTGTATTTTGTGTTTTAGGGTCAGTGTCTGTGATGTTTAGTCGGCTTTACCTTGGTGTCCACAGTCCAGCAGATATTGTGGCTGGAGGAATTATTGGCTGCGTCATTCTGGCATACTGGATAAAGATTGACACAATTGTGGACAGATCTATCAGCTTTGGGGATAATGGTATGTATTGCTGTAGTACAGATTCCTTAATTGTTCACTTTCGAGAATGAATGGTACCTCAGTTCCATTTATAATTTCAATACAGTGTCAATCAGGCATACAGACTGTGTGAAAAACGTTTTATACTTGTGCCAATTTGCCCACTTATCTTGAGCTTCTCTCGGTTTCCACGGCTTGAAGCAACAAGGGGTATTGCTTCTCTCCCCTTTCCCCCCCCTTGATGGAATGCAGGCTACCCTTTGCCAGGCTTCTCTGGCTCTTATTGTACAGATAGAGAGCCACACCACTGTGAGAGGAAAGTTTCTTGAACAAGTAGGCACCACAGAGGCCCTACCAGGTTCTTGAACTTGGACCTGTCAATTTAAGGTCTACAACAACAATGCAGATATTGAGCAGGTTATCAAAGTTATATGGTGTACAGTATTTTGCTCTTTGTGTACTCAGCTTAATGAGAAGCTAACCCATTAACTCCCATGAGTGATGAAGGCAGAATTTCTCCCTACAATATCAAAATGAAAATCAAGCAGACAGGTGATAAGAACAAAGAAAAATATCAAGTAGGGTATTATTTGTTGATCCAATATCAAGTTCTCCAAATTAAAATCATAAAAACTCTATAATAGACAGTAAGGAGAATTACTGATAAGATGTAAGAGTGAAGGGGTGAGGATGGTTGAAAACTGAAATGATTTTTAATTTTGTTTTCTTTTTAGTTGTCCTTCAAGCCATTGTTTACTCCTTGTTGTTGTTGTTTCTTCACCCTCGTCCTGAGCCCCGTACGCAGTCTCTGGTTGAAACGGTAAATTCTGGTGTCATTTGAAACGCGTAGTTATTATTTAGTTAAGTTTGTAGCCAACAAATACCTGTTTTGACAAGATTGTCCTGTAGTATTGTACATTCTTATATGACTCAGCCAGCCCCATGTAAATCCCATAGAAAATCATTGTGAAAACTGACAAGTGTATGGTGAAATGGGTTGACCTGAGGTGGTCCATGAAAAGCTGTCTGGCCTTGTACTCACAAAGCTTTTTGCAAAAACTTAAAGAAAAACAAATCAGGAAAACAAAATGTTTCGTGATAGAGTGTGTGTTGTTCATTCTGACTTGAAAAAAACAAAGGGCAGATTTTAATTGTAGAATTTATTTTATTAGTATATGACCCATATGCACCCAGTCTATTGCATCCCATTTACTTTGATACAAAATATTTTTAAATTTTCAGCACAAGGTGATCATTTGAGAAAATTCTTATTGACGGAGTGTGGTCAGGCTGGATGAGAAAAAATGTTTAGATCTGATCATGATGTACTTACCTTGCTGCGCTTGGTTCATACTTCCTGATCTCAAGCCACACATTTTCCTCTCCAGTCCTCCCAATTTACAATTTTTATGCAAATTACTTTTTTAAGCATATGGTCACAGTGTTATTTATAAGATTGTCAAGCTACCATAAACTATCTTTGCCAGACCCTCAGGAGATATGAAAAGTATTAGTAGACCTTTCAGAGAATATAGCAGACTGTAAGACTGAAAGTATTTTTTGTTTTTTAGGTTGCAATGACTGCTGTGTCAGTTGGTTTTGTAATTGGCAAGGCCACATCCACAAGACAGCCATCCATTTACAAAGCTATCCTGGACTTTGATATTGGTGTGTTTTAAATTATGCTTATATTGGAGCTGGAAGTCTATCTTAAACCCAATATTATGAACCAGCAGGGCTACTCAACATCAAACCTGCATGTAAATTCTCACATCAATATTCTTTTTTTTTTTTTAGATGATGTGTCCAACTTTACCTTGTTCTGGGTTTCCTCTGTGCGGTTATTGCTTGGTGAGTGGACCAATCAACTTAAAAATCTGCAAGAAATTAAGTTGCATGTTGTGCTATATTTTGTAACAGCATTTCTAACAATTTTAACTGGTATTCTTTTACTTTGAACAATTTCTTCCTCTGACCGGAGTTCTGATTTGTTTGCTTTTCGTTTGCTTTAGTAGAGGGTGAAATGTGTTGGTTGTCAGCTTATTTTGATAACCTAGTGTTTCTGCTACAGCTTCAAAAGTTGCCCTGGAAATAATAATAATAATAATAATAATAATAATAATAATAATAATAATCTTTATTTCTTAAGATAAAATCACATATCCTAAGTTACAATATAAACTAAAAATAAAATAATAATAATAATAATAATAATAATAATAATAATATAAGGACAAAGTGGGCCAACTAAATTTGTTGCAGTTAAAAGTCAGATCAAGTTTTCAGCATGCAATGGCTTCCCTTCGTTTTGATTGGCTATTTTATTGTCTAGTATAAACACAGTAAACCAAGTTGTGAAGGTTTCTGCCACAAAATACCATAAATAGGTTGGAAGTCTGCTTAGGAATTACTGCTTCACCTGAACCCAGCAAAGTTTTCTTTCTTAGCATTCCATTGTAAATACTGTACAACCAAACTTTGGTACAAGCTTTAAAATTTTGTAGGAGCGATGTTCCATGAATTGTGAATCTATGGTCCAAATGTTAATGATTTTTTACTGTGTATTCTGTTCTTCACAGGTTACACCCTAGTAATACTTACAAGAATGCTCTGTAAGATTGTGTTCAAAAACTTGCTGAACAATCTTTTCCGAGTGTTGGACTTGGAATGCTTTGAAATAACGAAGGTTAATTATGACTCAAGTGAGAGGATGTATGGCCCTTCGTTCAAACTGCCTCCTGTTTTTGACAAGGTTAGAATTAAAGATTCATATACAAACATAGTAGTGTCTGAGCTTTCTGAAGAGTCTCTGTGGCTCAGTGGTAGAGCACCAAGTTCAAAGGTCTGAGATTTGATTTCTCAAGGGAACTCAGAATGTTTTCTTCTTATTATGCTGGTGACAAACTAAAAAACTTAAGTCTTGTAGTCCTGTAGTCTGAGTGACTCAACAACAACTCTTCACTTAACCCTGGTGATAAATTATTTTCAGGTTGTTGAAATATCAATCACTAATACCCCCAAGAGTCCTTCTTAGGACTACCCTCCTCCTCTCTTTCCCCCCCCCCCCCAACACATTACCCCTGCATTCTTATATCTTATTAGAAGTTTTGGTGTGTATTATCACTGAGTGTTTGTACAAGTTATGCCATATTTTGACAAGCCCATAGGGCAAGTCAAAGTACAAACAATGCAAAAGCAGCTAGGGAAGTGCAGAGTGCAGCACACACAGCACAAAATAACCAACTGTCTGAATAACCATACAATATTGCAGGATATTTGTACTCTATTTATGCAATATTTATACTTTACTTTGTGCAGTTGGATAATAAAAACCATTTAGTGTAATATTCCTGTAGGGTTAGAATTAAACAGCTTAGTTTATCTGCAGGAAATTTAAGCTCCTTAAGTAAATTTGCTTCCTGGCAACGAAAATGCTTCAGTTATAAGGTGAAAGCAGAAGGATTTTCATCATTGGTTTTCTTCATTTTTTCCAGCAAAGAAAGAAAAGAGGCAAAAAATCCCAGCCTGATATGGAGGATGGCAGCCCAAAGTACAACTTACTCTTTGTTGTCAACTATGTCTCATATGTGTGTGTAGGATGGGTGGCAATAAGTGGTGTACCACTCCTTTGTCACAGTATTGGACTGGTACTTTAGACCGACATTGGTGTGTGTGGCCAACATTGTTATCTCTCTGTGCATTATTAGGCTACCAAATTTACACTGGAATAGTATTGGAACAGTATTGTCCCTTTACATTCTTTAATAGTTACACATCTAATACATTAAGAGCATTATGTTAGATATTATAGAAAATAGTTGAATGGGTTAGTTATTGCTTTAAATTGTTACTGAAGGATAGACTGGTCAGTTGGAAGTTCTATTGAATATAGTAACTATCTAAGACAACTGTGAAGAAATTGTGCATTTTGCTAAGTGGGGCACTTTTGGACTAAATGAAATAAGCAGCATAATATATAAAGTATTTTTTTTATTACTATTATTTTTTGTTGGAGAAAGTTAACCCTTAAACTCTGTTAAATTACATCAATATGTAATTTCTTTGGATGATATCCATACATTGTCTAGCGAACTGGTAATGATCCAATATTCAAACTTATCAGGTAGAAGTTATCTTTTACCAACCAGTAACACCAAATTCTTGTAATTAATTTTTCATTGAAATTTGTATCAGCTGGAGGGGAGTGATAACAATCAGATCCTAGGAGTAATAAAGGGTAACATGAGAGAAGTAAGTCTGTTCCAGGCAATCAGGCTGTGGAGACAAAGAAAAAAAGCTGGGGTGAACAAGACAAAAGATGTGAAGGGACTTGCTCCATCTCAGAAAATTGGGGATTCTTCTTGTCCATTTTGTTCCCTTTCTTTCCTCTTTTCTTTTTTCACTAGTCTCCACCTTCCAAGAGCTTAGAGCAGTCAGGAAGGGAAGAGTGTCAAAGCTGATCCATTTTTTTTTTTCTTTTTCTTTTTTTTTCATCTGTATGCACCACGCTTAAATTATTTTGCCTAGAACTCCACAGTGATTTAACACCATGAGAAAATTAATCTATATGACTTCATCTGACTTCCTTGAAAAAAAAAGATATCATTTATACAAACAAACAGAAAATAGAAGGTAACTATCAAAACGTGAAGGTTGCAAGATTTTAAAGAACTTTATTCAAGAAAGGATCTTATTTATCTAGTTCAAGAATTCTTTTAACATAATCCTTGCAAAGATTTGAAGCAGACATGTACAAAACAGAATTGCGTTTGCCTAGTCTGATTTTAAGTGGCTGTTTCCTCCAGATGGAAGGAGTCCTATACTTGGCTTGTTTGGCTGGTCTGGTTTTGTTCTGCTGGTCTGGTTTTGTTTGATTGTTTCTTTCGTACTTTCTTTATTTTTCAATTTTCTATTTTTTTTTCGTCGTTAGTGTCTCTTTTTCAGCTGCGGATGCAGCTAAGCTAACAATTCTAACCAACACTTGTATATATGTCAAATTTTCCATTTTCTATTTCAGCTAAATACTTAAAAAAAACCCGTCAGCATTTTTGAGTTAGAACTATGAAACTTTGACTTATTGCTGATAATTGTTCCAAGTTGTTCAATCAATTTTTATAATTTCATATTCTACAAGCTAAAACTGAGAGTATTGAAATATCATTTGGGTTGGGAACATTCCTTGTTGTAGAAGGTGCCTTGTAGTTGGTTGTCATTGGTAACCATAAGGCTTGTGAAGTGGGAATGGGGGGGGGAGGGTAAGTGTAAGTGTAAAGCAAACAAATTTGTTTTCAGAGAGGCCCTTAATCGTGAGAACTTTTATTTATAAATATGCTCTGAGATTCACTGTTATTTGCTAATTTAAAAGAAGTTAAAACCAGGAAATGCGAAAGAGAATTTAATGCATTTGATTATTGTAAATGTTCAAAAGATCTATTGTTAATTAAGTATTGGTAAATTCTTTAAGCTAAAATTTGAGGAGGCAAATGCTTAGAATTCAGTTTAAAAAAATTGACAGAAATCTAATTTTATCGTTTCGGTTTCCTCATTTTAAGGGTTTGCTCATTTTCAGCATTTGAAGAGGCGAATATCATGAATTTAGTAAATGAAATTGATAGAAATAACTTTATCATTTGTTTCCTCATTTTTCAGCGAGATTTGAGGTTGAACTGAACAATATGCCTAGAAAATTACAGAGAAGTCTATTAATTTATATTTGTAAAGTTTTAAGTTCATGTATCATATTTGATGGTTTATGGCTTATTTGTTCGCAATTTTCTACGAATTTTGCCTTTAAGTGTTGAAAGATTTAGGTTGGTCTGTAGCTGAAGATTGTACGGGTTGTCAGAAATGTTTTTTGGATATGATTGCTTTAGGAAATCTCGCTCATTGACTCACTCTTCATTTTTATATGTATCTTGTACAGGGAAGCAGAACCTTTCCTTTTTTCAACAACATTTCTGCTGGTAACAACATGGATAAAAACAAATAATTCTTTGTTGAGAGAGCAATTTAATTAAGTGTCGTAAAAGTCCAAACCTGCTTTCAGAGAGCATTCTGTTTCGCTGTTCTTGGCTGCTATTCAGCAGCTGTGATTGGTGCATTTCGGAGATGTGTTCCCTCAGCGGTTCACTGCATTTCTTTCCTGTTATGTTTTTTTATCGTTAATTGTTTTAATTTTCGCGTTTGATTGGTGGAGTTACGAGTTATCGTAGCCAATCACAGACCTACGTGTAGCATACCCAGTATAATCCCGGTCTGCAACTGAAAGCAATCCTTGGTTTTAGTCGACACTCGATTTTCTTTTACGGAAACTTCTGTAGTGAGGCTCATAAAAGATTACTCCTACATAAAGAGTTACTCTTGCTATGAAGTTAACAGTTTATGTAGGAGATATTGTAATCATTGAAGTAATAAAAAATCCAACCGTTGTTGTCAGTGTTGCTCTGGTGTTATGTTAGGGATAAAAACTACACTGAATTTGCTCGTTAAAACTCATACAGCCTGCAATTAGCTTATGCAAAAGTCAATGGTAGAACAATCCTATGAATTCAGCTGAATTTTGCGCAGAAATTTCTACTAGGCATGCAACAATACAGGTGCGGTACGGTGCCTTTCAACTGGAAAGGCCTAGTCCCTAAGCGTTGAATCACACCTCTTTGTTTGCAATGGTAGAACAATGAAATGTTTGTAACTTTTTATTGTAGCCAAATATCTGTAATGTACCTGATTGATATGTAATGAACGGTAGTTTTAAGTGAAAGCTTAAGTTAATTTAGTTTGCAGCTTTCCAATCGAAATTCAAGCAGATTTATTGTAAAACGAGTAACATGGGAATTGTGCAACGTCAAATTTGCTTGTAAATAGCTGAAGTTCTAAATCACTCTGAACAAGAGCTAACGCCCGAAACAACTGTTGTAACACCACAATTTGTTCAGAACATACACCCATGAACCACTTGTAGCTAATGTTTTGTTGAGTATTCAGGTTTATTAAAGTTCCTAAAGCAGGCGTCTGAAATGAAAGTAGTGTAATGTTAGCCACGTTTGGAGAATGTTTGTTTTTCTTTAGATCTCATTTTCAGAATAAGCAGATAATAATGCAATAGTGAAAAAGTATTTTGTTTTTTACTTTATTATTCGGAAAAATCACACCTCTAAAAGTCAAGCGTGAATATCACACCTAGTCAAGCGTGGATGTAGTTCAATTCAAGTTGTTATTTGCGTGTGAATGAGTGTTCTTTTGTTTTTCCTAAGAACGTTTTTTCTCTTCATGTTTTCTTTAGTTTTCGAACATTGTTTCCGAATCCTACCCCTGCGATTTCCCTTGTCGTTTGCCCCCTAAATAAACTCCACGGATGTCTTTATGAGATGAGCTTTGTTCTCGCTCAACTAATTAATTTGTGCGAAGAAACTGTTTAAGTGAGCAAAGGGGTAAGTTTCTAAAGAAACTGTGGTGCTGCGTCGGTGGGAGAGTATAGCAGGTAATTTAGTGTTAACAACTGGGTTGAAAACGTAAATTAGCCACCGTAAAGAGTAAAAACGCTAAAGCTAGCTTTTTTACTATTTACGGTGGCTAATTTACGTTTTCAACCCAGTTGTTAACACTAAATTACCTGTTTAAGTGAGCGATTGTTAAGAAATAACTTTGGATCTCCTTACTGATCCTCAATCTGTTTCATTTTTCATTACAGCAACTCGAGAAACAGCTTTCCTTCACGCCATCAGCGCAGCCGCTATAACTCACGAACTAACTGTGCAGTGCAGACAGAACAGAATACCCGGATGTAGGTGCGGTAAGACAAGAGAACAACAGAAAGGAAACAGCGACTGGCAGTGGGGAGGATGCAGTGATGACATCAAGTTCGGAGAGAAGGAGACGAAACGGTTTATCGACAAACTGGAGAAAGGAAACGACGCTCGTTCAGCGTTCAACCTGCACAATAATCATGTAGGAAGAAAGGTTGGTTTGATTAACTGTCTTCAGTCTGTTCAAATATTGATCTACTCACGAATGAAATCGAGAAAAACATCTTATTTTTCTTTGTTGCTCAAACCAGGTTGTCCGCGCAAAGTTCAGAAAAGTATGTAGATGCCATGGCGTTACCGGAAGCTGTAATATGAAAACGTGTTGGAAAGAGCTTGCCCCTTTTAACGTAGTTGGACAAGAACTAAAAAGGAACTACCACTCAGCTGTTCGAGTGGCATTCGAGAATAGCAAGCTTCACAAGCGCCACAACGACCTAGGCAGACTGGTGACCAAGAAAGAGAAGAAACTGGTTTATCTGGACTCGTCCCCAAACTACTGTGTACGAAACACGACCGCGGGCTCCCCTGGAATGCGAGGAAGGACATGGGAGAGTGACATTGTATCCGTGGAAAAAAGCAGATCTTTGTGTAACTCTTGCAATCTGCGACATCGTACGGTAGAACATCACAAGCAGGTCAAATGTAAATGTAAGTTCGTGTGGTGCTGTACTGTTAAATGTGATTTATGCACCGTGAAATATTCACGGACAGCTTGTGTGTGAAAATATTGGCCCAGGCTCCTTCAAATTTACTGTATGTAGCTTTCCGTGTTATTTGAAATACACCACTATATTTTAAATTAAGCTTGTTAGAAAATTGAGTGTATCTGTTTTTTGTATCAATAAACACGATTGTGATGTTGATTGTTACTTAAGATTGTCGTATTTTTCTTTTCCATACGATCAGACTAATGGGAAGCGTAATTATAATTCTGTTCATCGTTACTTTGACGATCTTTTTTGTAAAATATGCTGATGATATTTTATATAAACAAGTTTATTGCTTTCTTTATTGCCTGCGGATGCAGCTAAGCTAACAATTCTAACACACACTTGTATATATGTTAAATTTTCCATTTTCTATTTCAGCTAAATACTAAAAAAAACCCGACAGCATTCTTGTGTTAGAATTATGAAACGTTGACTAATTGCTGATGATTGCTTCAAGTTGTTCGATCCATTTTTTTAATTTCATATTCTACAAGCTACAAGTAAGAGTATTGAAATATCATTTGGGTTGGAAACATTCCTTGTTGTAGAAGGTGCCATGTAGTTGGTTGTCATTGGTAACCATAAGGTTTGTGGAGGGGGAATGGGGGGGAGGGTAAGTGTAAGTGTAAAGCAAACAAATTTGTTTTCAGAGAGGCTCAAAAGATCTATTGTTAATTATGTATTGGCAAATTCTTGAAGCTAAAATTTGAGGAGGCGAATACTTAGAATTTAGTTTAAAAAAATTGACAGAAATCTAATTTTATCGTTTCAGTTTCCTCATTTTAAGCATTTGCTCATTTTCAGCATTTGAAGAGGCGAATATCATGAATTTAGTAAATGAAATTGATAGAAATAACTATCGTTTGTTTACTCATTTTTCAGCGAGATTCGAGTTTGAACTGAACAATATGCCTAAAAGTACAGCGAAGTTTATTAATTTATATTTATAAAGTTTTAAGTTCATGTGTCATATTTGATGGTTTATGGCTTATTCGTCCGCAATTTTCTACGAATTTTGCCTTTAAGTGTTGAAAGATTTAGATTGGTCTGTAGCTGAAGATTGTACGGGTTGTCAGAAATGTTTTTTGGATATGATTACTTTAGGAAATCTCGCTTATTGACTAACTCTTCATTTTTGTTCCGTTTCGCTGTTCTTGGCTGCAATTCAGCAGCTGTGATTGATGCATTTCGGAGATGTGTTCCCTCAGCGGTTCGCTGTTGCATTTCTTTCCTGTTATGTTTTTTTATCGTTAATTGTTTTAAGTTTCGCTTTTGATTGGTGGAGAGGGTGGCACGAGTTATCGTAGCCAATCACAGACCTACGTGTAGCATACCCAGTATAATCCCGGTCTGCAACTGAAAGCAATCCTTAGTTTTAGTCGACACTCGATTTTCCTTAACGGAACATTCTGTAGTGAGGCTCATAAAAGATTCCTCCTATATGAAGAGTTACTCTTGCTATGAAGTTAACAGTTTATGTAAGAGATATCGTAATCATTGAAGTAATAAAAAATCCAACCGTTGCTGTCAGTGTTGCTCTGGTGTTATGTTAGGGATAAAAATTATACTGAATTTGCTCGTTAAAACTCATACAGCCTGCAATTAGCTTATGCAAAAGCCAATGGTAGAACAATCCTATGAATTCAGCTGAATTTTGCGCAGAAATTTCTGCTAGGCATGCAACAATACAGGTGCGGTACGGTGCCTTTCAACTGGAAAGGCAGTTTCCCTAAGCGTTGCGTTGGTTGCGTTAGTCCCTAAGCGTTGACTCACACCTCTTTGTTTGCGAAAAAGTCTGGGGAAAGGTGAGCGAGGGTAAGCTTCACTTGTTGAGGTCATATTTCATGAAGAAACTAAGAAGACCTGTTCCTTTCGAATTAGCGGTTTGTTTGACATGGGCCTTACAGTAACGACCATTTAATCCTCGACGGCAGCTCACATGCTTTTCTCAACTCTCAGTTCCAACCAAACAATCGCTCACTTAAACAGGTAATTTAGTGTTAACAACTGGGTTGAAAACGTAAATTAGCCACCGTAAATAGTAAAAAAGCTAGCTTTAGTGTTTTTACTCTTTACGGTGGCTAATTTACGTTTTCAACCCAGTTGTTAACACTAAATTACCTGCTATACTCTCCCACCGACGCAGCACCACAGTTTCTTTAGAAACTTACCCCTTTGCTCACTTAAACAGTTTCTTCGCACAAATTAATTAGTTGAGCGAGAACAAAGCTCATCTCATAAAGACATCCGTGGAGTTTATTTAGGGGGCAAACGACAAGGGAAATCGCAGGGGTAGGATTCGGAAACAATGTTCGAAAACTAAAGAAAACATGAAGAGAAAAAACGTTCTTAGGAGAAACAAAAGAACACTCATTCACACGCAAATAACAACTTGAATTGAACTACATCCACGCTTGACTAGGTGTGATATTCACGCTTGGCTTTTAGAGGTGTGATTTTCCTAATAATAAAGTAAAAAACAAAAGACTTTTTCACTATTGCATTATTATCTGCTTATTCTGAAAATGAGATCTAAAGAAAAACAAACATTCTCCAAACGTGGCTAACATTACACTACTTTCATTTCAGACGCCTGCTTTAGGAACTTTAATAAACCCGAATACTCAACAAAACATTAGCTACAAGTGGTTCATGGGTGTATGTTCTAAACAAATTGTGGTGTTACAACAGTTGTTTCGGGCGTTAGCTCTTGTTCAGAGTGATTTAGAACTTCAGCTATTTACAAGCAAATTTGACGTTGCACAATTCCCATGTTACTCGTTTTACAATAAATCTGCTTGAATTTCGATTGGAAAGCTGCAAACTAAATTAACTTAAGCTTTCACTTAAAACTACCGTTCATTACATATCAATCAGGTACATTACAGATATTTGGCTACAATAAAAAGTTACAAACATTTCATTGAATAAACCTCTAACATAACGGTTAAGTAACGAATGTGAAAGCGATCTTAGAAGTGATGAACACTACTTACGCAGTAGTGAAAATTAGGCCTGAAAAAAATTCATGCTTGTACGGGATTTGAACCCATGACCTTTGCAATACCAGTGCATTGCTCTACCAACTGAGCTTACGAGCAAACTTGCAACTGGGAGCAGGTCATTATGTTGGTTCCAAGTAAACCCGTGAAGTGGTGAATAAACGACTGTGAATATTTGAAAGGCATATTTGAACTGCGGATAAAGACGTGAATATGAAAGCGATCCTCGCAGTTATGAACATTACTTAAGCAGTAGTGAAAATAAGGCCTGAGAGGTGGTCATTATGTTGTTCCCTGATAAACCCGTGAAGTGATGATTCAATAACTGTGAATATATAAAAATCATATCTGTGAACTGAGGTTTTAAGGAGTGAATTCGTAGTGATGAACACTACTTTCGCAGCACTGAAAATAAGACCTGAAAAAAATTTCGGGTCTGTACGGGATTTGAACGCATGACCTCTACTATACATGCAGTGCTCGTAAGAAGTGTTCGCTGTTGTGAAGATCGCTTCTATATTCATTTCTTAAACCGCAGTTTACATATATGATTTACACATATTCACAGTCATTGATAACGGTTAAGGCTAACACCTTAATATAACAAGCACATCACAAAAAGAGAGCTGGAGGTTTTTTTTTTGGTGTTTATAACACGATGCTTACGAAGAGGTATCGCACCTGTTTGCGTGTCTAGAGTTTCCTAGGCTTGTGTAAGGCACAAAAGTAAAGGTTTCATCTGTTAACCTCTCTGCAAGTGTCTAGTTGAAAGTGCATATAAAACTAACCGCCCATTTTTACCTAGAAATAAGCGCGCACGAGATAAATTATCGGGCACCGCTCATTTATCTTTAAAAAGACCATTACGCTCGGAACGGAATGGAAAAAAAAAACATTTGAAAAAACTCATAAACAAACTTTTCTTTGTCAAATTCAGATTAAGTTACACACCATTTGTTTTCCAAGTTATCATCCGAAAAAATCTCACCTCTGTAATAAAACTGGAAAAAAGTCACACATAGTCTCGCGAGGATAATTAATTAGCATGTCCATGAATAATCTTACTACGTGTCACTAGTATATAAAGGCTTCCATGAAAATAACTTTATTATGAGTAGAGCTCGCAACAAGAGAACATTTAGTGAACGTTCATGATGAAGCTCTGTCTTGTTATGTTAGTGGCCCTATTAACGTTTCCTCATTCTCATCAAGGATACAGCAAAGCTAAAAAGTAAGTTTCATTTTTCAAACATACGATAACATCCAAGCAAAGTACACCTATCTTTGCTTCGATTTCCACGCGCGTGCATGATTATAGCACGCAAAACTTACTGCGCTAATAGTTTGAATATAACTAGCGAGAAATTAAAAAAAAAAACAATCTGCTTATAAAAAGCGAAAATGCATCCTTATTCAACACAGATTGCACACTTTTTTATCAGTAACAGGTAGTGTGGATGAAGAGGTTACTCTCTCTACAACCTAGAAAACTTTATGTCCGATTGTTATCATTAAAAAAAAAAATTGTAACAGCTCATGATTCAAACCAAAGGGTTAACAGCGGTTTTGGTACTTTACAGGTCTGGCATTTACAACCTGCTATGGAATATTGTGAAAGAGGGAGGTCATCGTGGACTGGCGGAGTGTCAGCAGTTATTTAAGGCCGAGATTTGGAATTGTTCATTGCACGACCAGCATGTGTTTCAAAAGTTACCTATCTTTTTTAAAATAAGTTTGCCACATGGTAAGTAGAGTTACACCTTTTTTTCTCATTCTTTTACTGCAATGCGCATCATGTATTTCTGTCGCACATGTTCCTTGAGGTGAAGCCATCCGGTTTGAATGTTTCGCAACGATGTACCAAGGTAATGTTACAACAATAAATTTGTTAATATCAATTGTCAGCGATCTTTAACTTAAGCTTGGTCATTGAAAACCGATTTCTTACACGAAACACTTTTTTTTCTCATTGGAATCGCTGAGCTGAAGTTTGCTAGCAAGTAATAGCCGGAGTACCCTATGGATCACTTTTTGTGTATAATTCATGTATTCAATGAAAATTGCTAATGGGAATGTTTAAGAGCTCGATGGGTATAGCTGTTTCATTCTAGTTCAGTCAAATCATTACCAGAGCACACGCACGAGGATTAAAACATGACCCCATAAATACATCGTTGATTGCGCCTTTGTTACCGTTGTTGTCTAGTTAAGAAATAACTTTGGATCTCCTTACTGATCCTCAATCTGTTTCATTTTTTATTGCAGCAACTCGAGAAACAGCTTTCCTTCACGCCATCAGCGCAGCCGCTATAACTCACGAACTAACTATGCAGTGCAGACAGAACAGAATACCCGGATGTAGGTGCGGTAAGACAAGAGAACAACAAAAAGGAAAGAGCGACTGGCAGTGGGGAGGATGCAGTGATGACATCAAGTTCGGGGAGAAGGAGACGAAACGGTTTATCGACAAACTGGAGAAAGGAAACGACGCTCGTTCAGCGTTCAACCTGCACAATAATCATGTAGGAAGAAAGGTAGGTTTGATTAACTGTCTTCAGTCTGTTCAAATATTGATCTACTCATGAATGAAATTGAGAAAAATGTCTTATTTTTCTAATTTTTCTTTGTTGCTCAAACCAGGTTGTCCGCGCAAAGTTCAGAAAAGTATGTAGATGCCATGGCGTTACCGGAAGCTGTAACATGAAAACGTGTTGGAAAGAGCTTGCCCCTTTTAACGTGGTGGGACAGGAACTAAAAGGGATCTACCACTCAGCTGTTCGAGTGACATTCGAGAATAGCAAGCTTCACAAGCGCCACAACGACCGAGACAGACTAGTGACCAAGAAAGGGAAGAAACTGGTTTATCTGGACTCGTCCCCAAACTACTGTGTACGAAACACGACCGCGGGCTCCCCTGGAATGCGAGGAAGGACATGGGAGAGTGACTTTGTATCCGTGGAAAAAAGCAGATCTTTATGTAACTCTTGTAATCTGCGCAATCGTACGGTAGAACATCACAAGCAGGTCAAATGTAAATGTAAGTTCGTGTGGTGCTGTACTGTTAAATGTGATTTATGCACCGTGAAATATTCACGCACAGCTTGTGTGTGAAAATATTGGCCCAGGCTCCTTCAAATTTACTGTATGTAGCTTTCCGTGTTATTTGAAGTACACCACTATATTTTAAATTAAGCTGGTTAGAAAATTGAGTGTATTTGTTTTTTGTACCAATAAACACGATTGTTGTTGATTGTTGATTAAGTATGTCGTATTTTTCTTTTTGGTACGATCAGACTATGGGGGGCGTAATTTTAAATCTGTTCATCGTTACTTTGACGATCTTGTTTGTAAAATATGCTGATTTATTGCCTTCCATTTTCACTTTGTCAAAATAAGAAAAAACGCACCTCATCAAATATATTCATTCATGATAGGTCTTCCATTAATTAGTAAACGTTGTAGTGTATCAGTATGGACCTTTTACTTTCCTTTAGCAACAAATTGATACAAATTGTAATATTGAGCAGAAATTTCTGCACATATTATTTCATCGAAACACTTGCTTGAAAAGACTTGGGTTCGTAAATCAGTAGTTCTAGATTAATGAAGAGCAATTTGGGCGCAAAGAAAAAGATTATGGAGCTACTATAATATTAACTAACGAAAATGATTTCAGGAACCAGTTCCGCACCAGCTGCAAACAATAATTTTTTTCAAACTAGTTTTTAATCAATGTAATCGAAAAATTTCAGTTAAAACTATGCTATTCACGAGTTCAAAAGAAGTATAATTAGGGAATTCTAAACGGTGTTCTGTCCTGAAAGTATTGCATCTTAGTTTAAAGGAGGGGCAACTTTGCACTTGCCTCAGCCAAACAGAAAAAAAAAAACATTCCACAGCTCTGAACCTGACACAGACATCCAAATCAGCAGAGTGGCTGACTTGGATGTCTCTGAACATAATTTTGTTTGGTTGTATTAAGCATTAACGTCAGAATGGCTCTTATCAGGAGTTGAGTCCGCGAAATCAGCGGTCACTCGATTGGCGTACACCAACACATGGCTATCGGGCCAAGCTCAGCGAACTGTTCTGTTGCTGGTATTGAACTGCCTCGTATTTACTGACAATTTTTACATCTTTTGAGTGCCTTAAAGTATGGTTAAGCACTGCATAGCATTTTGATACAAAAATAGAAGTTCCAAACCGGAATACAAGAACTTGTCATGGCTTCACTCCCGCTGTTGAACAAGAAATTATTGAAAAAACGGCTCGTTAAACTACGCCGATAGAACACTTAATTAACCGAGCATTCTTATGTTTGTAGTCAGCATTTTAATGCTGACTGTTTCATAAAACCATTGAGAGGACAAAGAACTTACTTGAAGCTAGAATCTGTGCCTTCAAAGTTTGTTTTTACTGTTGAAAAACCAAAGAGCCTAGCTCACGGAAAAAAGTACGCTCTCCATAACATATCCTTCGCTCATTCTTTACAGCTGGCCGATAGCCTCTTTTTTGTGTAAGCTAATCGAGAGACCGCTGGATTGTTTTAGTGACGTACTCAACTTCGATAAGAGCCATTGATTTATTTACTTCCTTTGTCTTTCGCTTATCTATTGTTGGTCGAATAGGTCGAGGCCTAATTCCTGACTTGCTTGCAGGGAGGAAGCGGTAAAAGAAAAAACATAAGCAAATTTAACTCAGTGCAGATCAAAAATGTCAAACTTATCAGTTAATTCCTTTCCGCCCACTATAAATCGCGGCAACGTTGTTCTACAGCGGAAAGACTCGAGGAATATTGTCCTGGAGGCCTTTCGGCCAGCTTGTTTCGAATTAGTTCTTTACAGCGTTTCTATTTGATGCTGTAACCTTGTTATGAAGGCGTTTATTTTCATTCCAGTTCGAAGAAAGTCTGGATTTTATCGCCAGTGTGTGTTCTTAGTCGCCTGTTCTAAGCAGTTTGAAAACAAAAATGACAGGTCAAGGGTGAGCTCTGTTGATAACCATTTCACTAGCGATTGAGAGTTGCGACTTCCTCAAGATCGGCTATGAAGATCTTTACAATGTTTTTACTCGAGGAGCCCGTTGTTATGATCGACTCGATGCTTGGTTCGGCAGGTCGCTGGCGTACAAAACATCTTAGTTCTGATAATGGTCGTTTGGCTAAAGGTTACAGCTGTCTTGATGAAACTTGATTTCTTAAACAGAGGTGATTAGCACATCAATAACGATACTTATTGTCGATTTTACTCGAGTAGAATGTTCCACATATTGTTTGAGGTCATGGATCACGGTAAACTCCAACAGTCTCTTGCCGTTTTGAGGTGGGATTATTAAAACGCAGTCTTGAGACCTACTCCGGTAATTGTTCCTAGCCTGGTCGCGAACCTCAAGGGATTCGTTCGGAGCCTTGTATACGCAACCAATGAAAGAATTCGCTTTTTGTGTTCGCACTTGAAAGTGTATACCATTGAAATCATTCCGTTACAAATCCCTTCTTGTAGAAAAGTTTACGTCTTTCCAATGCGTCTAATGACTGTTTCTCCGGTCAATACACAGAGAAACCCGAAATTACTATTTCGAAAATCAATACCGCACTATTTAACGACGTCTCTATAATATCAACAGGCGAGGTGAAGATATTTGGGAAAATCAGGACATGCTCATCGATATGAGCTAAATACATTGGCTAGTTTTCTCCATCCACTTCTCAGTCACAACAGGCTTGCCAAGAAAGGTGGTGATGTTTCCATTTTCAAAAAAATAGACAGTTTATCAGTCACTTGAGAATCCAAAAGTTTACAGCAGACAAAGAAATCTAGCTTAAGTACTGTAAAAACGTTCCCGTGGATGAATCCAAGCACCTAGGTTAAATATGGTAAATGTAGAACAGCTTTCCAATAGGTTCACCACCGTTGTACTGGAGGGAATTCGTGAGTAAATATTCGAACTGTCATGCAATCTTTGAATGCGGCCCAACAGAAGAGTTTCTTGGTGAAGTTTATCTTAAATCCCATCATTCCGCACTCCATAATCAAGTGATAAAGCTGAGGTTTACCATTAAAAGTGAAATCAAGGCGGCGGCTACGATCATACATACGAATTGAAGCTTTGTGAGGATCCTGCTCATCACTTATAAAACCTCTTGTTTCGATGCTACTTATTCCCTGGTTAGCTGGAGATTCGTATGTTTGTAGCTTAACAATGAAACGACTACCGTCTTTTGGTGGAGACGGTGCGTAGTCTGGGCCAGAAGGTTCCATACCTGGATAGGTTCGATTAAGAGACATTGAGAACTTGTTGTAAGGGTGAGAAACTTGCAAGGAAATTTCTACGGAGTGTCTTTCAGTCGTGGCCTTGCAGATGTATTTGTGCCTTCCCCAGTGTTTCAGTTGACATTCCTTTCCGCAGTACTTTGCACTCATACACCTCTTGCAAAACTTTAATCCATCATCTTTTCGAAGGCAAAAAGCACAATATCTTCTCAATTTGTGTGACGTTAAATTTGTTGAGCCGTGATTGTTTCCGGAACACCGATTGCTTGGCTTAAACTCTGGGGCAACCAAGTCAGGAGCAACGGTTTTCAAGTCAAGTGGATGCTGCCCCGTAAACATGTTTTTTGCATTTTTCATCATAAGAAAGGTTTGCAGTCTCAACGGAAAAGAATATAATTCATAGGTGTTAAGTCCCTCATGAAAACCAGGACCACAGTTGTCGTGTATATGGTTGTTTTCTATCACACATGGGATTTTCCCTGGACTTTGCAATCCAGCCATTATGCCACCCATTTTGTTGTTACAGATCTCGTTTCCCTTGTACAGACCGCCCGAATTGCTGTGGATGCAAACTCCCCAATAAAAGTTCTCAAAAATCACGTTATTCTCCAAAGTGACGTCATTATGGTTTAAGAATACACGGACACCAAAGGTGCCATTATGAAATATCTTGTTTCCACGAATTTCCACTGGGAGGGAAACAATAGATTGAGGAGGAAGTCCTGCCACGAGGATTCCCTCGTATTTATTGTCGTAAATCTCGGAGTCGGTTATTATGGCTTCCTTTGCTAAGACACCCGCTTGTTCCTCATCGACCCAGATTCCTCTTGTATTTCCATTGATGTGGCATTTGTGAATTGCAACACGCCCCTTGTTGAACACTCTAACTCCTGATGCATAGCATCCCATCGCGCCATTTCCAGTCACATGACTTTCTACCATCGTGGCTGAAGCATTTGGACCTTGTACTACTATTCCACAGCCTCCGTTACCCTTGATTGTGCATCGAAGAAAACTTGCCGTTCCACTGACAAGGACTAAAGGTTCGGCTGAGCCATTCCTCGAAAAGAAACAGTTCTCGAACTTGACATTACCATTGCTTGCAACCAATGTATATTCTGTTGAGAAAGTAATATTTCGAAAAAAGCAGTCTTCTTCCAGGCTAATCTTCCCAGAGTAAATGGTGACCTTAGCTTCGTTGCCCAGAGCAGCTACCACTGTGTTACCGATGGACGCTAGAAAGGCAGTGTCAGCGTTATGGCGTTTTGTAGAGTCATCTAGCCAATATTCTCCGTTTGGAAGAAGAACCACTTTTGGTTGTGACTTGCTGTTGTTGCTGTACATTAAATCCTTGCGAAGGGTCTCCGACGATTCACAAATCTTCCACTTTCCATCCAGATCTCCGAAAGCAGATTTGAAAGCCTCGTAACGACGACAGCATTCACCATCATGGTGATACGCGATCGCGGCGAAGCACAAGGCAGAAAGTCTTTGCCCAAGACCATTTAGTGCCAAAGCTTTCCTAGAGTATCCCTTCCAGCAGTTGGGCATAGCTCTGATATACTCCTCTGAATCTTTAATACATTCTTCAAACTTTCCCAATTTAAGATAGGCAGTTGCTCTGTTGTTAAATAAGCATGGGTCACGGTTGGTTTCTCCTTGCATTGCTTCGATTCCTTCAGTGTAAGAATTGATGGCCTCTTCATAGAGCCCACTTTTGAAGAACGTGTTTCCTTGCATACGGGTTTGATCTGTGTCAGCACTTGTTTGGATTTCCAACGTAGGCGTTCTTTGATTCTCTACAGGAGGTCGTGACGAGTAAAAGATGATTTTTTGAAACAGTTGAGAAAGCGGAAGAGTATGGGGGAATAGCTTTCCCAGTTCTTCTTTAGAAAATACCTTGCTCACACCTACATCAAAATCCAAAATTTGAAATGCAAATCTTTCGGTTTCTTTGGCTTTCTCTTGATGACCGTGCACGCTAAGCTTCAGGGCGTTTTCATAAATGACCCGGGACGTCTCAATGTTCAAAACGGCTGTTTTTACTTCCTTCGCGATGTCGTCTTGATCGAGGAGGCATCTCAAATGCTCTTGCAGCTCGGAAGCATGAATGGTTAACTTTGACCATTCATAGAACAAGGAAGGATCAGTCACAGAAGCAGATGCTTGTTCTGTTACATTTCCAGTTAAATTTGAAATAATCTGGTCTGGTGACGGGAAACGGCGAAAGCATTTGTAAAGAAGTCGAACCGCTCTCAGTATTGAAGAAGCCGTTTCCTCAATGGTCATTCTGGTTCGAATAACTTCCTGAACCAGACGATGCAGGCCAAGTGATGTGGAGGATATTCTTTGGAATAGCGAAAACTTTGTGATGATTTCTAGGATGTGATGTCTTATCAAAGGACCACAGGAGCTTTCTGGCACCTTATCGTCAGAGGAAAGCACTTTGCCGTCGATCAACTCGTCTTGAATTTCATGAGGTCCCAGAAAGGCGCAAACGTTTACAAACCTTGATGCTGCTTCCCCATATGCTGACTTTTTGACGTATTCGAAGTTAATAAGCCACGTGGTATGTACTGCCAGCCGACTTTTAGATTCGTACTCCGACGATGGTTTTGCTGGATGCTGGCTCAGCAACTTTAATCGCTGGATTTTGTACTCTTCAAGGTACTCACTTATGGGACATTGAAGGGCTTTGATGTGAGCACCTGCTTGTTCTAAGGCAAGGGGAAGACCACCGAGCTCACGAACAAGTTCTTTCAAAATTTCCTCTTGTCCTGTGGGATCAGGGAGGCAGCTTCGAGAAACTAGAAAACCTACTGCTTCGTCTTCTGAAAATGAGAACAACTCCACACAATTGGAGGGATTTACATCAAAGGAATCATACACTTCTCTCGATTCTCGTCTCGTTGTGAGCAAGAGATGACCAATAGCTTGCCTTCTCCATCCTCCACAACAAAATTTTCGCATTTGGTCGGAGAGGTTAAGCTGGTCTACATCGTCAAGAACCATCAACCACGCCTTTTTGCTTTTCGAAAGGTAATTGAGCACTTTTGACAACGTGAGGTCAAATGAATCCGCGAGCACTCCCAAACGCAAAGCCAGGTCGTTCAGAGAGTTTTCAAACCTACGGTCATCTTCCATGGAGATCCAAAACACGCCTCCTTCGTATTCCGCTTTACGTTTCCATGCAAAGTGAGATGCTAACGTGGTCTTCCCGCATCCTCCAAGACCACAAATGGCTGCCATGTTTAACCCACCGCTTTTTTCGAATTGTAAGCACTTCTCCAGAATAGATAGTTCCTTTTCTCGTCCTGTAAACCATTTGCTTTGTTCTGGCGCGTCAAATACAATCTCCTTAGATTCCTCTGAAAAGGATAAACGTTCAAGTTTTTCCTTCAGTATAGCCAGATCTCTCTGCATGGCCGATCCATAAAACTTCTAGAGAGTTACAGCGGAGCTCCAATTGTTCTTGCCGCATCTTCCAGTTAGTCTCAGAGCTTTTCAAAAGATTCATTTGTTCCTCGTTCTTCTTTTCCATTTGTCTTGTAATCATATCTTGGTTTTTCTTCATATCTTCACAAACGCTTTGCAGGTTTGATTGTTTCTCTTCGAGGCTAAAAATAGTTCTTTCAAACTCGGACTTAATCAGGGCAAGAGTAGAACAGACGCTTTTCATGTTTTTATCCTGTTCTTTTTCGTTGTGATGTAACGAGTCGATAAGTTTTTGGACATCATTGTGGATAAAACGAAGAAGAGTGTCGTCAAGTGGTTTACCAAGGCATATGTCTAGTCCTGTACAAAGTTGACAAAAACCAAGTGGAAGGGATCAATGCCAGTATCTAAGAAACCGATCACCTATCCCTCCTCTAACCCAACATTAAACGAGGGTCTGAATAGGGTAAACCGTTGGGGGTAAAAATTGGAAAACTTTAACCTTTAGTTGTAGAAATAGTTTTGACTGAAAAGAGTGGTAAACACGTAAATGAGCACTCATTCGAATCACTGGGATAAAGTAAGCATCAATGCGGATTTGAATGAGGTCTAAGTGCAGCACTAGTTGTGGGCCTATTAAATATTTTTCTCGTTTCCATAAGGATTTACAGTTGCACCTATTCTCGAACCTAATAACTGGAACCTGTATAAAAAAAAACGATAAATTAAATTTTCTTGAATCGCAAGGATAATAAAAAGTGGCTTAGTTGTTTGCTGTAATCATACCTCCTTTTCTCCATAGCTGGAGCTCGTTCATGATACTCAGTTCATCAGCTGGAGGCAGGGTAAGGTTTTTGACCAGGGTCTCCATGAGATCGAAGCAATCATTGTATTGGACATCTGTCCAAATGGAGAAGTTACAATGAGCCCACTCATTGCGCACCTTTGAACGTACGTCTTTAGCAAATGGTCGCACCAAAGCGAATGGTGTTGCGCCACAAAGAACGGCAAGAGCTGCAGAAGCGTCAAAGGATGTATCAAATGCATTGAAATGCGCCATGAAAGGTTTCATAAACAATTTTGCCAGAGAAACCTCATCCTTTACACGGTAGTCATAGTGACGCGGCTTCTTATGCAGGGCGGCGTTATTGTTGATACTTTCGTAGTTCAACTTCAGCGTGCTCGGAGGAATGGTCTTTTGGTGAGTTGGATAGGTCTGTTTGTCTATTCCAACAGTTGCTACCAGACGCTGGTAAAGTGGCTTCATTTCGTTCTGAATCTTAACCCTGAGACATGGGGTGAGAACATTTTGAAGGGCAATGCCCACCACTATCCAGCGCCGTTGCTCTAAGGATGTGGCACCAGTTGAGGAAGCCATTGAGGCTGTACAAGTACCAGTTAGAGAGAAACTGATATGAATCCTATGACGAAGGTAACATAATTTCGCGTTGAAAGTATTAAAATCTTGGTAAGGGCTTTTCTTCCTACAATAATTTAATAAATAAACCCTTTCAGGTGGCTGGTATGTCGGCTGATTTTGCCTGCAACTGAGGGATTATCTGAAAAAGAAATATTTGACCGACAAGCGAAGCTTCGAGTGCAAATGTGAAATTCTGAGGACAATCTCTCAGCTAAGGTCATTATCAGCCGACATACTAGTAAGCCAGAACAGAGTTTATTTATTTTATAACCCTCCCATTATTTTCCTACCGCGCGTTGACGGCAAGTTATGTCGACTTTTTTAATTACTTTCCGGTGTAGCATTTCAGATCAGCTTTTAATGTCACTGTCGCTGGACTCTACATAATGGGTGTCTTTTTTCATCCTTGTAAAATGAAAAAGATGAAAAAGTTAAACTCTTGAGCTGGCTTTTTCCCGCTTGCTTCGTTTCTTTTCGACTGAAATAATCTTCGGTCAAATATCGACGTAGACGGGGGTTATTGTGTGAGAACTGTATGGTGATTTTGCACCACGTGCTGTGAGGTAGCCGATTGAATCGTGCGAAAATTAATGGGTGAGTTATCAAAATCAAAAAAACAAACCGTACAAATACAAATAATGCATCACGAGAAGCTAAAGAACGGCAGGAATCACACGAATAAATGTAATATATTCATACAACATTGTAAACTGAGCCGCCTTGCATAGCCCTTAGGGGTATTAGCGGCTTAGCCCGTACATTAAACCTGATCTTACTACTCAAATAAGATTTGAAGTTGAAAATGAATTTCAATGTTTCAAAATAAGTTCCACTGGGGAATCGTTTAAATTTATTAGGCTAATCAAAATCAATGTCTCGTGTATATTTGATGTAGGAGATTATTTGTTGGTTTAACATATAGTTCCTATAAAGTTCTTCGACGCCTTTCATAACTCAGAAGAGGCCAACGAGCTTAAGAGATGTATGTCATGAGAATCACACAGATCTCTTTTATTCCAGAAATCTGACCCTTTGACTCCGTTTTTCTTTCGATTCCTCTAAGAATCTATTTACCAGTTAAATGACAAGTAGCCTGCGTGTAATACTAAAATGAAAACAATCAAAGCCAATTTAATACTTCGAAAGCGATCATAAATCCTTAAATAATAATTTTTTTCTAGTCTTTTGTAGACATTACGGAGTCATTTATTTGCACTATGTACTCGGTCAAATGTAAACATTACTTAGTCAGTTTTTGTCTGATTTATTTCAGGAAATCAAAGCGCTCTCAAACGGTCAGCTTTTCAAAGCAAAAAGGAAAAGATATATATTAACTGATAAAAGAATCAATTTTATAAACGGCGCGCTAAAATAACTTTCGCCCTTTTACTGTCCTGTTCGATCATTTTTTCTGCTTCGAGGCAGCATGGTAATCACGAGATCGCTTTTCGTTAGCCGGCATGATTTTAGCTTGTTAGGCGTTGGTCGCTCGCAACGATCTCAGCGATCTCGACCCGTGATTATGATTGACACAACTGAAGTTTTACTTATCCAACGGTTGCATGTTAAAAGAAGTCAAGTCTACACCGCAGTAGATGGAATTAATGCATTAAAATGTTCCTCTATTTGGCGTGCATCACCGAATGATTAAAGTTCGAAGACGACCGGCGATTCTCATGGTAGTCACGAGATCGCTTTTCGTTAGCCGGCATGATTTAAGCTTGCTAGTCGTTGGTCGCTCGCAACGATCTCAGCGATCTCGACCCGTGATTATGATTGACACAACTGAAGTCTTACTTATCCAACGGTTGCATGTTAAAAGAAGTCAAGTCTACATCGCAGTAGATGGAATTAATGCATTAAAATGTTCCTCTATTTGGCGTGCATCACCGAATGATCAAAGTTCGAAGACGACCGGCGATTCTCATCTGCGTACAGCCAATTTGGGGTGAAACCAAAACCATGAATCACAAATCATAGCAGTTAGATTAGATGGAATCATGAATTACGGATATGGTTGAAAATAAATAGCGAACATCGAAAAATTTTATAAATCATAAATCATTGGGCTAAAAAAGGCGGGAATCACAAATTTCAAAGGAAAGATTCTGCCTCAAACCCCGAAGTTAAGACTCAAGACCAGGTCTAAGAGCTTTTTTAACAGGGGCCTCATCGCACACAAAAACATAAACTCACCAGGAAGGGTGCCTTGTTTCCTTTTCCTGACCAGCAGCGAAAAATCCGATTTAAGCAATTTCTTCCCGGAGAGAGAGAGAGAGTCGAAGATTTAGAAACGGGCCTACCATCGAGTTGGCCACTGTGCGGCTATTTCTACCAATTGTTCACCTAGAGGTTTTGTACACCGACGGAAGATGTGGATCCTCTGAGAACCTAGTTGAATTTTCTAGGTAAGCTTCAAAGGTCTTCAAAGTCGTCGAATCTAAGGTACAACTTCTTCAGTTTTATACGGAAGTTCTCTCCATCTTTAGAAGAAGAGACACGTCATCGCAAATTCGCAATGCGATTCGCTGCTTGGATATTTCGTCATCGATCGGTATGAGAACTTTGAGGGAGGGAGACATGGTGGCAGTGGGAACAATAAATTACGCAGGGAAGATTTAGGAGGATTTTGGGATTTGCAGTGTTACGGTGTTGCTCAGGTTCTTGCAAGTTATTTTGTTGGCGATTTTGCAATGGCGTTACCGGAAGCTGTTACATGAAAACGTGCTGAAAAGAACTGGCCCCTTTTAATATGGTTGGACAGGAACTGCCCGATCGTGAATGGCAAGCTTCACAAGAGCAACAACGACCGAGACAGACTGGTGACCAAGAAAGGGAAGAAGCTGGTACAGTTGCCCCAGACATCACTACAATAATTGAAATATGGCTGAACTAGGCTATTATATACATTAATTGATATATTAAGGATATAAGATGTCGTATTCGCTTGATTGCGCCCAATGCAGAAGCAATCTTTTTGCAAATGTTCTGTATATGACATTCCCAGTTCATGTTTTGATCGATGTGCACACCAAGAGATTTCGTAGATGACATCTGCTTCACTGGATGGTCATTTCTACTGAAAGAAGGAATTTCAGGAAATGTTGATAACTTCTGTCTCGACGCGACTAACAAATAAAGTGAACAATATGAATAATACTAACATTATAAAGTGAGCTGTAACCCCTCGTTCTTAAAGGAAAACATTAAGACAACGAGTGTAATTGTTGTGACTGTTTTTTTCTTAAGGAAGATGAATCTTGTTCAGATTAAGGAAGCTACCTATTTATTACCTATATTTATAACCGTGGAAAACACCGTGGTTAGGTTGCTAGAACTAAACACACCTCTTATTTTCAGCTTTCTTGTGTAGCATGTCTCCGTGGCGCAATCGGTTAGCGCGTTCGGCTGTTAACCGAAAGGTTGGTGGTTCAAGCCCACCCGGGGACGAGTCTTTTTCTAACACCAGCCCCACACCAGCAGGTCTTATTACGAGTAGATTGTATTTTGCAATCGTTTTCTTTTTTTCCCCTTAGGTCATGAGTAAGGTTTCGATATTCGAAGATGGGTAATTAATTAGCTCTTTACCAGGTTTTTTTATTTAGTTGAATGCGAACGGTGTGTGTGAATTATTATGCCAATGCCTAAATTTCTCTACAAGGTGCACTTAAATCGATGATCGAGACTCTTTTTTCTGTAATAGTGTAGTTTCGCAATTTTAAAATATCTCGCTCCAGGTCATAACCATAATCCATTACGGCCTTTAGAGACATTAGAGCCTCGCTTCGGTGTTTCATGTTATGATTGCGCGGGCCGTTCAAAGTGATTCGTTGAATGGCGGAAAACGACTTTATTTCTGAAGGAAGCCGTAAACAACGGGCTTTAAAGTATCTCTATGAATATGAAACCACGAAATGAAACTAAAATTATCCGAAAGTGGTACCAGAGCTTTCTTTCTGTGGTACTTTTGTTTGATTCTTGGAGGAAGTAAAGAGATTCAACGCGATCGAAAATGAGTTCTCGTTTCATGGGAGAATCGATTGAGGTAAGAATGGCTTATCGGTTTCAAATTTCAGAAATTTACTACGTGGCTCTCACTAGTAATACAAATTGCAAATCAGAGATAGCATGATATCATGTTAAGCCATTTGCGACAGTATCAATGAGGTAGATTTTGCGTTCCATAACTTGAAAGCATCATCTTGAAGTTTCGCGTCACCTTGACCTCAGAAGCCAGGGAACAAATTTCGAAAATGCTAGTAAAGAGCTTAACTTGCTGATCATTTGTTTTCATGGGCGAGTAATAGCAAAAAATAGGTTTAGCGGGCTTTCTTTCCTTTCTATTACACTTTGATGGTAAGACTTTAAAGATCAAGTGACTAGTATGATTTTGTTTTGAAAAGTTTTTCTCTGCATTCATCTTTGATTTCGTTGCGAATTATCATGGTCCATGTTCTGACGGAATGCAAAATCTAGCAAACGCGATGTACTTTGAGATGTAATCCCCTCAATAATTTGATGATGGCATCAATCTGGTTCACTTTTAAGTGCAGCTTATTTATTGCACGTTGAATTAAAACAAAATTAAGAAAGGACGATTTGAAGATCTTTGGAGATCGACAAGTTTTATTTCAAATGTACATTTTGTAAGGTAATCAGTTGATAGGCTTGCTTACTCCCAATACTTATGCAAAAGTCTTTTAAAACAACGTCATATTTCTTTACATCACATAATCCTGAAACATGAGGAGTAAAATATTTTTCTGTGAGTGATTAATTTTTGATATACTCTAAAGTCTGTGTATTAGCTTGGTGTGTGGTACATTAGATTGGTACAACTTTTAAATCACAGGTAGATATATTCACAGAAATCAACTGGTGAAACTATTAATAGAATGCAGTGCAGGACCACGAATTTATACCCCACGAAATCACTATGGTCTTTCCCAGTCCTTGTTCTTTAAAGACTAATGGCAGGGTTGATCACAGTGGCTGTGTGTGTTTTCTTCACAATTGGAAATAGTTTTGCAAACCATTTACTTCCTTGTGTTAGGCTTTATAGTATGTAGACCACATTGTGTTTGCATGCAACGGAGATTGAGTGGAGCCTAACAAGTCAATGTTTTCAAGTAAATTTCCTGTTACAGAATGAATCACATAATTAACAAAGTTTTCTTTTTTGGGTTTCATCTACCTGAATTGTTCGTAGCTGTACAAAAATTAGATTTCCAAATTAAACAACAAGGAAAAGAGGCAAGATTTATGTTTTAAATATTTTTTTCTGTAAAGTTATTTGTAAATGTTGACTTTGTTTAGCAGACATGCTTTTTAAAACTTTTTTTCAAACATCTCAAACATGGACTTGTTACCCATTGATTTTGTTGTTTTTTATTTTTTATAGGACTTCAAAGTCCAGGAGCTACTGGGCAAAGGTGGATTTGCCTGTGTTTATCGTGCACTCTGCTTGGCCACTGGACAGGAGGTTGCCATCAAGATGGTATGGTATTAGAATGAACTTTGCTTCAGACAAAATTATATTAGGAATTTGGTTTTAAGTTCTTCTAATTAGCTGTCACTTAAATATTGGCCAGCTAATTACATTTCCTCTGCCTGGTGTGGGTCGTTTATGGTCTGATTTTTGACATTTTGGCTGCAGATTGCTAGCCATCAACTGAAAGCTTTTTGTTAATGCATTAGGCTAGTGAGAAATATAGTAGCCTAATGATTAGTACGCTGGACTCCAAGTTGTCAAGAGGTCTGGGGTCTAGACCTTGCCAGACCGCCGCCTGGTTAGCTCAACCGCCGCCTGGTTAGCTCAGTTGGTAGGGCGCCAGTCTGCTGTGCGGGAGGTCGAGGGTTCGAGCCCCAGACCAGACCAACACTCAGGGTCTTAAAATAACTGAGGAGAATGTGCTGCCTTTGTAATTATATCTTCAAATGGTTAGACATTCAAGTCTTCTCGGATAAGGACTTTAAACCGTGGGCCCCGTCTCCTGCATCTTCATTGTTACATGGTTAGCAGGGGACGTTAAAGAACCCACGCACTTGTCGAAAAGAGTAGGGAACATAGTTCCCGGTGTTGTGGTCTATCTCTCCATGTAAGGGTCAGGTAGGTGAGATCAAAATGGACTGATAGCGGCAGCCTGAGGCGCCTTATATAAGCTAATGTCTGATCTCACCCAATAGGGAAAAAAATTGTAAAATTGGTCTTGAAAAGCCCCAAGGGGAGTGTTCAATTACGTTAAAAAAAATACACAAAAAAAAATCATTGTGTTGTGTTTGACCAAAACACTTAACTCTGCACCCCTGTAAATGGGTACCAGCCCTCTGTCAGGGAAGCCTGATGAAATCCTAGGGGAAGCAATTAATAATATGTTTTGTTGCTTCATGCAGAGGAATTATCAGGATAAACTCTGACTAGATGGATCACTTAGTCCAAGAACTGACTTTTGTAGGCCAACTTCACCCATCAGCCAACAGTTGTGTCTGACTTGGTTACTGATAATGAGCTCATTATTTCTGTTTAACAGAGAAACTGCTCCATTTTATTCTTGTGTGGAAAATTTTTTCAAATCAAGTGATACCACTTCAGCAAATTTCAATATTATTTATATTGTTGTAAAGAAATTTACATAATACCTACAAAGGGACATTTTAATTGAATTTCCTTAGAATTAATGGAATGTTTTGATGGTAGACTAGCTATTTTTGTTGTGTTAACAGGATGGACCTCTGACAAAGTCTTTATTTTTAATATGTTAATGTGGGTTTTATTGTAGATTGACAAGAAACTCATGAAAACATCAGGCATGGTTGCACGAGTTATAAATGAAGTAGAAATTCATTGGCAACTCAAACATCCTTCCATAGTTGAGGTACAAACTGGTTTTTTTTTATCTATCTTATTGTACTCTTCCTCTCAGAGATTTATAATGTAAATTAACAGGTAGATCAAACTTGTTTATTGCTCTTTGATGATCAACATTTTGATGAGATGTAAAAAATGTAGATGGATCTTAAAGGATTTTCAAATTTTTACAGTTATTCATAATTATTTTTAAACCTTACAAAGATCTTTGCTAAATTCATTGTATGATTTTTTATAATCTTAATAAAAACTAAGGATACAGTTGTATTACATTTTGAATCCCCTCAAATGTTGATAGGAGGGTATTTTTTTTTTCAATTAAAGAATTCTTCAGTTCATGGCAATTCCCATTTTTGGGAATTGAAAGGCAATATTCTTTTTCAATTATTTCAAAATTAATTATTGTGATCTAAAGAATTATAAATAAATGTGATTGTTGACAGCTATACAACTACTTTGAAGATGCAAATTATGTCTACTTAATCATGGAAATGTGCCACAATGGAGAAATCAACCGCTATCTCAAGAAAACAGGGAGACCAGTGGATCAAAATGAAGGTAAAGTTTATTCTTTTGATTAACACAGTACTGCAAGAAAAATATATTTAAAAAAAAGCAAGCTACCTATTTATGCAGAATTAAAAGATTAAAGAAAGGAGAGAAAGGGTGTGAACAGGGTAACCCTTTAACCCCTAAGAGTGATTAGTTTCTATTTTCTCCTTTCAATATCACCCCTGAATCACACATTTAGGTCATGGGAAGAAAGGAAGCAATCATCAACTGTAAAGAAGGTCTTGACTGTTAATCTCCTTGTTATCGCCTTAGGAAATGTTAAGAGAACAATTATGGAGAATATTGTCAACAGCGAGAATTTTCAATAGAATTTATTAAGTAATCATTTGAGGTCTATAAGTGAGAAAAAATTGCAGGGGTTGTAAAAAAAAACTTGATGTAGAAATTGCTTTGTAACACAAATTATGTGAATAACATGAGAGAAACTTGATAATGGATAAAATTAAGCTAATATTTGACTTGATTTGTTCAAAGCTCGTCACATAATGACTCAAGTGGTCAAAGGAGTTTTGTATCTTCACTCGCATGGTATTATTCACCGGGATCTTTCGCTAGGAAATATTCTTCTGACCAGGGAAATGGATGCAGTGAGTATTTGTTAATAGATCTTATTATATGGTGTGAGTTAGCTGATGATATCAGAAATAACAGCAGAAATGTTATATCTCTATAGTGAAGTCAATTATAAAGCATAAGAGAAATATTTAAATATGAACAGTTTAATCAAGGTTACCTGCTCTTCTGGTAGCAGAGTAGCTAACTTGCATCTTTTTGAGGACTTAGAACTTTGACCAGATCTGATATAGATTTTACAAAAACTTAGCATTGATAAGCGTCAAACGTCAGCATTGATCTAATTGTCTTCTTTACCTGTCTCAGAAAATTGGTGACTTTGGCCTTGCAGCAAGACTAACAATGCCCAATGAAAAACACTACACTATGTGTGGAACACCAAACTACATTTCACCGTAAGAATCACTGTATAATTTGTTATTCATTGTGTATATTGTCCTTAATCGCATGACTGACCACGACAGAAATTATCCCATCAATAACAATACAATATCAAGTAGACTAGTAATTAGATTAAAGAAAAATATCTATAAGGAGATTTAATCATATGTAGTTGATCCAATACCAGTGAGCTAACATCATAAGATTTGTATGGCAGGGAGTAAGGAGAATCACTAAATAAATGAAATCTTAGGAGTGAATATGTCATTTTCTTTTTTTTGGCCCCTGAACTGTTTTCCTCACTTTGCAATACTGATGTGGTTATTAAAAGCTAAATGTGATAATGTTATTTTGCAAATTAAAATAGACATTGCCATGTTTTAAATACCTTATTTTGTTTTTTTTGATAGTGAAATAGCAACCAGAGGCCCTCATGGTCTTGAGTCTGATGTCTGGTCACTGGGTTGTATGCTTTATACTCTGATTGTTGGAAGTCCTCCATTTGATGTGAGTTGGTTTGATGCACTCTGCAGCTGTGATATTCTGTTCTGCACCTTACAGTGTGTTCTATGATTTATGTACAAGGACTCAATTGTGTATCACAAGACATGTTCTCCTGCTTTAACTCCCAATGTATTCTGAGAACTGTGTATTTTTATTGTTAATTGTGGTTTGTTTATAATGTTTCAGACTGAGGCTGTAAAAAGCACTCTGAACAGAGTAGTCCTGGCTGACTATGACTTGCCATGGTAAGTTTGTTTTTCATGCCACAGTCTGTAACTAATTTTCAGCCTTTATCTTCATGTGAAGGGTGGTAATGCTGCATTAGCCTTACCAGAAGACACATGTGTCATAATTATTAACTATGACAGCTGAGGTTTTTAAGAAAAACTGAAGTAGGTTTCTCACCAACCTTATTAATAAAAGTAGTCAGTGGTGGTAAACAGAGATTATACACAGAAGAGAGCTAGAGGAACATGAAACAAGCAGCTATAAATCCCAAAGTAGACAGCTATTAACCCTTTCACACCCAAGATCTCAATTTTTGTAGTAATTCTCAGTTCTGTTCGCCATACAATTCTTATGATGTTAGTTTGGAGAATTTGGCATTGGATCAACTACTAATTTTCCTCCCTAGTTAATATTTTTTAGGACAGTGGTCCATGATAAATAGTCCACCTTCATGATAGTGATTGCGGATAGGTGATTGTTAGGCTCTCTTTTAAATTAGTAATAATTAAAAATGTTTTAATTTAGTGGTGCTCTCACAGATCTTTCTCTCACCTTTATTTTTAGTGATCTCTCATCAGAGGCCAAAGATCTAATCACTCAGTTACTCAAGAAGGTAAACTTTTAATAAAAATGTATCTTGCAAGGATTCAAGCTTAAATAATTATGCATAAAAAGTTGTTTGATGGTACTGATCTTACTAATCAACAAAGTACTGCTTTGTAAATATTGTTTTAAATTTAAAATTTGTTTTTACCTCTTAAAATCTCTTCTTCTTTGTATTTTAGAACCCAGGAGACAGGATCACACTATCAGGTAACAGACAGAAAATTATTTCAGCTTAATGTACACAGATGAAAAGGGATCTTACTAGTTTTTCAACTAAGAGAAAAAAAAGTAGTAAATAATATGTACATTTTAAGATTAATCCATCCATCAGATTTAAAATTGATGCTTCAAAATTTTCCAGTTAAGTCACATTATACTAGCTTCAGGGTAATAATCTGATGCTTCATGAAGACTGTTTCCTTTATTTCTGCAGGGATTTTAGATCATCCATTTATGACACAAGAAAGCTTGCTGAAATTTTCTTCCAAGAATCAGCTATGTCCCCCAAAGGTTTGAAGTTTATTCTATAACAAATTGATGACTTTAACTTTCCAATATTTACCATTAGGTTCATAAGAACCAAATTGATGACATCACTAGAACTGTCAGAACTGGGACATTGATGTTCAAATAGAAGAAAGTTCAAAATCCATTGAATTATTAATCTAGGGAGACTTAATCAGTGTTCCATACATGTTATTGAATCGCATTCATTTGGAAAATGCATGTATGTTCAGCAAATTGTCTACAAAAGTTTTCCCAGCCTGCTATATGATAGCAAAGGTTTTCATCACACAAAATAAAAATTTTCCTCAAAACTGAATTCAATGATGAAAATTGAATCTTTGAAAATTTAATTTTGTCATGAAATTCAACTGATACAGTAAGTCGCACTTATGAACATATCAGTTTCAACATTTCAAAATCATTTTCATCTATTCCTCTCTATGACATACACTGTAGCATGTTGCAGAACAGTCAATGGACAGTGGAACAGGGACAATGGCTACAGTATCCACAGGATTAGGTAGATCCTCAAAATCCATTCGCAACAACAGTGAGCTTACAAAAGCCATAGGGATAAAGGGAAATCCTTGTACTAACACGTTAGCTGAGGGGTCAGAGGACCATCTGTCTGACATGTGGCCTCGACATGCCAGACACCCACCATCTCCACCTGTTAGACAGAGAGCAAGGTAGAGTATATTATGATGCATAGTATCAGAATTTTTTTTTAGTGAAATGCGTGTGATGACGAATTAGCCTTTTTGTGACTCACTTTTTAGTAGCCTTTCTTCCAACTAAAACCAATCTTTTCACCCAGAGAAATGCTCATTTAGTAGGAGATTTTGGATCAATTTTGGATCTGACATTTCACTATCGAGGATCCCAAGTTTCAAGCAAACCACAGCTTAGTTTGATATGTTTGGCAATTTCCCCCCCCTCTCCCTTCATATTACATCCTATGGGGGAGGGATGCTGTTCACAAACCCCCTGACCCTTTCCCTTTACCTGTACATTGGTAGCCTGTGCCAGGTCTTCTGTTATAGAGATGATCCAAAAAAGCAAGCCAACCAAAACACAGTGAGGCATGTGCTCCTTCAATGATTTTGGTTGCCTTCCCTTTTTGATCATATACACTCACCCAGTGTCTGGTAAAGGCTGATACAATGCCTCAAAAGTACTCAACTTATTCCAATTCTATTAGAAGTTATTGCATAATAGTAAAGTATTCATAGTAATTGTAACATATTTTAGTCATAGTGAAAGTACTGGTGAATTGAAGACAAGTTCTACAAGAGACCAAATACGTGGAACAGAAGTGGCTCCTGCCTCATCCATCAGCCAAAAACAGAGTGCCACCTCTCCTTCTTGGCTGTCTAATATCACTGCTTCCACATTCGGAAGAAAAACATCAAAGGAGGAGTTGAATACTAGCAATGGTGAAAATAGACTTAAAGGAAAATTCAGGTTTGTGCTTAAACACACTGGTTGAAGCATTTCTTTTTTTCAAAAGCTCTCGATGAGCACTGCCCCTTCCCTGCCCACCATATTTTTCCCCCTTGCACTGGTCTAATCATTGTTTGCTTGATACACAAAATGGGGGCTAATGGCTGGATTGCAGGGATTTGCCTGCCATTGTGTAGCATTTAAATTGAAATGCCGATGGATACATCAGGCACCTTCCATTTTTAAGTGAGACAACAGTTAGTGATTGAATGATAGTTTCAAAGCCCACGCATCAAATTAAATCTTCCTGTAGGAACTACAATGCCAGCAAATATAGCAGTTCATATGGACAGACCCTTGGCGACTTCCTCAAAAATGCAGCTCATGGGACAAACACAAGCAGCAGTGGGTTCAGCAGCAGTGGAAAAGACATGTGTCATCACGAAAAGGCTCATCAGTCTAAAACCTCTGATGTTAACAGCCATAGTTTATCAAAAAGGTCCTCTTCCAATGTCAGTTCTTCAACCCACTTGGACACTGCTCAACAGGACAAATTATTTCAACATCGCCGAAAAGGAAGTGACAGTGTCACAAAAGATTCCGGGTTAGACTTTTCCCAAGATTGCTCGAGCGGTAGGTCTGCAACCCAAACATCTGCTGAACAACGGAAGAGAAACCACAGATCTAAATCTGACATTTCACGAGCTAAGTCCTTGGGAGACATTGTAGAACCTTTAAATTCAGAAAGGCTTAGGCCAATAAGACAGAAGAAAGGAAATGCAGTTGTCAGCATCACCGACAATGGTGAAGTGTGTCTGGAGTTCTTCCATCATAAGCACGGGGAAGACAAAGTGTTTGAGGTGCTTCGAATATCCCAAAATGGGATGAAGATATGCGTGTATCAACCCAATGGCAAGACAGGTGTGCCACTGTCCTTACAACCTCCATCTCCTCCTGTTGGCTGTGAATCATTGAGTTCATACTTGTTCTCCAATTTATCCTCAAAATATTGGAAAAAGTACCAGTATGCCACTAACTTTGTCCATCTTGTGCGCAAAAAGACACCAAAGGTTTGTGGAAAGCATAAAATTATTAAATTTCTTCATATATATTTATATATTTTTTTGAAGTATACAATGAATACCGAGTGTGGCAATAATAAGTCAATTTTGTTGGATTGAAGTCATGTTTAGTGTTCTGTGCTGCTGGTGAAGAGGTCAGAGTAAACAAACACCATATGATTATATTGTAAACCTTATAGTACTTCAATTCTACCAGAAGTTCTCAACTGATTTATACTAGCAAAGTGTGAGAGAAACCTGAAAAATTGTCAGGGGGTGGGTAATCATTTATTTAATTCTCATGATGGTAATTTTTACTCAGCAGTGATACTGTAAGACTAGTCACTCTTGGGGGTAAGAGGGTTAACCCTTTAACTTCTATGAGTGACCAAGACAGAATTTCTCCTCACAATATCCATACAATATTAAGCAGAGAAATGATAAGAATAAAGAGAAATATCAATTATTAATTGATCTAATAACAAATTCTCAGAACTAAAATCAAAAGAATTGTATGGCAGAGACTAAGGAGAATTACCTATGAGATCTTGGGAGTGGAAGGATCAAGGACTTAGGGAGACTGAGTTAACAGGCTTTTAGGACCTTACCTTGTGGTTTAAGAATTCTTGGGTATCATCAAATAGGTTTTGCAACACAGAAGGGTGGGAGGGGAGGGACAGGAAAAGTTCAATTCATTTTCCTCCTGCACAATGTCTAATATAATTGCCCAGTGACACTTAAGAAAATTCAATGATCTTTTAGGTTACCATGTATTCTAAACATGCAAAGTGCATGTTGATGGAAAATTCTCCTCATCCAGACTTTGAAGTGTGCTTTTATAATGGTAAGTGAAGCAGAATGAAGTTGTTAGAGAATAAACTGCTTATGAGATTCTTAGGTCAATTGTTCCAGAAGTAAGATGGGACCTGTGATGAAGCAAAAATGCTAGGCAGACCTTCAAAAACCCCTAATCTCACCATTCATCTTTGCAGTGAACTTCATTCAGGTTTCAGCCAGAGTAAGAGCTCTGAAATCAATATATAAAGTTTCATGATCATAGAAAAATTAATAACAATAATGGTGTAAAGTGTCTTACTCGTGGCTGGGTTTCCCAGGCCCATGTGTATTACTAAAGGATTGTGGAAATACTTTAAATGTTTTGAACAATCAACCTACTACGTGTAGGTGAACTCTGAACATTGTTTATCTCTCCCAAAATTGAGACTTTGCACCAAGATTGGGTTATTTTATGTATCATTTAGATTACCATATGTAATGATAGTTTTACACACTTAGGATAAATTAAAATTGTGGCAAGGGATTAAGGTTTATGGCAAGTTTTATTTCTATTTTAAAACAGAGTTCTCTTTTCAGTCTCACCTATATTCCCTTCAGTTGATGAAATTTTAGACAAGACTATTTGGTGCTAAATGTATCAGTACTGTTACACAGGGGCCAAAATCCACCAATCTCATCAATGCACACGCATCATAGAGCCTGGAGGAGTGTCATACACTTTAGAGTCTGTTGGTGGAGTGGAAGGTGCTACGCAGGAGATGAAACCACTGTTAGAACACGCTCAGAAATGTTATCAGCAATGTGTTCATTTAGAGAGATTGATCAGCAAGGAAGAGTTAGACAGCAATGGGGGACAGTACTTTCCATTTATTGTGTGCCGTAGGCCACCAGCATCCAGGAAGCCACCGAAGGAGAGTAATGTTCATTCTGAAGATCATAATTCTACCAGGTAAGAACAATACATTTGATCTGATATTTTTAATTTGTATTTTGTTGTTGTTTGGGTAATCGTATTTGTGGTTTAGCAAAAGTAAATCACTATCAAACTGTTGAAGTTATGAATTACATTTGAAAATGAGTACCTAGTGAAGATAAATACATTTACTCTTGAGATGAATTGAGAAACTGCTAAATGTAATGCTGAACACAAAATTAGAAACAGAAGGAAAATGATGCAATTATGTTCACAATGATGTTCAAATTAGTGAAAGATGTTTCATTAAACCAAATTGCACAAAATTTATCCAACAAGTCTTTATTCATTCTTTGTTCTTTCTTAGGCGTCCAGACTCCATTGAAAATCTTACTGTGACATCTCCTAGCACCATAGCACCAGTGTCGACATCTCTGATGTCATTTGATGGCACCATTGCCAGCACCATCCACAATTCAAGACAGTCTTCAGCAGGGCAAAATACAAGAGTTGACAACAGGACAGCACCTCATGGTAGTGAATTGCAGAGGATCTCCAGATCTCAGTGTGGACAAGAAGCAAGAAACCAAAAGAGTGACCTAACAGATAGGGGTGTGTCAAGGCAGGACTCAACATCACAAGTCATCAAAAGTGTGTTTGTTCAAGGAGTTGGCTGGGCATCACAGGTAAGCTATATTCTACTTGGTAATTTAATGTTAACAACTGAGTTGAAAACAGCCAATTAGCACTAACCCAATGCTGACGTTTCGAGCATTAGCCCTTCGTCAGAGCGATCGCTCTGACAAAGGGCTAATGCTCGAAACGTCAGCTTTTTTACCCTTTACGGTGGCTAATTTACGTTTTCAACTCAGTTGTTAACACTAAATTACCTCTATACTCTCCCACTGATGCAGCACCACAGTTTCTTTAGAAACTTACCCCTATATTCTACTTGACTGTACATATATACATATTTTGAAGAAAAATTTAAGAAATAATTACTTAAATTTTTTGTGATTTATGAAACAAGCTTGAAATATTTTGTGGTTATTATTAACCAATGAAAACATTGGAAGGTGAAAAAATGAAGCAAGGAGGCAAACTGTTCTTATGTTCCTATCTTTTTTGCCTTGTTTTACCTGCCAGGTTGTCACATTTTTACTATTTACTGAGCTAAGATTTAGAAAAGGCTTAGACAAATTAAAGCTTGCAATTCTCTATCATTGCAAATCTGATTTAGTATTATTATATTATTATATTATTATCCAGAGCCAGATTGTTCAAAGCTGGGTCAAGATAACCCAGGATTGGTGTGAAATTGATTTCAGATCTGAAAGCTTTAAAAGAAAATTATAATTTTTTTGTCTACCGTGTTGTGAATGGATGTTCTTAAGAGAATAGAGAAAAGTATCCCAAACAGGCTTTTGAACAAAGAAATTAAAGAAACCTGCATTAAAATTTAACCTTGGGTTAGTGCTAATTGGCTGTTGAACAGAGTGCTTCATGAGAACATAACCAAAGTAATTACAATAGCTGATCTGAACAAAGGAATATTAAATAGCACAAGGAGTCAATACGACTCTAATTGAGAGTAGAAATAGGCCAATTGGCTCAAGAGTGGAGGGTCAACAACTCCTTATTGTTCTCGATTTTTCTTCTAATTGGTTGAGAAAAAGGCATAAAAGGCATAAGCCAATCTAATCTTTGATTACCTCTGACACTCAAATGAAAACTGATCACAAATTGTTCTTTGATTGTTTTAGTTATTCAGCGGGGAGGTTTGGGTGCAGTATAATGATGGCTCCCAGATGATCATTCAGTCATCTGTGACAAGTATCAAGTACACAGATAGTAGTGGAATGATAACAAGGTAATGATACTTTGTGTTGTTCATTGTAAAATTCATTTAGTGGCTTGTGGATTGGGCCAGCTTCTTATGCTGTAAGTTTTAAGTTACTGTATACCTGGGTTCTTCCTTGAATTTAAGTGTGATTCCAAAGAAAACTATTTTCTTTCAAAAAAGACAGAAAGAGAAAAAAAGCAAATGGCCTTTCAAACATTGGAACCTTCATCAGAGGTATTATATATGTTATTCAGGAGTATTTTTAGTGAAATACAACACTTTCCCAAACCAATAAGCACTTAGTCTGGCATATGTCTTTCATTGCTCAAGTATTGTAACAGACTTCTATTTTCTGATTTTTACAATAGACCTGTATCCTTACATTACACTAATTTTGGTCTGCTTTTAAAAGGTATGGTAAATGTGCAGACATTAAGGTATTTTTCTCTTCAGTCCTCCTTTGTATTGAAATAAGATGGTACTATTTATTTTTTCAGATACAATCACACAGACAGATTACCAGAACCAATCAAGGAGAAGCTATGTCACTTACCTGTCATTATAGAGAATCTCGCAGCTTCCCCCAAGATTTCATAGAGAAGATAACATGTTCATGAAAGTGAGGCTAGACCTTTATATAAGAAAAGAAGAAACACAATGTGCAGTTAGAAAATTTAACAGAACAGGTTTTATTTATATATCCTTTATGATGGATTTGTTAAAAAAAATGTAAAAATCCAAATTTTTAAGTCAAGTTTACTGTGACATAGTATGGTTATTATTAGTTGGAACTGATCAACAACACTTGTCAAATTTATTGTCAAATATTACATTTTTTTAAAAATGATGTAATCTTGATTTCTTGCATTAGCATCCCATGCAAGGCTCAACACTTCAACTCCAGGAAGTGATTAACATGTAATTTCTCCCTATAATATCTACACGTTATCTAGAAAACAGGTAATAAACTCAAACTTATCAGGTTAAGGATTTTATCTCAACCAAGTTCTTGTAACTAATTTACAAGGAATATTGAGCAGCTGAAGGGAGAATTAACAATCAGATCATGGGAGTTAAAGGTTTAAGATGTTGGTTTTAACAAAAGGATTTTTTCCAAGCAGCTGTGTAGAGGCAGTGGAGGTGGCGGGTTGCTAATTAAGTGTTAGGAAAATATTTTTTTTTAAGTAAAATTTTTAAACCATCACATAAATCTTGATCAGAATTCCTTTTTTTTTTCTAACTAGAAATTTACGTTTTTTTTTTTAAACAAACACTTGTCAGTGAGAAACCCATTTTGATGTATGTCTATTAGTTTTTATGTATAATTACTTTAACTTTCCAGATAGGGAATTTTGTGATTGCATTTATATTAAATGTATTAAATCAACCTCCTTGTTAAACTTATTTTTTCTTTCTCTCTTTTGTGGATATACAATGTAACTCTTAACACTTTCTGTTGCCTGATGAGTGTACAAAGGGTAAAGCTTAGTTATTAGTTGAGGGATATTTGCTGTTACAATAATGATTCCATTTAGTGCTCTCCTTCCAATATGCACTCTTTCACTAAAATGTGCCCCCTCCAAGTTTGCTTTTGCTAATAATGGCCCTATTGAATAAGCACCCGCATTCCAAGAAGTGCCCCTATTCCAATGAATGCATTAAGATTAATTGTGGTTCATCTTCATTTAATTTCTTACTTGAAGCCTCATTACAAAAACAGTGGTCTTAGTCTTGGTCTCTCAACTATTATGTTCATGTGAGTGCACACTTCCTTCAAATACTGAAAGATCTCATCCAAAAATGTTGTGACAGTTGCTCGAATCCATCGCCAACAAGTCCGTTTTCCAGTCTCTAAGTGCAGCTCTATCTATGCACCTTGAAAATGACTACCAGTAGTTCAAAAAATGTACTCAGGTAAAAAAAATTATAATAAATAGCACTCTGACACCTATGACACAGTTACCACAAGGCTACAAACATCAAATGGTAAGTTCTAATTTCTTGAAACAGGGCTGTAACAAATTGTGTTCTTGAAGGTAATTCATACATTACTTGCAAAAGCGAGATTACATTGAGATTTTAACATTCAACTCTCAGAAATTAAGGTCCTCTTCAGAAAAATTGGCAAAATAATCATGAAACCATCCAACTCTTTCCTTTTTCTGTGCCACAGTCAAAAATGGATTTTTCTGTAATCCATTGATGACCAATTCCATGAAACGGCGAACTGGACCTTTATTAGGAAACTCATCCAATAAGTACTCCAGAAATACATGCTCTTCAAAACTGGTGTTCTGTTCTTCTACTGAGTTACACACTTCATTGTCTATTGGGTATGTCCAGAGCCTGTTGGAAAGCCTCACTTGTTCACTGAATGAATTCCTCAACACTCCTACTGACTCTTGGGTCTGGAACCTGTTTGTGACGAAGAGATGGAACAAAAAATCAGATTGAGAGATGGGGTTCAACTTTCCGTGTTTTGCCTCCTTGAAGACGTTATCAAATAACCCAGTCTTCTCGCCCTCGTCAAATGACACCCAGCTTGGTGCCTCTGACAAATTCTGTGTGGTTTGCTGTAAGTATTCCTCTTGAATCAATCTCTTTCGAGTGTTGAGGGTTTTACCCCAGTTTTCCGCTGCCGCAACAAGCCTCTCAGCTGTTCCACTCTTTTGAGGTCCCACCTGTAGTCCTGACAGTACCTTTTTGATTTTCTCATTCAGCTTGGGATCAGTTTTTTGTGCCTTAGCAGTAGTCGAGTTAGTCTGTGCCTTCTCGAAGTCCTCGAGGCTCTTTTCTATCCACTGTGATCTCTCTCCTTCCCATGCTGGAAATTTGACATTCGTTTTATCACCCATAATACTTTTTCTCAGCTCACTAGCATTTCCCAATGACCTTTCTCGAATACTCTTCAGACTTTTGTTCCCTATAGGCTCTTGTGAGGGTTTCGCCAAGAAGGAAAGGACACCACCGACTGAAATTTTTCCCTCGCCCTTCTTCGCAATTCCATTTTCTTTTCCTTTTATCGCTCCCTTGGTTTGTGACACTTTGGGAATAAGAATCTCTAGGAATGATTTTTTTACAACTTGTTCTTTTTCTCCTTTCACTGCTTGCACAACTGGCCGGCTTGCTTCTGTACTTATTCCCTTGAGTGTTTCTTTTAAATCAGAGAGGGTGGGCGTGTGGTCTTCCACTGATATCTTTGGTTTTTCTCCATTATCACTAGTGTCAGAACTTAACATTCTGACCCACGGAACCTTAGGAAGATGCTGAGAAAGCCTTTGAGGCAACAGGACACGACTGACTAACATAGCCGCCATTGCAGTCCCAGAGTTCTTCATCGAAGCCCCTTGGTGAGATATTCATGCCCAGATCCCTACAATTACTTTTCCAAGATGGCCGATTTGATGTTGAATAGTGATACTTTTTCATGTTATATACATTTAAACCTAAAACGATTTATTTCATCCCAAAGGTAATTTTTCAGACGATTTAAAGATGGTTGGAGGATCAGGTAAAGTGAAGAATTCATTAGTCGACCATATTAGCTGCTAATTGTTATACTCAACTTACTTAGTTTCATATTAAATTAATTCGGTATTAGGGAACGTAGCAGCGATAAAAAAGAAGTTTATTTTTTCCGCTGGCTTACTTCAGTTCAATGACAAGGTGAAGACGCTTTAGGCACAGTATCATAACAGGCATTCTGAGATTGCTATTGAAATCAGATGAACTCTTGAACAATTGAACATGACCATCGGATCTAAATTATCGATCACCTTCGATGTTCAAGTGTTCAAATAAATCCTTAGTGCCCAAGGGGTCAAGAGAGTTACCTTCATCATGGGCACCTGATATAAAACCCCTGTAAATTTACCTTAAATCCTTTATGAAATGTGTGGGGCTCTTTTTTAAAAATTTTAAGAATAAGATGAGTATTATGGCTACATACATGAAGGCAGGCCTGTCTGCAGAGTATGGCAGATGCACGTGCGATAATCTCTTTTATTACCATACATTTCACACGGCAGAGTTTCCTTTGTGCGCACGAGATCTTGTGCAGACTAGAAGGCAGGTACTTATTTGATTCTCCCACTAAGATCTTCTTTTGTAAAAACCATTAGCTTCCAAACAGCATCATAAGCAGTGTGTTGATGTACAAAGAAAATCCCACATCTCAAAGTGGCACTGTTGATGCTTGTAATTGTCTCCCCAAACTAAAATTTTTAAAACAGTGACAAGTCTTGATTTAAAATGTGCAGTGCTTGATTAAAGTTTATAAACATAGCCAATACTGTAAATGTCTCCCTAATATTCCATGAAAACAGGGGATGTGAAGGTACTTATTTAGTGGTGGTGATGAAAATTTTAACCCTTTCACTCCCAAGATCTCATTAGTAATTCTTCTCAATATCTACCATACTATTATCATGATGGTAATTCAGAGAATTTGGTATTGGTTCAACTTATAATCCCCCAATTGATATTTTTCTTTATTCTCATAACTTGTCTGCTTGATGTTGTATTGATATTGTAAAGAAAAATTCTGTCTTGGTCACTTATGGGAGTTTAAGGGTTAAAAGGTTTAAAGCATTTCCTATTGTCATTCTAAACTTAAGTATGTCTTATTACAACTTTTAGTCAGTGGAAAACCATTTAAGCCAGATCCAACCTCATATGAACAGACTGGAATTCCATGGTAAGTGAAGAGTAAAGGAAAGATTCAAATGATCAGGGTCAAGAATCACAATGTTTCCATTTTTCTTCCAATTCTACTTATGACTGTTAATTGCTTATCTGATAGAGTGAAAACTAATATTGAAAAGGTTGGCTGCAAAATTAGAAAAACTGACTGGCTACTCAAATTATCAGCTCTCAGGCCTTCCAAGAGCAGTAAACCTGTAGCAATTTATATTTACAAGCAGCACCAGTATATTGTTACTGATTCTGCTGGTGTGACTTTCACTGCATTGTATCATTCTGTACTTCTGATCACAGCTCTGACCCATTCATGAGTGAAAACTGGCTGTTACTAGAGTTAGTGAGCTCAAATACATCATAATTAAATAGATGTTATTTAATTAAGCTAAGCCTACAAAATATGGTAATTTGGTATCAGCGCATTGCAAGATACGGAGAATTCATGATATTTCTAAATTGTCAAGTTAAATTATTGGTTCATCATTGGATCACTAAGTTTTCTTTTATGGATATTTTCACAAGAATCATCTTCTGACAGATCTGAGGTGGAATGCAACTTAACATCAGAAGAATATTATTTGAAGCAAAACACAAATTTCTTTTTTGCATGATCAGATCTTCATTTTTGAAAAGGAAAGAAAAAGTGCATCTGGTGATAGTTAATTATTGTATCTGTTATGTCTTGTATTAGTGGAAATCCATCTCGTTACCAGAGCCGTGGAGTTATTCGTATGAACAGGAATGACTCCAAACCATTTGAGGATCAACGTCTTGGAGTCCCAGGGTCTGGGACAGAGTCTGAGGCTGATCAACACCTGAGGGGTATGGTGAAGAATCAGCTTGAAACCAATGTTACTCTTGAAAGGTAAACAATAAACCAAGGACTATACTACATGATATAATCCATAGTATAATGATTGGCTTAGAATTATTACAAGGAAAAAGTGGTAAATGAAAGTATTATATCCATGCGAGTGAGCTAGTCATGTACATTGTTAGACTGAAGACTGGGTGGTTTTTATCAGCTGAGAGGCTGGGACATCATTTTCATATTCACACAAGGGGATGCATAGTGTAGATGGTTTTCATTGAGGTGTAGCCTGTTCCAGGCCTTTAGTTAATGAGACAGAGTGATAGTAATTGGTATGATAGTAGTGTATGGGAAAAAAAAAGAAAAAGAAAATTGCTTTGGGTATGTAACCTGTCCTTCTCCATTTTACTAATTGAACATGTAGAGCAGGATAATGGAGGTGTTGGCAGTGTTACACAAATTCAGCCCTCTGTCTTACTATGGGAGAAATGCCATACTCATCATTTTGCCACTATTTTTTCTCCAGTTAGAAATTGGCTGCAGACTTTTGTCTATGCAAGTTAATTTTTTGTCATAGAAAAAACAACAACCTCTGAGTGTCATTATAAGTTAAGCAAATGTAAAGCAATATACCAACCACGACTATTTGCAGTATCCATAGCCTAGACCAAACTAGTTTAGGCTCAGTTACTTATGGAGAGGTGACAATTGGTTTTATGCAAAATGTGAAATGGAGTATTGTTCTAAATTGCAATAATAATATTCTTATTATTGTTTATTTGATTTTTTTTTTCATTTTGTGTTAGTGAGTTGAACAGGAAAAGGTCATTTCAATCCTCTTCATCCTACAAACCATTTTGTCCTGATAAAACTGGTGCAATGAGTTTAAAAGATTATCAGTTGTTACAGAATCATGAACAGTATGTCCAGACCCTTAAAGAGTGTGGCTTTAATGAAGAAGAAATTCAGTTCAAACTGGAGAGAGAAGGTTATATTACAAAGGTGAGCAGGTTATATTACAAAGGTGAGCTCTGTTTGCACAAGGATATTTGGGCCACTTATACCCCACAGAGGTCACAGCCTGCAAGTCTAACTTACAATTCAGTCACAAAGCTGAAGAGGAGGTAGAAAACAAACACACTCAAGAGATAAAAAGTTGTTAAAAGCTTGCTTAAATCATTAACCCTTCAGCAACTAAGAGTGCCAAGCATCAAATTCCACCCCACAGTGTTACCTATGAATCAAACATTAAGGTCATTCATGAGGATAAAATAGGTTTTCAGAAACGCTAGAAGCTATTGATTGTTTGATGTATTCGCCCTGTAAGTGCCATAGGAAATTTCTAAAGAACAGTATGGAGAAGTTGCATTTTTGTTGGTAGGGTGTAAAGAGTTAAGCCAGCTCAGATAAACTTCTTGGGCAGGAATTTTCTTTGGTTGACAATTTTTTCAGTCCATTTGCAATGTCTTTGCTCATTTTAATACCCTGTTAATTTATTGCACAGGCTCCCAAAATAGGTCGATATGGTGCCAATCCTGTTGCTGAGCAAGAAAAGCTGCATGAGCTGGAGAAAAGAATCCAAAGGCGAGAGGAGGCCTTGTCCTCTCCAGAATTATTCTCCAACGTGCGAGTTCTGAGCAGGCATGCTTTGGAAGTTGAACAGTCACTTCACAGGGGAACGGAGAAAGGGAGCAGTTTGAGCCATCTGGTGCAACCAAGGAAACAAGGTGGGCTTGTCTGTTGTAACTGGATGAAACATGGGACTGTTGGAACTTTGTGAGGTGGAAAGTAAGGAAAAATCTAAAATTGCGAACATTTTGGAAATCTTTAAGCTGAAGTGTTTCAAAGGGCAGGAGACGGGAGTGAGAGGTGTAAGAGACGAGAGACTGGGTACGGGAAGGGAGCTATTCTCACCTTCTATGTCCCCTCCCCTCCCGTTCCACAACTCAACTACATTTCGTAAAAACTATCATTGGTTATTGTCACTCTGTGATTCATATCCTTCCTTTCAGCCATTCATGTGAATGATCCACTCTTGCAAACTTTAATGGAAGCGGATCAGATATTGTCAAAATCCAAACGAAAATCACCGTCCTCCAACAGCCCAGAGCGAGCCAGTGAATGTTTGGTAGAAGTCAGTGATAATTCCAGTCAAAGTTCATTGGTCAAAAGAGGGTTGCTGGAAAACAACGACAGCGGTGATACCCGCTTGCCTGATAACATTAAACCTATTGAAGAGGAAGAAATTCTTCAAAATAGACTGTCGGTAGAGCAAATAAAGGGGATTCCAAAATTTGCAAATTTTCACCCAGGAGAACCAAACAAGGTATCTGTAAGTTTATCTGTAAGTTGTATGAGTGGTTTTTACTTCTGGAAGTGCTCAAGTCTACATTGAGTGTTCTGGATAGAATGTATGTGCAACGTCGTTTAGTAGTAGGACGCACCTTGCACCATAGTACGTGGTAGATTTAGGCGAAGGGTGCGGGGGATTCAAAACCCTTTAGCAGACTTGTGGGTCTTTTGCCGCTTGTCTGACACCCAAGTTCTTGCAACAACAGGATGGCATGAAACTGCTCAATATCAAGAACTCGTTAGCACTTGTCTGGCGAAATTTCTTAGCATATGGTGTAAGAAAAAAAAATTTTGGTGTTTTCTGACTTAAATTTGAGAAAGTGGCTCGAGATCTCTAAACCCATAACACAGCGTAGTACAGCAGAGCCAACGCAGTTTTGGATTACTTTCGACACTCAAGTAAAAATTATTTGTTATTTTTTTCACTTTCTTATTAGCAGCTAGCTACAGCCAGTTACAAACACTCTTGTAGCTTACCAGTAGTGTTGGTCGCCATACAGGAGCCTGACCTGTCACGAATTTGATCTAAAATACCCGACGGTTATTTTGATATTTCGTAGGTCCTATTCGTAAAGAATTTGCATCATAAGACAACGGAAGCAGACTTGGTCTCTCTGTTTATAAGATTTCAGGACAAAGAGGGACCTAAAATTACTTTCAGACTTATGAAGGGAAAGATGATTGGACAAGCGTTTGTGACTATGCCAGGTGAGGTTTGTTCAGAAGACGAATTCTTCAAGGTTCGTGATGCTTTTGCATCAATTCAACATTCTTTATTCCGCAGTTCAATTTCTTAGGCTCTGTATTCAAGACTTCTATAGTGGTACATATGACATCGATGATCTTTTTTCTATGAAAACCTAAACCAGTTGTAAGGGGGACAAGTTTATGAAGAAACTGTGGTGCTGCGTCAACTGAGTTGATAATGTAAATCTGCCACCGTAAAGAGTTTTTTTAAGGCTGAAGTTTTTGTTGTTCTGCAGACTGTGGTTATTTTTCTTTGAAATCTACCTACGATGCTTTGCACGAGACTGGGGGGACTCACTCTAAGTATTTTTTTTTTTTTAACCAATGAACAATTTTAATCCTCTCTTGGTTTTTTGGTTCGGTTGTAGACATCGACACAGCGAATAAAGCCTTGAATCAGGTGAACGGCTTCATGTTTAAGGGTAAACCAGTGATTATTCAGTATGGCAAACAGAGGACAGATTTGTCTAACAAGAACGCGCCTGGGCTGAGTTCGCCGGGATCAAGCACATAATCACGGGTAAGTGGATTCTTATGGGACAAGAGAATTCCTCTGATAGCCTGAAAAGTTATTTACCGCCAAATAGGTTATGACTGAGACGAACATTAAGGTCATTAATATATAAATGAAATGATCGAAATGAGCTATTGATGGTTAAACAAATTATCCATGTCAGTGCAACAGCTATGTACCACCAAATAGGTTATGACTGGCATCTAATTTATCTTTGCTATATCCTCGCTGAATCAAATATTAAGGTCATGAATATATATGAAATGATCGCCGACAAAAGAAACTGTAAGTCGTTAAAAAAATCATCCATGTCAGTACAATAACAATTGGGTAGGGAATAAAACGGAGATTATGCATAAACTGATGTTAAAGTGTAAAGGATTCACCGGATGCACAATTTTTTACTGTTTAGCCACCATTAACGTGAACAAATAATAATGATGTTGTGTCTTTGCACAATAAGATAACTTATATGTAACATAATTGATTTTCAAAGAAATTGTTAAAAGGAAATGGAAGAACTAAAATGTCATTTCTACAATAATATTGCTATTGTTATTGTTGCTATTATTTTTGTTATTGTGATCATGATTATTATTACTCTAAACTTTTAACATTACCGGAGAGCCGACAGTTAGTCCAGGTTAAGATTTTCCCGAGTTAATATTCACATAATGCCTTCATTAAGATAATACTTTTATTACCAATCCTTATTCAGTAATCTTGTTTATGACTGTAATTAGAGGCTGATCAAAAATTAGATTAAGTGTGTTTTTTCTCCGAAACTGGACTTTGAATTTAATGAAATGAATTATTCGTTGGGTTTGCCTGGCTGCAGTATATACAGAAAAAATTCTTGGAAATGTTCATCCCCGTTGTATTGATACAAACCAAACATAAATCAATTCAATAAAATTTCGTCATTGATTGAACCAAAAAACGGTGTAAGAAATCGCATGAAATCTTATTTGACGTCAGTCAGCATTAAAATCCCTTAAGCATCATTTTGCAATAAAAGTATTTATTTGCTGATACGATAATATATTTGTGGCACGTGCCTTTTCAATGGGGATTTTTTTTTACTATTACTAGATAAGTCTCGACATAATAAGCGACTATTTGATCGAACAAACAGTTTCTTATAATCAACTCCAAGTTTTTTTTAGTTTAAGAAAGAGTGTTCCTTGATCTGTAACTATGTAAATTGTCGGAAATTAGGAAACTTCGCCTCAGGACATTTTGTCGCCGACTTGGCGTTTTTCCCATCACTTCAAAGAAATATTTACAAAATCAATTTGCGGAAGCACTTAATCGCATCAGACAAATACGAACACAATCCGGGCCTTGATCTTTCTCCAAGGTAGTATTAAACCATGTCTGTGAATCTAAGTAGTTTTGTTGTCGGCATCTTCCCATCTGTAACTTTTGCCTTTTTTCTTGGTACATCTTTAACGTAAGCTTAGTAATTATTAACAAAGATGTAAATAAAAGTACGTCTAACGTATCTTAAACGCGTTCCCATCGTAAAACCCAGCTAAAGGGAAACTTGCGCAATATGTGGGTGACCTTTTGTTTGGCAAACAGTCCTTAAGCAATAAAGGAAGGTCGTTAAATAGATTTGCATGCCATTAACCCGGTTGAAACAGATATAAGTGATCGTGTCTTGGTTTGATCAAAGACAAAAGGAGGAAGATAAAGTATCCACTACTTCAGAAGAAGTAAATGAAGCCCGGTTTAGCGGAAGAGAAGTAGAGGCAGTTTTGAGACGAGACGGTACTAGCCGTAACTGAGGTAAAACTTCAGTAGAGTCTTAGCAGTGTAGAGCTCTAGTGCAGGATAAATTGGTGACTCGTGCATAATGCAGAAGAATCAAAGTTTCGAGTAATTCCAACGTTCAAAACAGAACGAATCATTCATAACAATTTTGCGAATTTTGAGCTGAAGTGAAGGATAAATTGGTGACTCGTGCACAATGCTTCGAGTAATCCCAACCTTCGTAACGGAACGCACATTCACAAAAATTTTGCGAATTTGAGTTGTGTGGATTAGGGAGATTGTGCACACCTTTCGATGATAAGTTCCTGAGGAAAAAAACATTGAAAAATTTTGAAAATACCAAGGAAGCACCGCAAATTTGATTAAATTTAATTAAATTAATAAGTCGACTGGTTGGATGATATGAAGTATCTCCTCTCTCCTTCTGCTCTGTTGTTTCAACCAAAAATCAACGAAATAGTTCCCAGCAGAAATGCCGTTCATCTCGAACCGCAAAAGATTGTTCTTCAAGTGCGAAGTGCAAAATCCTACCAATCTTTAAAAGGAAACTCACTGAAAAACTTCACTGTGCACAACACAGCTTTTCAATCGCCAGCTTAACGTTTGGCCTCAAGGTTGCTTCTTGTGTACTAGAAAAAAAATGAAAAGAAAAAATAAATCAATAATGATAATAATGATTTAAAATAAAACTTCTTTTGCTGAAACTGAAAGACAAAATGAGTTTTCGAGGGGCGCTGTGGAGTGCAGCCATTGAGGAGGCTTTTGCAGGATACTATTTAATTTTCTAAACTACTTTGTGCAGGGAGAACAGCAATGTTCGTCATCAGAAATATTCATGCGCTAAAAAGCCTCGACACATCTACTGTGAAAGTGATATGTCGAATTCTTTGGTCGATCGTGAAAGGAAAAAGCCAAAAAAGGAAAATAAAGAATTAAAGACCATTAAAATAAGATTAAAGACAATAGTCTTTTGGAAATCCCTGTATTTGATATGACGTCTCATTTCTTGTTGGATTTTCAAACCAGATCTGAGCGAGATAAAAGTTCAGTAAGACGTTTTTTTTTGTCAACCTCGGCATAAATCACCTTTCCGTTTCATTGTTACACAAAATTTCTCCTTTTTTTTTTTATACATCCTGTCAATAATTTGCTGTGAAGTACACCAATATTAATCTTGAGTGTGTGTAGCTGGAAATTAGTGCTTTATCTGCCACGTGTAAATCGTATTTTAGTGTTAGTGGCTTTTACACCAAAAAATGAACCATAAAATTCAATCATTTTCTTTGTTTTTAACAATATTGTCCATCGTTCCCGTTTTTCTTAGTCTGTTTTAGTTTTAATGTAAGTATTTTTTTCCCAGAGATGCGTTTTTTTTTGTAATATCTGGTTCAGAATTTCCAGCTTTGTAGTGTTATTGGAGTTTAAAAATGACGTCTTTTTCTTGAGAGTTCCTTCACAATTTCTTAGCTTTTGTTTCAAATCGAGATTTTCGCTCGTGATTAGAGAAGTTCTGTGACATTTACAGAAGAGTTCCAAATAATTACAAAGTAAATTTAACTTTATTCAATAATTATTGTCCGAGTTCCACATATTCTGCTCGTTAGACAAGAAAGTTTGCAATTTTCGCACGGGGGCGCGTCGAAATAATTATCGCAAATATTTGTCTGAAACGGAAAATCTCCCGAGAGGTTTGTCAACTATTGGCTGAATAAAAAATTTACGCAGTTATTACCTGTTAAATTAAAATGGCTGGTTGTGTAATGCAATTACTTAATTTTCCGGGTTCCCACCCCGTATTGTCAATTTTAGCCTTTGGAAAAACAAGTTTATAGTCGTTGCTAGGAGGTGGCGAGTTGCGGTGGCGGGGATGGAAATGCACTCTTATCCTCTATGATGTTTCAAACTGGTATTTACAGCATCATACTGGCTCGAAGTCTACCTTTTGAGACGAGATCTCCGGAATAGTTTTAAAAAACAGGAAGGGTCAAAATTTGTTTCTTAAATAATCTTTTGTTCATTTGTCGAGGATGTTTTTGTTATATCCTAAGTAAATGATCTGTTTGGCGGTCGTTAAATGTTTTAACAAGAGATTGTCTCTGCTTTTTCCCTCGGATCGCCAACTTTTTTAAATTGGCTTGCCTTTGCTTTTACAGTATTCTCTCATATTTAAGGCGGTGAATTTAACCGGTTTATACAGAAAGGCTTTTTGTTTGGTCTGTTCAGATCATCGAACCAGGTGGTTCCTAACTTCTCTCTCTGATATAAAGTGCAGTAGACTTCGCCTATTTGTAAGATCCTATTTGTTATTGTTGTTGAATATTGGTGTTAAAATCCCTCTCTCGCACGCCGAAATTTTTAAAAGTCAAACGCCTTTTCCTGAATGCTTCGCTGTCACGGGAAACAGCCTGAAGGCTGGAACTCCCTAAATGATACGTCTGGTAATGTGACAGGCGGGAAATGTAAATTCAGTTTTTTGTCTTCAATTTCACGTGGATAATTTGGTCGTTTGTGACAATGCGACTGGCGTAAAATGTAAATTTAGTTTTCATTTTCTATTTCATGTGGATAATTTGGTCGTTTGCGTCGATGCGACTGGCGTAAAATGTAAATTCAGTTTTCATTTTCTATTTCGCGTGGATAATTGGTCGTTGCATTACAAATTTCCTCCTTCGAAATATATAAGAATTTCCGATTAGGTTTAAGCGGAACAATGCGTGGGAATATCGGGAAATGATTCTACTTGTGTTTTATGACCCCGAGAGACCTGTGAACTGGCGTGAATTTTACTCAAGTGTCTTTTGCGGGGGAGTTCTGCTCTGAGGCCATAGAAACATAACGCAATTATTTCCTCTGTGTTTGTCAAGATTCTTATTTCGTTAGAACTATTGTAGTTGTACAAAAGCAACTCCCGAAAAATGTAGGTAAGCATTTTCACAATCTAAGCTAGAAAGCCTTCCACTTCAAAAGCGCAAGTTTTCTTTGTTTGATATATCTCACTGGAACTTACGAACACCTGTAACAATACTGGAACGAAGGGTCGGACCATCTTTTACAAAATGAAGTTTGTTAATCTTGACTTAACTTCGACGCATTCTTTTAAAATTTTCATAGAATGTAAAATCTGTTTTGCCGATTATTCTGAGGACGAGAACTTGGAGCCACAACGACAGTTTACTACCCTTACCCTTATCTTACCATTGGTCTCACATATTTGTTTTAATAGAGCAACT